AAAATGTGCATGGCGCCGGCAAATTTCGTGAATTGGGGTGGCATCAGCATCTCAGGATGTTGTAATTACCTCGACTCCCTGGGCTCCTTGCCACAGACGGATGAGCGGACGAACGGACGGGACCGACGGACGGACGGACGTACCACAGCCACGGAACGGATACGCCCCTTGCGTTACACATATGTTACAACCCCACACCCCAATTTTTTTATTGCACGGAAGACGATCTTGTGGGAACTCGACCAAGTGTCTTTGTCTCCACCGATTCTGGACTCTTATTTTTACGTCAAGTGCATGTGGTCTTGTGACCATCAATTCGTGGTTATTTTTATTTATTTTCTTTTCCTTTTTTTTTTATCTCATCATTTTGCGACGAGAATTATTATGCCGCGATTTTAAGAGGAATCATTGTAACCAATATTGCTTCACGGTTAATTTCTCATATTGTAATAAATAATTACAGTTCCTCTCAACTTGGGAGTAGAGCGGGTTGCCGCCTGCATGCATAAAGTCTAATTTACAGCCGATAAGGAGCCGTCCATAAACTACGTTACTACTTCTTCATTCTTTTTAGACCCCCTCCTCCCCCTCGTTACCATTGCCTTAAATGCATTTTTTTTAGATTTTTTGACCCCCTCCCTAAAATAGGTAACGTAGTTTATGGACGGCCCTAACATTATTTTTTCTACCCCGATATTTCACGAGACACGCTTTCTTTTTAAATTTAAAATTCATTTTGAACAAAATCATTCAAACAGATCACTATATTGCAATTAAGAATTATTTTTTCTATTCGTAAATGCTATTTATTTATAAATTTAACGCTCTCTAAAGAAAGGGACCTCAGAAGCAAACGAATTGTAGGTTATGTTTACCTAACTTTCTTTCTTCTTCTTCTTCTTCTTCATTTTCCAATTTAATTTATTTATTAATCTTTTCCATTGTTTTATATATATGTATATGAAGGGTAGAATGACAAAAGGGGTCAAGCGCCAATTCACTGTTTTTACAGGAAGTAAAAAAAACATTTTTAAAAATTTTGCAGGTCATTTAAAAAAAAACTGAGAAAACCGTTTCGATATATTAGTATGTTTTAATAAATAAACAACAATTTGTTGAAATAAACCTACATATTAACGATAAAATTAAAAAAAAACTGTGGTTCCTTGAGGTTATATCAACTGCGCACATTTTCTTTAAGCATGAATTATAAAAAAAATATACAGTTTAAAGAAAAACTGGAAAATTAGTTTCTTTCTATGGAATCGACGAAATGAATAGAAAAAAAAATTCCTTTAAAAAATTGTTTGTTTTCAAGAAAATTACGAATTAATTGCTTGCTTTGGAATTGAGCAATACTTTCATCTTTAAATTCAATTGTTCACTTAGTATAACCATAAAAATATTTAAAAATTAATAACAAAATGATTTTAAAATTGTTTAAAATTGAAAATACATTATTATTATTATTAATTTTATTAATTAAAATATTATTAAAATAAAATTAAAATAAAATATTAAAATAAAACCTAAAAAAATAATATTTTTTTTTTATTTTGATAATATTATTGACTCATCACTTTCTTTTGTTTTTCAATCAGGTTGCAATAAAGTAAATTTGAGGCTATTTTATTAATTTAATTTTTATTAAAAACTGATTTAAATACGCAATAAAAAAGGAAATCCTTCTACAGAAATGTGTAAATGAATTTTCTTGATTTTTTTATGCAAAAACCTCATTTTCGATAAATTGGCGCTTGACCCCTTTTGTCATTCTACCCTTCATATAATTAATGTTTTTTAATAGTTCCAAATATTTTACTTTTTTATTCTATTCAATGAAATAAAAAAAAATTTTTTTTATATAGGACATATAAGAGAGAGGAAATAAAACAAGAATCAATATTGGTGTTTGTGTGAATAAAAAAAATTGCGAATATATATATACGAATTACAAAAAATTGAAATGATAGAAGAGGCCTAGTTTCTGAAAACACAATTTTGATATAATAAAATTGCCATTTTAATGTATATGAGTGGCAATGTAGATATGAGTGAAGATACATACGAAGACATTGATTGGTGAGTAACGGTGGCCCTGAAGAAACTTCGCGACTTCGTGATCCTCTTTAACCATGAACCTCATTCGTCGACAATGCAAAAGTTCATGGTGATTCGCGATCGCCTTCTGTGTCCCGCACGCAATGACCCCAAGACTTCCTGCGGACAATTCATAAAGGAAATGCTCCTAACGGGAACATATAATCATTCACTATACTTTTATATACCTCAAATGTCTCATTTTACTTAGAAAAAACTTTCCTATACGCGCATTTTCACCTCAATTACCGCTCTAATTTTTCAGGAAACAAACATATATATATATATATATATATATGTATACTACTTTCCATATATCAAAATTATTCAAACTATTTTTTATTGGCTTTAAAAGAAGTAATATACAGGAAAATTAAGATGCTGAAGTATACACAACGTTTATGATCAACGATTAAAAAACAAATTAATTTTTAAGACGAAAAATTATAACATTTTTTTATAAAAAAATGTTTTTTATAATTTTTTGATCAATATAAATTTATTTGTATGAATTTTATTTATAAAAATACTTGTTTTTTAACCTTCAAATTCGTATTTTAAGGTGGATTTTTTAAAGTGAATAAAAATAAAAAGTAGCTCGTTCTCCATCACCAAATTTTGATAAGATGAATAAAGAAGATTTAACTTAAATTTTAAAACCAAAATGGGATTTTTTCATTAATCGCCTGCGAAGATATAAGTGTTCAAAATCAGATAAAATCCTGAAAAGTTCAATAACATTCAAGGTAAAATTTCTCATATTTCTATATTATAAAAATAAAAAGCCAACATATCATATGAAAGTACTTGGAAAGTACTTATTGTTAGGTAGTAATAAATTTTAAAAAATTTATAAACTTTCTTGGAAAATACAAATAAAATGTGACAAATTTTGACATTTTACAGGTAAGTTTGAATATTAATTTTCATGTAGTATTTTGGCTTTTTTTACACAATTATCAATTAATATTGGTAAATTAAACTATTTTAAACAAATATTAATGAAAAAAATTTACTAACTGAATTATTTCTGTTCTTTTTTATAAAATTTCCAAAGCTGTCAAACTAACCTATTTTCCGTTCAACTCAACTTAAAAATTAAATTTTAACGTAAATAAAAAAAATTTTCATAAAATAATTGTCAAAAATGAATTGTACGGATATTAAAAGTCATTAATACAAAATACCAAATTTTTCTAAAAATAGACCGCAACGACTATAGGTGAAATAAAATGGAATGACCCTAGAAAAAATATTTTTCTTTAAAAATCATTGACATGAATAATTGCCTAAAATTAATTATTTATTTAATATACAAATAAAAATTATTTGTTTCAAATAAATATTTATTTAAATAATAGTAATCGAGTATTTTGAATTAAATAAATCTTTTTTTTTCAATGTAGATGACAAATTCATGACTGAATCAGAATTTTAAAAAATCACGCAATTTTGCAGTCTCCCTGGAAGAGAAAATGAAGCAATGAATTCACAAGATATGTAACAAAACGATCGTGACAAACTGCTGTCAACTATCATATTCGAAATAATTACTTTTTTTGTATGTGATATATTTAACTGACGTGCGAGAGATCTTTCCAAAAAACTGCATAAAAATTTGAGAAGAGTCTCACTCCCCTCTCTCGCTCTCTGTTTCGAAAATAAGAAACGAGTTATGCTCGCGTGCATTCAAATGCAGCCGAATAATTACAGGACGAGCTAATCAAAATCAATCGTAGAACTATATGTGAGTCAAAAAGGCCTGGCGGCAAAATTAAAGGGCTTCCAAAAAATGCTATTGAAATATAATAGACACCGCGCATATATAAACCTAGAAAGCAACGACACGACCAAGTTACACTTAAAAAATTGAAAATATATATCTCGCGTGCGTGCTACTTAATGAGAAGTATTCTTACCACTCTCGCGAAATCGCTCACGGATTTTGACTCTCTCGAAAATAATCTTCAAACAATTTACAAATTTTCTTATTCTTATTTTATTTTTTTTTTCACTCTTTAATATTCCAACAGTCGTTTATCTCCGAAACCAACAACCTCAACGCAATTCTTCACGCCTCCGGTTATTAAATACCTTTGTAGAAAATCTCTCTCTCTCTCTCTCAAAAAAAAAAAAAAAAAAAAAAAAAAAGTAAAAATCAGAAGCATCACCCTTTTTTGCTCTATATATAATTTGACGAGAAACGAAAAAGTACACTTCAAAAATCAGTTTAGGTTATACATTGTATTCTGTCCAAAGGCATTTATTATAAGAATCTTTCTCGAAATCTGACATTTAATATATAATAAAAACACGTGTGTATTTTTTTATGTGCGGTGATATTTTACAATTGCTGAATTGTATCAGGTTTATTTTTTTTAATTAAATAACAACAGGTGCGAAAGAAGAAACTAAATATTGAAAATAAAAATGGAACAAGTAGATTATGTCGATTATGGTCAGACAACATCTATGAGAGTTATTTTCCCTTTCAGAAGAATAAGAATTATTATTTAACTTCGAGACATTTAATGGGTTTTAATTTTTTAAATTTAATTTAGAAAATTATTTCAAGTTTATATATTTATATTTATACAAATTTTTTAAATATAAACTTTTTTTTTAATTTATTGTTTGCATTATTTTTATTATTATTTATTTTAAATAAAACTATATAAACGTTGTTTGTTCAATTCAAAATTTATATGACTTTTAAAATTATTAATTTAAAATCTTTGAAGTTTATCTAATTTTATAACACGTCGAATTTTTATATAGCTGATTTATATATTTTTTAATTAATCAAATTTCCATAGAATTTTGATTTAGCTTCAAAATTAACTTTAATCGAATGTTATTCAATAGAATTTTTATTCAATCGAATTTTTATTTAACCAACTTTCTATATAGTATAGAATTTTCATCTAATTAAATTTTACTTTGATCGAATTTTTATTTATTTACATTTTCAATTAAATAAATTTTTGTTTAATCGAATTTTCATTTTACAAAAGTTTCATCTAAGAGAATTTATTTATGTTTTATAGTAAATTTTCGAAAAAAGTAATGGAGAATTTTTTTTTTTTTTTTTTTTGTCAATCAAAGCTCAGAATTTTATTGATTGATTTTTGTCGAGATGTTTTTTTTATAGCGGTAAGAGACGAATGTAAATGCATTTATATGTGTGTGTATAAGTCGTGATTCGTGAACAGTGCGGACAAAAAACATAGTCATTTCGTCGGCTTATTGTCGCTGTCATTGAAGCGGTCGGTAAACAAAAGAAAAGCACACGCATGCCTGAAATTATGACCCATCCAATTTTCCACCTTTTAATCTGCACACAAAATGTATTTCAGTGGTCAGTCGTCGACCTTTGCCCCCGAGCGGTAAGTTTTATTTTCTTCAGTAAAATAATACGCAAATTGTAGAGAAACTCCCTTAATCACTTACGTTTTCATTCGTGCATTGCCTTCTGGACATATTATATGTATAAGAGAATCATTCAGAATGACTGAACAAAATTAAATTAAATTTTCACTACATATTGTACTTTTAAGTCCTCTATTTGTATATATATAACTTCAAATATATTTTATCTGAATTTCAAAGCATATAAATGATTTGAAATAAAACTAATTGTTAAAGAATAAATGTAATTTAATTTTTTGATGAAAAAATATAACTTTAAACAATCGAAAAAGTTTCAAAGATTTTGAGTAATTGTAAAAAAAAGCATTTTTATGTTTAGAAAAACAATAATTTAAATATTACCTTATTTGTTGATAAATATTTTGAGGTTATGTTGTTCGATTGTGAATTTATAATGAGTCTGGCTTTTATCACTATTACTATATATTACTTGCTCGATTCACTTCGTTAATTCTGATGAATAATTTACAAAAGATATAGAAACTATAAATTTTAATTTAAAAAACGATATTAAAACAAAATGCAAGTGTTGCCGGAGAAAATCACATTTTTAGGATTATTCTCGTTGTGTGCACTTTTTACACTTTTACATTAAATCTACATTATATTGTTTGTCAAATCAGTAAATTTTTGTACACTTTCGCAATACGTGTTTTATGGATAGTGTAAAAGTATATACTTTCTAAAGCTTCTAAAGCAATGAAAACAAACTTTTTGTCAACTGTAAAGTAAAACATTTTTTATGATTGCGCTAGATGGAGCTATTTTAAAGTAGATGCGCATGTGCAGTAAGCAGAAGAATTATAAAGTACTTTTAGCGCTACTTTTAAAAACAAGATATGGCATATTTCTTATTATGTTAAAAAAAAATTTTAATCCAATTTTTTATAACAATTTTGTTGTTTAAAATCATGTTCTATAAAATAATTCTCATCAAAAATTGTATTTAAAAAATTAATTTTTTTTAAATCCTGCAACTTTCAATTTCTCTAAATTTCACTTTCATATGTAGTTTAAATAACAAGGGATAGAGTTCTTAACAAGGAATGATGGTTAATCTAGCATTTTGTGGTCTATTTTCGAAAATAGTAGGTTTAGATATAATTAAATCGAAATTAGATCTTTTAGAGTCTAGTTTTCGACTCTTTCATTCTCTAGTTTTCAAAACATGTCAAATTTGAGTCTGTCTTTTAGATAATTTTTTTTTCTTTTCTGTTTTATTTTTTTTTATGCTACTGTATTTTTTTTCCTTGAAGGGATGGGGCGTAGCAGTTGCCTCAAGGCATTTTGTCTTCTACCAGGCACCGCTATTGGCATATGTGCTCGCGTGCATCCCATGCAACCGATCTGCGTAACAGGTGCAGCTGCAGAGGAAACGGTCGTTAGCCCTGCAGCCCTTGTACATATACACATACATGCATATGTCTATTATGATTTTTCGTAATAGTTTCTTATGTTTCCAACATACCCATCAATTGTTTCGTCGCACGCTCTCAACAAGTAGACAAGAAAACATATGGTAATAATAATTTAATTAGTGACTCCGTTCCAAAAATTCCCAAGGAATAAGGAGAGAAAAACTTTTTTTTATAACTAAGCATCTGAACCTAAACACTTATTTTTATATTATTTTATTACTTTTTAAATTTCAATTTATTTTTTTTTTTTTTATTTTTATTTAGATATTCTTTAATTTTGATTTATTTTTTATGTTCAAAAAATAATATTATTATATGAATTTCGTGATTTTATGACCAAAACATCTAAGAGCTTTTTTGTTATAATCTACTCTTTTTTTTATCAATTTTTCTTTTTTTATGGAATTTTAATTTTTGTTGATTAGACTAATTATATAATTGGTCCATACGAAATTGTATTTTTTGAATAAACTTAAGGAAAAAAAAAACTCATCTTATTCATTATCTAAAATAATTGATTTGTTTAAGTTAAATAGAAATTTTACCAAGCATATTGATAATAGAAATTAGTTTTTATTAATTTAATTTAAAAATATTGAGAACAATTCTCTTGTCAATTGATAATAATTCTTTTAAATATTGTTAATTATTTTCTAATAAAATAAAATATAAAGAAACACTATAAATTCAGGTTGTAAGTATTAAAAATCATCTAGGTGAATAATATTGAATATTTTTATAAAGCAAAAAAAAAACAGCGACAATCAACAATGGATTAATAAAAAAAATGTCGCATATAAATCATACTATTGAACTACAATAATAAATTCTTCTCTTTCTCTCTCTTTCTCTCAGTGTGTCTTTCATACAATGAAATGTATATAAGATTACTTGTACTACTTCATAAAATGCAACATTATTTCCCTACCTTCGAATGTACAGTGTTTATCAATTATATTAATTATAACAATGACAAATGATGCGATTAAATTTTTACGCAATTGGAAAGAAATGTTCTCAGAACGCTGTGTGTGTGTTTTTTTTTCTCTTGTTTTTCTAATAAAAATTGTATCTGCGATTTAATTTTCATTTTTTTACTGAGGTAAGTTTAGAAGGACACCTTGACCGGGTGGTAAGTAAACAACTTGACGTGAACGTGCAAGTTGAAACGCAATATCTTCCGCAGCTTCAATCCTTCTAAGTTCAACAAGACCATCTCCAGCATCGCCAAGTGATTTAGCGAGTAAACTCGCAGCTTGCGCATCACCCTCAGCCGAAATAACGGCCGCTTTCTTTTGTTGCTCGGCTTTTTCTACCAAGAATCTTGCTTTTTCCGCTTCCTGTTGTGCCACTTGTTTCAATTCAACGGCTTGAGTGAATTCCTTGCCGAATGTCAAGTGAGTCTGCATAACAACAAACATTCAAAATTAATAAATAAAATGAAAATTTATCCAAGTCATTTTGAGGATCTTAAAATCTTAAAATCTTAAATTTAAAAGAAAATCACTTACGATGGAAATATCATCAAGAATTAAACCAAATTGAGTAGCTCTATCGGTAAGTTCTTCATTCACTTTTTGAGAGACAAGTTCTCGCTGTGTAATCAATTCGCCCGCGTCAAATTGTGCGACGACGGCTTTTAAAACTTCATTTGTAATTGAGGGTAAAACTCGCTCGTCATAATCAACGCCAAGTATGGTGTAAATTTTTGGTAATGAATCAGGAAGTGGTCTAAACAAAATACGAAGAGTGATATTAACATTTTGAAGATCTTTACTACCCGTTATTACAGGAATATTTCTTGGTCTCGAGCGTATGTCGAATACAATTGGCCTTTGCACCCATGGAATATAAAAATGTGTTCCTTCGCCAACAACTTGATTTTTGATACCCACAAATCTGTCAAAAATTACGGCTCTGTGGCCTCCGTCAACTGAAATTCATATAATCAACAATTAATTAAAAAAAAAAAAAATTACACAATTATAATAATCAAAAATTATTTAGAAATTTATAATTTTTTTCACTAAATTTAAATTAATTTATAAATTTACAATCACAATTTCTTTAAATGATAAATCTGTAAATTTAATAAGAAAAAAATAAAAACTAGTCAAATGAAAGGGAAATTTAATATAATAAATTAATTTGTCTGTTATCAAATTAAAAAGCCTAATAATTAAAAGTAACAATTGAAATCTAAAAAAAGAAATTAGAAGATATAAATTACCATTGTAAAGGGCAGAGTTCACAACTGCTGCAGCGCCAGCAACAGCCAAACCGAAGGTTCCTATCCTTCCAAAAGCTTGTGAAGCCATTTTAATTCTTTAATTCTCTGAAATAAACACAAAAATTTCATAAATAAACTGAAGTTTTTTGCATTCTCGTTATTTTATAATTAAAAGCAAAGTATTCAAGTTATGTAAAAAACAACCTAACCTATAAATACTAAAGATTAATTTTACAGAAATATATAAAGAAAATAAAATAGCTATTATAAAATTATTAAAAAATATATTAAAACTCAATATTAACACAAGTTGCATAAATATATTCACTAAATTTATATTTAATTTATATATATTATCTAAATAGACCGGGTTTAGGTTAGGTGTGAACATTGATCTCGTGTTATTCCTCAATTATTTTAGAGTGCAATTCTCACTTTCATGCTTTTAATGTAATTAAGCATTAATTGTTTATAACAAGCCACTAATTATTCTTACGTAGTACACTGTTTCCGTTGAATTTAACAGGTTTTTTAAGCTGCATGCGTTGATGTAAAATGAAATGAATTCCTTAATTTCCTTGGATGATGAAAGATTATGAAAGACGTGAAGTTGTAGGCGCATGTGACAGTTGGGACCATTGCTTCGCTTGGTCACGTGAATCAACATATTGATTAGCGCGCAATTTCGAAATATTTAAAACATAGAAACTGATTTTCTATACGTGTTTTTTGTAATTATGTATGTTTAACTTACATACACAAAATATTCTTAAAAAAGAGTTTAAAAAAGACATTAAAAATAATTAACAATACTTAAGTTAAATAATTATTAATAATTTTTAGATAGATATAAAACATATTCATAAGTGTTTAATTTATTTATTAAGGCACAAGTGTTGTGGATTTTTATTTTTTAAAAATATAAGATAATTTTCAATTATATTAAACTTATAAAATTATATGAAAATGTAAAAAAGCGCCCCCGGGTGGGCTCGAACCACCAACCTTTCGGTTAACAGCCGAACGCGCTAGCCGATTGCGCCACGGAGGCCAGTTGAAAATTGCTGAGAATTAGAAAAACCTAAAGTAATAAATTAAATATTCATTGTTTTTATATTATTTTCTCGAAAATTAATCACTAATACAAATAAATATCTATTATTTACGACTTACAATATTAGACACCTTTAATAAATGTCCGTTACAGCCATTAAATATTTAAATTCAGAAGGAATATATGTTTTTGAAATTGAAACATTGAAAATGGCGGTAAATTTAAATATACAGTTGTTTTGTTATACGGAAAAAATCGAATATAATAATTAAAATAAAATAATCAATATATTTTTATAGTAGAACTCAAAAATTGTAAATTACATACTTAATATTTTTTTAACGTCTTTATAAAAAAAATTAAATTTTTAGATATTATAATGTATTTTCTTTATTTTTTTTCCGTAGTTTACAAATAATTCAGACAATACTGTTCATTAACATCAAAAGAAAAATATAATACATTTTATATTATCTACAAACATATTAATAATACATTATTTCATAACTGTTTTACAATCTTCACATATTAAAATCAAATAATCATTTTATTATAAGTCGCTTAATAATTAATGTAAAATTACATATTTTTCTTTTTTCTTTTATAATTTCAAGTTTATTTTTTAACGTGGCACAATTTGAGAAAAGTTATATGTAAAAAATAAAAATAGTCAATTTATAAAAAATGTGTCATGTTTGTGAATTCTTTTTTTGTAAAAAATATCAACTTTTAAAACAGATAGTTACTTAAATAAAAAAAATAACATAAGTACACTCTTATAACATATTGATATTTAAGGAATGAATTTTTTAACGAAACATATATAAATATTAATCATAAATATTATTAAGATTCGTTATTTTGACTTGAAAAATAGACTTTCAATTGTTCGAGTGCCCTGTGTCGATGAGAAATTTGATTTTTAAGATCTTTAGGCATCTCAGCATAAGTTTGATTATAACCTTCAGGTTGGAAGCATGGATCCCAGCCAAAATCTCTTGGTCCTTTGGGATTCACAATTGTACCAAAAGTACGACCTTGAAAAAGGATAACTGGCTCATTGGGACCATCTGTATATGCAAATGTGCATACTGCCTGAGCTGTTTTATCCTCCCATCCATTTAACATTGTATATAAACCATCTGCTCCCAATTTGTCTAAAAACCATTTAATATAAGGTCCTGGTAGTCCATTCATAGCATTGAAACAAAGACATGTATCTTCAATGACAACAGGACCATTTACAATATTGGCAGCGGCTTTACATTTTTCCACTGAAATTTCATCAATCTCTCCTTGATATTCGGGAAGATCAACTTTTTTACTGATAATTTTTTTCGAACAATTTGATCCCATTATTGACAAAAATTCCTCCAATTTTTTCGCATTACCAGTCACAAAAACAACAGGTTTAGAAAGTCTAAAAAAAAAAATTGATAATAATTTGAATTAAAAGTACGAATTTCAATGATACTTTATTAATCACTAATTATTTATTTAATAATAAACGGGACAAGCCCGTTACATAATAATTAATTAAAATAGAATACGTATATGTGACAAAAACTGCTGACAATATGAAACTACTATGCAAAAAAAAAACAACAAAATGCTAAATTGTGAAATGTGTAAAACTAACTGAACGTCATGTTTTTTATTAGTATTGGATATAATAATATAATAACAATAATTAAGAAACACTTACTTCAACATTTTTAATTGTCCTTTAATTTATGAGGGAGCAGAAATTTTAACCGAACTTAATTCAATGTTAAACTATTATACACTATTTTGTGCTTCCGCATATGATAAATGATTCATTTACAATTTACCAAAAACACATGTAAAGGTGAACCAATGTTTTTTGAACGAACGTATTTTACAAAAATGCGCAGGTCTAAAAGAATGCTTTACTTCCGGTTTATTTAATATAAAATTGTTAAAAATATGTAAAACACATTCTTATTATTTGTTAATAAAAACAATTTTTTTCTAAAATAGAATTAAAATTATTATTCACTGATTATAATATTATTAATAATAATATTATATTTTTCATTTTGAACTACATAGTATTACCGATCGATAGATTTATCCTCTCTTTACCGACTGGAAATTTTCTTTTTCGTCTTTCGTCACTTCCAACACTTCCAAACTGATTTCATTATTTGCGTCACAACAATAACAAAAGTTGTGTTTACATACATTCCTTATGTCTTTCAGAATCAAAAGTTGAAAGACAGTACGACATTTGGTTTTGAGTTTATTATGTTTATTGGAAGTTAGTACAGCACAGAAACTTATTTAAAAAAATCATTTAAATAAGTAAAACAAGAATATTAAGGTATTTAATTCATTAATTTTGAAAGAAGCTTATATAAATGTTAACTTTTTAAAAACTTATGTTTTTTACGTAATATAAAAAGTAAAAATCAGTTTGGTGTATTGTATTATAATTATTATTTTGATAGCTACTTTATATTTAATAAATCAAATATTTAATATATATTGCATTTACTTTCGAGATATCCAAAATTCGCTTATATTTTTCTACGCAGTTTATTGTTGCTGTAGTAAAAACACTATTTCTCTTAAATTCTTTTTAATGAAATACCTATATTTATTTTAACAAATGGAATAATTTTTATATTTGGTGTTTATTGTTTTTTCAATATTTAAATTTTTGTTGCAAGCTGAATATTAAATAATAATATATAAATAATATCCTCATTAGTTATCGATATATTATATTTTATCAGTATATGTATAATAATATACTGTATATTATTATGATGTAATCCTAAAATTGTGACGCAATTAAATGCAATCTTGTTTAATAATAAATGAAACCCATGCTTTTTCTTATAATAATAGTTTTGCTATTTCAATTCTTTGAATCATTGTAAACTGAATATTTCATTTATAACTTTGGTTTATTTTAATGTTTGTTTATACACTTAATTTTTATACAGTAAAAAAAGCACAAGTGTAGTCTTACTCGCACTCGTGGGCTGTGACTACCATGGTACTTTTCTTACGGTATATATATATATTTAAATTTTATATTATATTTTTAGTATTTTATCAATTATTTAATTGAATAATTGAAGGTTTTTCTATGTAGGGTAATCGGTACAATGATTGGCCGTCTTGATGAAATATAAATATAATAAGAAAGAACTAACATCAAATCATTTTTCAATTTATGCTTAATAAACTTCACACAATTACGCTGCGATCATTTCAGTCGGGATTATCTGGTCCTTCATTATTAATTTAAATTTAATTATTTATTTACGTGTTCTGAAAACAAAGTTTGACAGCAAAGAATACTATGGTGATCAGTAGTGTACCCTAATAAAAGATTAGAAATTTTTTAGTGTAAAAATATGTTTTTAAGAAAATTTGTTCTTATATAAACTTGCAGTGGTTACAAATACACGATAAAATAGTTTTTTATTTAAAAATATAACGTTTTTTTAATTTATTGGGAGGCCAATAATACCCTCTTTGAATTGTACGAAAATACAATGATTGGCCATGGTGGCTAAAGAGGCCAATGACTGTAATTTTCAAAAATATTGTAAAATATTATCAAACATTTTTTACAACACTTAAATATTTGTTTTTAATAAGTCTGTTTATGTAAAAATATTAAATAACCTTAAATTACAATTTTTGGCCACGGCCAATCATTGTACAACGATAGGGGCCAATAACTGAAAATTCAACATTTTATTTTGCCACCAGTGTCGCCTCTGTTGCTTTCAAAAAAGTACAGGTTATACCTATAATTCTAATAACTTCATGTTAATAGGAAAGGTGGCCAATCATTGTATTTAAAAACTTACAGAGGCCAATGATACAATTATTGGCAACTGCCAATCACTATGTTTTTAAGGCCAATAAATGTATTTTCTGACATTTGCATTATTTTCTTAACATATCTGCACGGAGAGAAATCTGCTGCGATTTGCGCATGAGCAAGTCCATAGGAATATAGCATGGACACTTCCAAGCAAAAACCATAAGATTCCATCTGAATATCAGGTGAGACTCATACAATAATACCTCGCTCACTTAGGATTTTTGCTTGAAAGCGTCTGTTACTATATTCCTAAGGACATGCTCATGCGTAAATCGCACCAGATTTCTCTCCGTGTGTTATTTAAAATTTTCCTATTTTTTTCTAATTACTAATATTTAAAATAGAATAAATTTATGGGCGATTAGTGTTTCTCAAATATTTTTTTGACATATGGTGTGAATTCGACAGTAAGTCAAACATAAAAATTTTCTTAGGGGGGCCAATCATTGTACCGATTACCCTATGTCTTAATAAAATAGAATTTATTAAAAATTGTTTCAGACATTAAACATTTTGATTATGTTCGATCAAACTGAAAGTACCGCTTTTGGTATGAAGATAAATTTTGGTATTTCTTCAGTACCATTAATTAGTAGGAATTCTTCACTTCCTATACAAAATTCTTCAGGTACCATTACAGGAAGTTTATTTAATAGATCTACTTCAAATTTTGGCCAAACTTCTTCAACACAAGCGCATTTTGGAGGTGAAAAAAATTATATTATCTCATTTGTTTTTTTATATTTCCTAATTAAATCTGACGCTCCACAGTGAAAAGGACTTTAGCTGTAAAAAGCTAATTTTACATGAAATACGTTTAAATAATCATTAATAACACAAAATCTATTGATTCATATAAAAAAAATAAAAAATCATATTTTTCCAGCTTATGTCCCTTTCACGGTGGAACATCATAAATAATAAAAAAAAATTCTTATTTATTTTTCAAAATAGGTTTTGGAAATACAAACACAATTCCATTTAGCAATCAACAATCTACAAATGCCATTGGAACCAATACATTTACACCATTGGCACTTAATCAAGCTAATAATCAAACTGGTTTTGGTTTTAATCCTTTTGTTCAACCTCAATCACAACAGACAAATAATCCTTTTGTAAGAACGTCTAATTTCTTTAATTCTTCATCTTCTTCTGGATTCAGAGATACAAGTGGAACAGTTGTGAAATTTAATCCTGTTGTGGGAAGTGATACAATACAAAATAGAGGATTAACTCAAACAATACACGTGCTTTATTGGTGCATTAATGTTATGAAAGAATATGAAGATAAATCTTTGGAAGAATTACGATTTGAAGATTATAAACAAGGTAGAAAAGGACTACAAACAGGATTTTCTAACTTATCAACGCCTGGAATTTCAACAACAAATCAATCAAGTACTGGTTTTTTTAATAAACCATTTATGTTTTCCACACCTTCCATTACTAACAATCAATTTCCAACAACTTCTCCATTTCCTTCAAATAATTCAACAAATTTTGTATTTAATAAACCACAGAATAGTGGATTTGTTTCAACTCAATCTAATCAGAATAATCAATCAAAACCACTTTCTTTATGGTCAACTTCATGCAATGGATTTAATCCATCAAATTCAAGCACAAATTTATTTATCTCAAAATCTTGTTTTCTTCCAGAGAATACAAAACAAAATTTTCTATTTAAACCTTCTGGTTTTTCTTTAACATCAAATGCAATGAATACTACTTTTAACAATAATAATCCTTTTTCTAATTTACAGAGAAATATAAATTTATTTACACCCAATTCCAATACATATAAAACACCTTTTTCAACCACTGGTTTTGCTCCATCTTACAATTATCGACCTTTTAATTTCCCCTCTTCAAATTCTTCAATAATTCCTTCGTCATTAATTGCGAATCAAACACAAAATACTGTTTCAAATCCAATACCTAATCAAATTTTGGGTTTAATTACAACGCCATTTGGTGATTCCTCATTATTAAGAAATCTTCAATCATCATCATCAAATAAAGCTGAACATATGGCAAAAACAAAATCAGCATTTATTGTAAATAAACCAATGAGTCGAACACAATATAAAATTTCGACAAATAATTCTTCATTGAAAATAAAACCGAAACTAATTAACGGTTCTGGATTACATCAGAAAACATTGTTTGATAGTCTTGAAAATGAAGATTCATATTTATTGGAAACATTTCAAGTTCGTCCTAGTGCAAAACGTTTAGTTTTGCGAGCAAAACGATCATCAAATAATTCCAAAACGGGGGAAAATTTTTTGGCAAAAAATTCTGAGACAAATATATCGACAATATCATTATGTGATGAGACAAGTGCCACTGATAAAGAGAATCAAGAAATTCAATCTTTTAACAGTGATACAACAAGTTCTACATCATGGCTCAAAGTTTCAGTGATAAATCAAAATAAATGTCATGGGAAAAATTTAAAACAACTTGAAATTACAGATATTGAGAATTTTGATGATTCTATCACAGAATTGAGACCAAGTCTAACGAGTCCTTCAAGTTCATTGTTGAATTCGAATATTTCTCCAATTCAATTGAACGATGAAGAAGATTCTCTAGATTCATCTGAACGAGTTTTAAATTCATCGAAAAAATCCCTGGAATCAATAAACATTGCACAAAAAGCTCAAGTGAAACTTGAAAGATGTGAATATTATACAATTCCTCCATTGGAAAAAATTGATGATTATGTTCATGAACAAACATGTATTGTTCCTAATTTCACTGTTGGTCGTAAAGGATATGGTAAAGTTTCTTTTTCAGAATGTGATATTTTTGGATTAAATTTAGATGAAATAGTTCATTTCAATCATAAGGAAGTGATTATTTATCCAGACGATAATAAAAAACCACCTATTGGTCAGGGATTAAATCGCTCAGCACAAGTTACATTAGAACGTGTTTGGCCTAATGATAAATATGATAATAAGCCAATTCGAGATGTTAAAATTATTGAGAAAATGAATTATGTGGAGAAATTGAAACGTGTTTCTGAGAAGCACAATACTTCTTTTTTGGAATATCAATCAAAAACTGGATCATGGATCTTTCAGGTAGAACATTTTTAATTGCAATGAAACAAAAAAATATATATATCAAGGTATTTTATAAATTGTAAACAATTGGTCCAATTAATTCCGATCGTTCTTCTGTGATAGATGCGCATTTGTGAAAAAAATTGTTGATGTGAATTTTTAAAATGTTAAAAAAGTTTAATTTACCTTAATTTTTTTTTACTATTTAGTTGTATATTTAATATTTTTTAAAAATCATTATTTATTTAACTCGTTTATTTAAAATTATTTTCTTTGAAAAATTTATACGATTATTATCTTTAATCAAATTTATTTATGAGGATAATTGTTTAAAAATTAGTAAAAACAATTGGTTCCAACTTCCAATGAAAGTTACGGTTATTATTATTTTTTGTTTTTCTTTAATCTTGGGTAAAAAATGTCTTAACTTTTAGTAGAGACTGTCATATAAATTCTATCTTAAAAAATGATGAAACATCGAAAGTTCCAATCTAAATATTATAAATTATAAAAAATGTTATTATAATTATATATTGTATTCAAAAATATTTAATGTATCGTTTAATAATTCGTTTGTAGTTTATTTTTAGCATATTTGCTAAATATTACGTTATAATTTTACATTATGTACGAATTTATGAAATTTTTTGTATTAATTTCTTTTTTTTATAAAAAATCTTAAATAGATTTTTTAAAAATATTTTAATACTACAAAAATGTTGTTTGCAAATATTTTATATTGTCTCTTCGTTATAAAATTTTTTTCTAATTGCTTTTATAGTGTTCCAAAAATTAGTTTTAAAACAAAACAAAAACTTAAAATTGTAATTTTGATACTAATAAAAATTGTATAGAGAACACTTTATAAATACATAATATGTATATAGATGATATTTTAATCACTCTAAAAAAAAATAAAACTTACTGTAACAATAAAAAAAAAATTATAAACAATAAATAAAATATATAATATTAAAAGTAAAATAAAAATGTATTATATTTACCCTGTGAATTTAAGTATATTACATTTTTTTCTATCAATAAAATTATGGCCAATTTAGATTAATCCCCGTAACATCCAATGCAATAATATCGACATCCGTTTGTAAAAGACTACACAAACTTGGAATTGTTCTACCAAAATCACTGTGTACAAATTCTTTCACATAAGTTCCAGCTTGTGTTTTAACGTCAATAACAAAAAGTTCATTTCCATCAAGATTTTTTATATCAATTGAAATTTTCGCCAATTCTTCGGTTTTTAAATGATATGCTCTTATTGAGTGTATTGTCCGTATTCGAGAAGCCAATGGACGTCGATGTAAAACTCTAATTGGTGTTTTTTGAATAATATCCAATTTTTTTAAATCATTTAATTTATCAATTAAATCCTTGGTATTTGATTTTGGCTTGTAAATGCAAAATGCTCGATAGTTTTTTGTTTTCTCGTTCTCGCCTTCTTTTAATTTTTTTAAATCTAATCTGTAAAAGAATTAAAAAAAAATGTATTATTAGTAATTAAAAGTAAAAAAAAAAAAGTGAGAATAATTTTCTTTACTTGGAAAGAAGCTTTAAATTGCTGGTAATTTTAACGATTTCCGAATTTTTATTGATATCAGAAACCAATTTTTCAAAACCTTCTGGAAATTTTGTAATTCTCGGATTAATTAATTCAACCGCAAAAGGCCTGCCATTATTTAACATTCGCACATCCACGTCTTCTCTTCCAGATGAAAGGAATTTCATCGCTGTTAAAAAGAAAACAAAAATATGTTCATTAATATAATATATTATTTAGGATTATTAATATATGAATTTTGTATTATAATTATTCATTATCTTTATATATTATTTTAAATAATCATATTACTCACAATCAGCTTGAACGTATTTGAGAATTGGATCACAAAGAAGTTCTTGAACAGATGTTTCCATTTTTCTCTCTCCATTAATAAACCAAGGAGTTTGGCATAAATTTCTTGAAAGTTTATTATAACGACCTAAATATAAAATATAAATTTACAATTTTTTATTTTATTGTATATAAAATACAAATTTAAAAAAAAAACAAAATCAATGTTTACCTCCTATGAAAAGACTACTATGAGCACAATTAACTTTATCAATTGTAGCAAAAGATTTAACAGATTTTGGCGGTATTGTACAATTATCTACAAATTCATCATCATTTAAAGTGTCTAATGTTGATTCAACATTTTTTCTACTATAACTATTTTCCTTATTTCTTTTTCTTGAATTATTTGACTTTTTTTCAACATTACATTTTTTTAATCTGCAAAATTGTCAATTTTAAATATAGTATAAACCTTAAAAATAAATATTTATACTTTGATAAATAAAAATAAACTTACAAGGCGACACATTCTTCTTCATCATGAGAATGTGAGAAAAATATATCAACAAGAAAATGAGAAGTAACTCTTTGTGGTTCGCCAATTTTATTCGTCAAATTCTCAATTTTTGGTACAGCCATTAATTTCCAAATTTCCTTAAGACTTTGCGTTTGTAATTTCAATTCATTAAGTGCATCTTCAGATAATTTTAAACACTGTGCTAAATAAATTTGTATAGAACGTTCTCTAAGTGCAATTAAAACTGGAATAGTCAATGCAATGGTAAATGTCTCGCAATCATAATTCCCTCGAATAATTTCGTCTGCTGTCTTAAAATCATTAAAAAAAAAGAAAATTATACAAAAAATAAATGTTAAAATATAATAATTAAAATACTTTATTAGACAATTTTAAAAATAAATATAAATTTATACCTTTTGAATTGTATTTTGAAACAATTCATCTTGTAAAATTCCTAAACATACTATGCAAGGAGTATTTACAATTTCAGATTTATCTAAATATTCCAACTGCGAAGAAATTTTTTTAATAAAAGAAAATTATAAAGAATAATTATATTTAATATTTATGTAATAATATAATTTAAAATATGAAACACGTTTTTACCTTTTCCAATGTCAATAAAGGATCTTCATAATAATTTGTATTTCTAGATCCTATAAAACGTAAACAACATCTGGGACAACAGCCTGATGCCCTTAAAAATCTAACAATTTCCCCCTCATTGCCGATTATTGTATTCATTTTATAAAATGTACAAAATTTAAATTAAAAAATTAGAAAATTACAGCAGATTATACAAATATAACCTCAAAAACCGAGATGATTAAGTTTTTTTTTTCGAATACGAAAAATGTGTGAAAAAACACTAAGTACGTGAAAAACGTATTAATAATATTGTTTTTAATACAACAAAAATTATTTCATTTTAACTTTATTTATTTATTTACTTTTATTTATTTATACATATTTTATTTACATTTATCATATTTATTTAATGAATCTTCTTCTTATTTGTCATAAACCAATGAAATCAAACTTGTCCATGTGCTCAATTTCTGAATGGCTAAAATGGACAAAATTGATTCTTATGCACGTTTCTCATTGGTTGATTTTATAATAAAGAGGTCCCCTTTCGGAAAAAAGTAAAGGATAGTTCGCAATGAACAACGTTGACGATCGTCCTGTGAAAATCAGGCAGTTTTTATTTTAGTAAGTACGCAATCAGCAAAGCAATTTTATAACGAAGAGAAAAATTCATAAATGGCGTTAAAAAACGTGATTGACCTTGTGAGGAACTAGAATCTTCGTGGAACGAGGAGAGAAGCATATTGAATTCTTTTCATTTTTCTCAATAAATCAACAATTACAAGACGGTTTCACATTCCCAACGCGAATTTCGCAAAGTCCGGATTGGCTGAGGTACTCGGGTTTTTAATACCTCCTGGGTGACGCCGGCCGCCCTTAATTTGGAGCCTTGAACCTACCATAAAATAAGGCCCTAAAATCCGACGAAGGTAAGGTCCCAAGCATAACCCTCAAATTAATATTTTTTTCGAACTAGAATAGTCGCGTTTATATATTTTTCTCAGAAAGTACAGTTAATTTTTTTTTACATTTATTTTGAACGATATAAGCTGCAGCAAGTTATGCTATATATTTATATGTGTGTATCATTTATATAGTTCATCAGCTGCACTTTTTTTTATTAAACATTAATTTGCATATTAAATATTCATAAAATAAACTGATCGATTGAGACTCAATTTCTTTGCAGAATATTTTTATTGTGTAACATATTTGAAAGATAATTGCTAATATATACTTCCACCGAATTATTTCAGAAAATTAAAATTGAGCTTATAAAAATATATTTAAAATCTTGTTCAGTTTAAAAAAAATGATTTTTAAAATATTTTTTTTTATGATGTGTGATATTTAAAAAAAAAAGAAAGTAAATTACATTGTTTGCTGCAACAAGTATTGTCAATGACATATACTAGTCTCTCTATCTCTCTTTTATAAGTTCTTGTTATCAAATATAGGAACTATAATTCCAATATCTATATTGTACACTCATATCCTTTTGTTTCCTTTATATGTATATATCAATTTTTCATCCTTTCTACTATCCAATTAACCTTTTTTTTTCTCCCAACACACTGCCAAATACCCATTTTTTCAGGTTGAAAAGTTCACTCGTTATAAGAGTTATACCTAGTGACGTACAAAAAAAAAAGTAAAAGTAAAAACAGTTCGCAGTTATAACAGTTTTTCTTAGTTTGTGTTGTGTTCAAGTTGAAAAAAAAGTAAACAGTTCGTGTTATAGTATACCTTTAAAAAAAAGTCTACATTTAATCTGTGAAAAAAAGTATAGTAAAAAGTATATAAAGTATCAAAAGAAAAAAAAGTCAATCAGTTTCCGACGTGCTATAAAAAAATGTCTCACACGACATGGATCGCGCGCGTTGCACCTTCAAGAGCGATTACCGCATGGGCTCTTTTCGATCCAGGTAAGCCCTGCGCGATGCTACTGTTGTAGCTTAAAGCGCTACACTGGTAGGTCTCCAGGTCTCACAGCATTTCCCTTTTTCCTATATTTATATATTAAAAAAAAATAATAGAATAATATTCCGAAATGCAGCAAAACTATGAATGTCTAGATAACTATAATAATATACAGAATATTTCCACGAATGATCCACTATTAAAAAATAAAACCTATCAATTATCTAGATATGTATTAAAATTTATTTAAAACATTATTCTTTTTTTTATGAATCATTTGTTTTACTTATTTAATTTAACTTTTTAATAGAAAATAGTTATTTTTCGTGGAAATATTTATAACAGAAACTAGATTATTCATATGCCAATGAAATTCACAACGTTTTCTCCTGTAAAATTTTGTCTCGTGGAACATTTATTAATAAATTATAAGATTTCAAATTCGGTATGAATAAATGTTTAAATTAGCTAATGAAATTTCTTTTTCTCTTTTTAATTTATCACAGGGCTCGGAGTGTACGATTTCAACGAGCAAATTCGACTTTTTTAAAAATATTTTCATTACTTAAAATTATAACTAATTATATAATTTAATATTTGAAAATAATTTATTTATTTTATAGATTATTTGGAGATAATGTCAATTATTAGAGAGAATAATTTAATATAATTTCAATTCTTTGGTTACAGATTTAAAATAGTTTCAATAATTTTATTAAACATTCAAAAAATTTTAATTATTCGATTCAATATAAGAAGGTAATTCCAATTATTTGATTGAATATTTTCAAAATTTTTGATATAATAATTAAGATTTTTAAAAATATATTTTTCAGTCAAACTTTTTAGATTGTTTTTGCGACTTAAAGTCGATCCGAGGCCTGTAAGTTATCAAAAAAAAAAAAAAAAAACGTTGCGGACTTTAATGTCATTTATTCATTCTATACATATATATTTTCTCTGATTTAATTTAATTTTTTTTAATTTAATTTATATTTGAAAAATATTTTATATTTATTTCATATTCAAATGTCATTTTTTAACAGTTTCAAACTTTTCATCTTTAGGAAAAATAATCATTATTTTAGCAAAATTTAATCCACAAAAAAGAGCTGTGAGCCATGAATCTAAAGTTATATAATGGAATTAAAAAAAAGAAAAAAAAAGAAAGTACTTGAAATATGTTTAGTAATATTGAATACGGTCCTTGAAGATATGGATATATTGTGTGTTAAAAACAATAAGAATTAATTGAAAATAAAAATATTCATCGTTGAGAAGAAATCATCATCTTATATTTGTATTATTTGTTTTTTTGTGATAAATTCTAATTTTTTAAATTGTTCACAGGCTAAACATGTCGGACTCCAGTTCTGACAATTCATCATCCGAGGACTATGAGGAAAGTCGTAGAAGTGTCTCACCGGATACAGTAGCTTCACAATCACCACGACGTTCAACTCATTCGGACCGAAAGACACCCTCAACTGAGGCATCTTACAATGCTCGCTCGTCTGCTTCTCCATTATCAAATCGTGGATCTAAATCGCCAAGAACTTCAAAAAAATCACACAATTATCATCGTTCCACGTCAAAATCCGCCCGATCAATGAGCAAATCACCAGCGTCAAGTGGAAGTTCACAAAAATCACGCTCGCCATCACCCACAAAATATAGTTACAAAGATGGTTCTGAATCACCACAATCAAATCGTAGTTCACGTTCAAGATCCAATAATCCAGATTCACCACCCTCACGATCAAATCCCTGCTCTCCCTCACGTTCAAATCAAGGCTCTCCATTGAGGTCAAATCAACGATCACCGTCAAGATCAAATCCAGGCTCACCTGAGACACGATCAAATCGAAGTTGTTCCCCTCAAATGCGTTCAAATCGAAGTTCATCACATCGATCAAATCCAAGTTCAAATTCGCGACCAGGTTCAAATCGCAGTTCTCCTCAACCGCAATCGCCCAATTCACCGAGACCCGATTCAAATCGTAGTTTTTCAAGACCTCGTTCTAATCATAGTTCACCACGTTCACCGAATAATTGTCGTTTCCAACGAACAGGACCAATGTCACCGAAATCTCCACGTATGACATCAAGTCCAGCATCACCAAATTCTCCTCAAAATGCTGATGACTATAATTCCCCACCAAATTCCCCAACGATGTACAGAGGTCATTCACCTAAATCGCCACTTGATCGTAACAGTGAATCAAGACCAAGTTCACCAAAATCTCCACGATCTCCCGCATCGCCAAGAACTCCCCTAACACCACAATCACCACGATCACCAAGATCTCCCGCATCCCCAAGATCACAGCGTAGCTCTGTAAAATCTCCCGACTCTGGACGAAATACTCCAAAGTCAATGAAATCATCGCCGAGTGTTGATCGCCATTTAAATAAACGTTCATCACCACATTCGCCGGAAGGTAAAAGCAGAAATTGTTATAATGAAATTGATGGTGAACAAATATCCGATGGTGATATGGACGATGTGTCACAATCAGCGCTTAAATCAAAGCCTACGCCAATTTCTCATGGCGAAGATTTATCCGATGTTTCAGATTTAGATAGTATGGACGATGATGGTGATCGTGAGCATGGACAAAAGAAAACTGAGGAAATTGTTGAACAGCCAATATCTATTGTGAATAATGAGAAAATTGAGAGGGAGGAGAAAATTGCACCCGAGAGTTTAGCTGAGGAAAATGAACAATTGGACTTTGAAGCTGATGGTCAATGGAAAGATGAACGTGAGGATGGTCAGTATAAATAGATAAACCGTTTTTTTATATAATAACTTTTATACAAAAAGAAAAATTTGAGAGCTTTCAAATTTTTTTGGAAGTGTCTTTAAAATTTAAGCTTTTGCATAAATCGATATAATTTTGCAAATTGAGACTAATTTTATGAATATGATTTTTTTTTAGGAGAAACAGAGCCAGCACCAATAAAAGAAACCAAGGAAATCAATGACAAAGAGCCAAAAGATAAAGATAAAGACAAAGTGAAAGCAAAAGAGGTGGACGAGGAAAACGATAAAGAGGATGGCGAAGAAGAAGATGATGATGATGATGAAAAAGGTAATTCCGAGTTGGAAGAAGGTGAGCTCAGCGATGGTGATGATGCTCGTCCTGAAGAAACGGAACCACGACCTGTGTGTAGATTTTATAATCGTGGTCAATGCACTTGGGGTGTTAGCTGTAGATTTTTACATCCCGGTGTTACCGACAAGGGTAATTACACTATGTTTGATATGGTGAGACCAATGGCATATCCTCCACATGCTGGTGGTCCACATGAATTTCGGCCTCACATTGAAAGACCAAGTTTAATGAGACCACTTCCTGGTTTCTCTGCTGCACCTCCTCATGTTCCAAAAACCGATGAACTCGTCTCTGAATCTCCTTGGGAACGTGGATTACGTCAAGCTAAAGAAGTGAGTGTGTTGCTTTTTTTTTATTTTCTCAACAAACATTGAAATTTCCATTTTAATTCGAATAAATAAAATGATATTTCTTTTTACAATTTTACAGTCACTTTTTTTAAATTTAATTTTTTTCAAATTGATAGGTTTTTAAATATTTTTTAATTCTATGAATGCAGATGATGAGAAAAGCAAACAAACGTAAAGAATCTGATATGGATTTCGAGGAGAAGAAAATGAATTTGAGTTTAGGCCAAGAGGAACTCGATAGAGAAGCCGGATATTATGTGAGACCAGCGAGTCCTGAACCACCAATAGAACGATGGCCACCACGAGAACCTCCACAAAGAGTTTCTCGAGCACCTGCACCGAGAATAACGCCAGATCATTATGCAGATGAACCCGAAGGATATTATCCTCCAACTCCTCATGAATATTACAGGTTATTATTTTTCTATCAATTAAAAATTTTTTTTTATGTTTTTAAACTTTAATTTTCAAAACTGTTTAAAAATTAAAAAAAAATAGAAACCATTATATAAATTAATTTTTAGACGAGTTCAATATAAATCGGAAGGCAGAAGTGGAATGGAAAATTATAGAGAACGTTATGATTATCATTCGGTTCAACCACGTAATGCTCCACATTCAAATTCACCACCGCCACATCCACGCGAGCGTGAACGTGATAGGGAACGTGAACGCGAAAGAGAACGTGAATATTATGAAAAATATGAAAAGAAACATAAACGACCCTCGAGGGAAGTGATTGTTGAACGTATACCATCGTCTAAAACATGGCGAGAGGAAGAACCACAACCAACAGAAAGAACTCGTGGCGATGAATGGGCTGATCCTTGGATGCGTCGAAAATCCCCTGGTTCTGTTCGTAGAAATCGAACCTCATCGAAAAGATCTCGACGACAATCTTATTCATCAGGTTCATCTTACTCATCGAGCAGGCAAGTTTTTTACAAAATAAAACTACAATTTTTTTTTTTACTTTCCACTAAGAAAATTAACTTTTAGTTAATACATAATGTTAATTTTCACATTACAAAAAATTATTTAAGAACACTTGTAAAATATTTAAATTAACAATTAACACTTATTTTTAATAACAAATTTTTTGTACTTTTCTTTTTTAAATATTCTTTAAAAGTTGAAGTTTTCAAGTTAGATATTGTTTTTCTGTATTTTGTGTATTTTTTTTTAATCTTATTTTGTGCTTTCTATATTGAATGTGAATGATTGAAATTGTAAACTTTTAGCTCTAGCCGTAGTACGAGCCATTCTAGCTACACTTCTTATGACTCCCAATCCAGGTCCAGATCACCGTCCCCTCCTTCTAGGTCCCGTGTTAATGCAAAAACAAAAACCTTAACTGCTGCACCTCCTCCTGCTGTTGTTGCACCACCAGTACGTGGTGCAATGTTAATGAATCCACCTGCTCCTTCTCCTCGCGGTAGCAAAGGCTCAACTTCACCTACTGGAACTCTACATCGAAGAGCTGGACTCAATCCACCAGCGCCGAGTCCATTGACAACACATCCTCGACAAAATGACAAAACCAGAGACAAAGCAGCTCTTGCCGCTGCTGCTGTTGCTAAAGTTATTAAGGGCCATTCTCGATCCAGGTAAGAAATATTTATTTTTCTTTAATATTGGAAGAACTGGAGTTAAATAAACAAACAGTCGAAAGTAAAAAAAGTCAATAATTCAAAATATTGACAATAATTTTATTATTTACTAGCAAAATTAAACGCGCGCAAGCGCGCCAAATTGAGTATTTAATTGTTTGTTATAAAGAAATTAAAGATTAATATTATCAATAATAATTTAATTTATTAGAATATTATTACATATTAAATGATAATAAGGAAAATTATATGTTTAAATTATGATTATATGACTTTTTTCAAAAATACGACTTTTATCGACTTATTTTAATAAAATGCGACATTTTTTTTTACATTTGAAAAAAAATTGTAAATAAAATACATTTTTTAGTATAAAATGTAGATCTTCTTCAGATCTTCTTCAATTCAATTATTTAACAAATTTTGAACTAAAATGATTCTTCACTAAATTAATTATTTTTAATAATTTTAATGAAATACATCACAAATTCAATTATATCAAAATTATTTTTTCAATTAAAACTTTTATGAAATTTAACAATTGTTTATAATTTAAAAAAAATATCACAATAAAATTGAATTATTTTTTAAAAATTTCAATTCAAAATAAACTAAAATTCAATTATTACCCGAAATTTTAATTCAAAATCAATTATCCAAATTTTCAATCAAAAATGAACTTAAATTAAATTAATATCCAAAATTTCAATTAAAATTCAATTACTTCCCAAAATTTTCAATTCAAAATGAACTGAAATTCAATTATTTTCCAAATGTAAAATCAAATAAAAATTCATTATTCTCAAAAATTTGAATTCAAAATTAATTGAATTTTCAATAATTTGAATTTAAAAGCATCTTAAAATATAATTATTTCTAAAATTTTCCATCGAAAATTTTTTTTTTGAAATTTAATAATTTCAATTATAACTCTAAGGAAATTCAATTATTTTTAACTATTTTAATAATATTCTTTGAAATTTCAACTATCAAAAATCTCAATTTTAAATCTTTGAAAATTCAATTAAATTTAAAAAAATGTTTTCCAAAAATTGTTTGATAAATTATTTTTAGTTCTATAAAATTTAATAATTGTTTGAAAATTAACAATATCTTTTGAAATTTAATTATTTCTAAAAATTTCAACTTTAACCCTTCGAAAAGGATTATTATTAAAAAAAAAATTTTTTTTATTTAAAAATCTGTAAAATATTTTTGTTAAAATAAAAAAACAAATCCACTTTTCTTTGGAATATAAATCGACTAAAACGACTTTTTGTGTCTTTAAGTTGATTCGAGGCCTGTGTTTTTATAATTAATATTTAATAGGTATTCGTTGGCCCCTGGTACCTTAAAAATTAATTTTTTCAAATTACTATCTTGTACGAAATTTCCTGGCGCATCTTTTTTCTCATCATAAATTTTTTGTATTTGTATACAATTTTTGAATCTCAATATACAACTTAAAAAAAATTTCGTTGGTAAACGTTATGTACTTGAGCTTCGTGAATTGAATTTTCGAATTTGGAATTTTAAAGAAACTTATTCCGAAATTTGGAAACACAATTATACAACTTTGGCAAAAATGAGAAAAAGAATTGTCAATATTTGACACGTCATAAGATTACTATTCAAAAAAACACGTGAAATCAGAAAAGACCAACTTCAAGTTAGGGTAGAAGGACAGACCAAGCATTTTATTATTATATAATGTTATTTTCAATAGTTAACACCGCTTTTTCAATGTAACTTTTATGTTTATGTAATAAATTAATAATTTTATATTTTTTTAGATCATCTCACAGTAGTTCAGGATCGGATAGCAGTGGCAGTAGCAGTGATTCAAGTGAATCAAGCTATTCATCTTCATCGAGTGAATCGCGACGAAAAAAAGGATCAACACCACCAATTCGAAAAGATACAAAAGCTCTCGATGCCCTTAAGGTGAGCGGCAATAAGCAACAAATAAAGTTGACATTGAAACCATCACAGAGTGCAACAGCAGTTAAGAAAGTTGATCGTAGTGCGTCAATTGCTGGTAAAAAGAGACCGGCCGAAACATCGCCGACGGTTGACAGTAAAGCAAGTGTTGCCGCTGCCGCTGCAAAAGCAGCCAAAAAAGCAAGTTCACGACGTGAGGAACTATTGAAGCAACTCAAAGCTGTTGAAGATGCGATTGCACGAAAAAGATCAAAAGTTTAAATTCAAATAACTTGGAGGAAAAAAGTTACTTTACTATATACATGTTTCTTTGCCTTTAAATATAGATAACACTTTAATCATACAGTAAATTTTTCTCAATTTACAGGAATATGTTAAAAGATGGTCATCTTTTTTTTTTTTTTTTTTTGTTTTTTATAAACAAACTTTTATACGCCTGTGTAATTTGATAATTGTGCTCTATTTTTTTAAAAAGAAAAGTGCGTATAAATAAAATGTCCGTTACATCTCTCTCTTTTTTGTGTTAATTTCCACATTTAGAAATTTGCGAAATAAAGTAAAGTTGAAAATGAGAAAAAACCAAATTTTGTTATAATAATTTATCCTTAATTTTAATTTAACACTTCTTTCTATATACGTATTTATAAATACTGACTTTTATTTTTTAATAGAATAACAATACCTTTCAGGTACATCGCACAACCCAATTAAATATTTTTAAAATAACTTTGCAGCAATTGTGAATAAATTAGTTTTTCGTGTTAATGCTATCGCTTAAAAGCAATTAAAATAGTTATTTGTAATTGCAGAATTTCAGTCATTTTTATATATATATATATAAAAGTACAAAAAAAATTTGTCGACATTGACATTTGATCGAAAGTTTCTATTTTAATTAACGAAGAATGATAATTTACAATAATTTTTTACATTGCTTAATTATTGTAAATTATTTACAATTTCAATTCTAAAATAGCTTTTTCGTAATATTAAAATTCAAACGTATGTTATTTATAGGCATTCGATTTTTTAAACAATATTGATTTAAAAAAAAATTATTTTTAGAGTATTGTGTGAGTATTGAATTCTCGAAATTTAAAGTCGACATTTTTGTTATTAGGGTTCTGAATAATTTTTTTCAATTTTTTTTTTTGTTTAGTAAATTGTTAGAAATATTAATCAGCACAGCTAAAATGTAAAATTCTTAATGATAAAAACAATAAAATTTTTGTGTTTTTATATCACGTATGTAACGTCTAAAATTTAACATTTCAGATCCCTAAAATTTTTCCACAACTTTCCATTAAATAAATATTACGTAGCTTAAATCAATTTCACCAAGGTTTAACTAATATACTTATATAAATTAAATTGAAATTGCCGTCGCTCTAACGGCAGCACTTAAAAGTGGATTTGGATCGGGTTCTTCCGTTAGAATGCAAACTTTAGTCCACTCTCGTCGTTTATTACTTTGTCGTAATGCATCGATAACGGCTTGAACATAAAGACCATCCTCAAATGTTGCAGCTGAAGAAACAGGTTCTTTAATCCATCCACGTTTATCTTCGACAGGCAAAAAGGCCTCTCTCAATGCACCAATCATTTTTCTCAAACCCTTAATATAGGGACGAGGAATGAAATCCGCTACAGAAGAACATGAATCCTGAAGATTTTCCACATCTAAATATAAAACATCCTCCTGATCATCTCTACATCCATGTAAATCGCCTCCACGTACAACAAGATGACCACCAGGTCCACAAACTAATATCTCCTGTGACAATTGACCCTGAAGATGATTACTGAGAGTTGCCGTTACAAGTGTTCCACCATTTAATTCCATTTGAAAGGTACAAAAATCCGGTGCAGTCACGTGACGTATTCCTGATATAGATTTTGTCGTTTGGGTGAATGTGCGAATTACTGCGTGTACTCGAACAGCACGTTGACCAATTAAATGATGCACCAAATCTATCACGTGACTTCCAACAAGAGCCAAAATTCCACCTCCCATTGTATCATCGCACAACCAATCATAGCCTGAAATTATTTTTAAATAGTTGATAAATTTTTTATTTATTTAATAAATCATTCCTGCAAAGTATTTATTTTTTTAAAATTAGGCGGCAACGACTTAAGTGGAAATATAATGGATTGACCCATAAATAAAGTTAAAGTAGACAATAATTTGAGTTTGAATGTAAAGGATCCTTTGATTTAAATAATTATTAGTTCTGAATTAAAATATATTTAATATTTGAAAGTAATATTTACCGTCATGCAATAAACTGCCCATTTGAACTCTGATATCAATTACAGTTGCTAAACCTCCAAGAAATCCATCCTCTAAAGCTTTCTTCATTTGTATGAATGCAGGAAGAAATCTTAAACTATGATTTATAATACTTATTAATGATGGATAATATTGTGCAGCTCGTACCATTTTCAATGCTTCACTTTGACTCAATCCACCTGGTTTATCACAAACTACATGTTTACCAATCCCCAATGCTTTAACTGCAATTTGTGCATGTAAACTAGGCGAGCACATTATGAAAATTAAATCAACATCCCTTCTCAACAGTACATCATCAATTCGACTTGTGTGAAATGGAATTTCTAAATCTGTCGCCAATTCTGATGCTTCTGCAATTGTTCTACCCCATATTGCTTCAATTTTAAATCCTTTTTCACGAAGAAATGGTATTATAATTTTAACAATATTCCCCGTACCAAATACTCCAATTCCTGGCAACATTGTGTTTGTAAAATTTTCCTCAGAATTAATAAATTCTCAAGATAAATTAAGCGATATTATCCTCTATTTTTTGAAGATTATATACATATTACATATGTAAAATTAAATTTTTTTATATAAACCGCACTAACAGATCTTTCTTTCCATTTTGTTCAAATTTGATCACTTAAAACACTTAAAGTTAATACGTATTTTAAATTAAAGCATGTTCATTCTATATTTACATAAATATAAATATTTCACATTCTAAAATATCCTATATTAGTCATTATTACTTTTTGTTCACATAGGCATTATTATTATTTTAACAAGTTTCTATAAATTGAATTGTTTCACAAAAGCAAAGACAATTTTTAGAAAAAATACTATTTAATTGATATATATTTTAAGAATAAAAGAAAAGTACAAAACATTTTTAATTATACAAGGAGGTTAAGTTTTGTTGACATTTCCAATATTTTGACAGCTTCGTTTGGAGTGCCTCTATAGGTGAAATCTCAAACTGTTGTTTCAAATAGAAATCAATTGATAAAACAAGATTTAAGTTTAAATTATTTAAAAATAAATAAATGTAATTAATATTAAAATAAGTGAAATAAACCGGAATTTTTAATCAGAGTTTTTAATGTTATTATAATAAATAGTTGATTTTTATGCATTTATACCAAAAGCAACAAAGTTTAAAAAGTAGTCTGTATAGGCGCAACTTAAAACAATAATTATATAATAGATTAATAAAATTTTAACCGTGCTTCAAAAAGATTTAGTAAAATCGAAAAAATACCAGAAAAAAATTTAGGATAAATGATAATTTTCAAAAAAAATTTAAATTAGAATAAATATTAATTTAGAGTGAATTGATGCATTTAAAAATAAATTGAAAAATATGAGAATAGTAAAATTATATATATAATAATAATAATTATTATTATTATTAATATTATTATTATCTTAGTTTGAGTATAAATTTAATTTTGAAATTGATCAAACAATTCCTTGACGACTAACAGCAAGTTCACATTTATTTAACTATCTATATATTTTTAGATCTTCTGAGTTTCTATCAGTTGCGTTTATTTCCATTGATTTTGTAACACATTTAAATAGTTTATCCTTCTATTTTGTTGAATAATTTTTTCCCCCAATTTTACTTTCTATTGATAAGACTCTTACTATTTCTTTAATTTAATGTATTTTAATAATTAATATATAAAATTATTTTAAATACACATATGAAGCTGTTAAACTTCTTACTTCGTTATTTCCCACCAGGTATGATAAAGTATTATATTGCTCAATTTTTAATGATTTTTATAATTAATAAAAAAAATTATTTATTATAATAATTAGAGAAATGATTACTTTTTTTTGGTTATTGCAGGCATTGCATTGGAATATGTGCAGGGAGGACAAATTAAAACGAAAATGATAGACCTTTTGGATTTATCTGCACAGTAAAATTTTTCATTTCATTTATTATATAAATCTGATTAATTTGATGAAAATAATGATAAATAGTTTTCATTACACTAGATTTGGATTTTAAAATAAAATTATAATTAAAAAATTTAATACTTTTTCAAAATATTTAATTACTATTTTTCTAACTTACAATAAAAAAATTTTTTCTTCTACATAAATCAAATTTACTATAATTAATTTTATTGTAAATGTATTTTTAACAACTAAAAATACATTTGCAATAGAAAAAAGTCGTCATGAAAAAATACTTATGTAGTTTTTCGAATAATACCGATTTAACTGATTATTTGGTATATAATTGTATTTAAGTAAATTAATTATAGAATACTATAGCATTAATTTGATATCATTTGAATATAGAACAGACATAAGACAATTAGCAGAAAGTATTAGAGAATCAGAACCAGTGATAACGGAACGAGTTATGGACCAATTGATTGAATCTTTGCAAAAATTACAGAAAAAAGTCAGTGACACTGGAGTGAAGCGTTATTATAAATATAAAACACTTAAAACCCACCTTTGTCCCTTGACTAATGTGGCATTCGATAAATTAGGTAAAAGGTACTCTCAATCAGTTTCAATAATTATATATGGTATTTTAATGATCATCCCATATAATTCATCAGATTCATGGTGAGGTAGAACCAGTTAGTATTAAAAAAAAGTATATAAAAAAAATGACGACAAAAATTAAAAATATTTAATTTATATTGAAAATTATCTGTTTACATTTTTTCTATGGGAAATATGTAAGTAAATAATGAATAATAAATATAAAAATATGTACACAGAAAAAAGATTTTAGTTAATTTAAAGAAATTATTTTCATTGAATTGTTTCGTCAATTTAAAGTCAATTTTTTTTTATTAAAAAAAAAAAAAAATTATTTTGTTTCAAAGAAATTTTTATTTTTAAATTAAAGAAATATTCTTTTGACCCTATGTATTAATATTAGAATTTTTTTGGTTTATAGAATAAATTTCTTTTATTACGAAGAAAAATTTATTTTGTATGAAGCAAAACAAATTAAAGAAACTGATTTCTTTAAATTAACAAAAACTTTTTCTGAATATGTAAATTTTTATTTATTTATTAATTTCTAACAAAAATATGTTATTTTTTCCTCAAAATTCATATTATTTTCATCTTGAAAGATTAATTGTAATATCGTGATATTATATATATATATATATATATATATATATATATATATATATATATATAGAAATAAAATGAAAGTTAATGCAATTTATAAATAAAACAAAATTTTGACAGATGCCTGACGGGTAGCTATGACCGAACTTGTAAAGTTTGGGACATTGACAGTGGAAAGGAGCTTCTTAATCTCGAAGGCCACAAAAGTGTAGTCTATGCAGTGACTTTCAATAATCCAGCATCGTAAGTGTATTTGTTAATTTATGTATATTTGTCATTTTATATTTTTTTAGTTTATTACATATCAAAAAACAGTTTTTCTAATGAAAGAACTTGAAACTTTATTTAAGTTTACAACTAGTACAGTAATATATATGTATATTTACTTATAATATATATATGTATCTATCTGTAATGTAAAATAAACCCAATAATTTTTAATGAATATTTTATAGAAAGCACAATACTTAATGTGTAAAAACATGTACACTTCCACTTAAAATATTTAACATATTATACAGTAGTAAAAGATATCAAATAGTTTCATATTTTAGTTTCTAGTAAAGAGACACAAGTTAAAAAATGTTTATTTTAAAACTTATATGTTGAGCTTTGAATACTATCTTAAAAATTACAAACAAATTGTTTTTATTGCTTATTACATTAAATATAATTTCTATTTATTTTTTGTCAATTTCAAAGTGATCACTATTGGAAATTCTTTTAACAAGTATCATAATTATGTAGGATCCTACATAGAATCCTATAAAAACCTTATATAGCTGCCTCCTATGATTAAATAAGGTAATTTCAAAAATATTTTTCAAAAATATAGTGTATCAGTTTAAAACTTAAAAAAAAGAAGAAAATTTTTCTTTTTTTCTTATTGAATTGTGCAATCGTTATTTTCAACTTTCTGTTTTGACTTTTCTCGACTACGAGAATTTGATTGATTAGTATTTGCAGTTGTTTGTCCGTAATTTTGTTTATATTGATGTGGAGCTGATGCATGTGTTTGGGGTGGTAAATTGGGGTATAATAAATTGTACGGTGGTGGAATTATATTATTCTCCAATGGTGCAGAATATTCTATTGGAGCAGAAGGTTGTGCTGGTGGAATTTTTATTGGTGTCTGAGTTCTAAAATTATTTTGAGGTCGATTTAATGATGTTGATGTTTCAATATTAGTAGAAGATGAAAATTTATTCTCATTTTTCGGTGGGCTTCTTGTTTCAATGCGATTTTTCTCAATTACAGGTGTCACAAGTTCTGTTTTCTGTAAAAAAAAGACGCATATTTTACATATATATATATTTATAATTAAGACTATTCACTTTATTGTTTAAATAAGTTTTTTACCTTTATATTAGATTTTCTTTCAAAATCCTTTGTTTTTGTCTGAATTTTATTTTCCACATTTTGCTGAATTTTTGATTCAAAAAATATGTTCTGTAATATAAAAAAAAAGATGAATCAATAAAGAAAAATCATATAACAAATTATAATCAAAATGAATAAATGGATGAAATTTTTGGAAAAATAACGTGATTTTTGCATCACGAATATATATATAAAAGATTATTTTGAAAATAACTTACCGCTGAATTGGATTCACTGTTATTTCGAGTTCTATCTAATTTTGCAACAGGGCAAAATTGAGCAAAATGATTTAAATGTTTGCAATAGTGACAGAATTTTCCAAAAGCAGGACAATTTTTAAAAGCATGACGTAGTCCACATTTTCTACAGGGTTTATTAAAACATTCTGCTTGTTTAAATGTTGAAGGTTCAGTTTTGATTTCTGTTTGTAATTTTTTTCTTTCATTCTCAATTTCAAAATTTTTGTAAATATTTTTTATTTTATTTAACGTCAAATCGGATTCATTGAAAAAAAGATTTCTAAGTTTTTCATCCTTTGTGTTCAAGATAATAGCATCTAGAATAAGACTTCTTGCTTGATCTCCAAAATTACAAGATTTTGAGATTTCCTAAATAGAATTGAAATTGATAATTTTCAAAATTAAGATTACATGGCAACTTATACCAAAAATATGTAATTTATTTAATTTGACGACCAAAAAGAACAACAAACTTACCTGTAAATCTTTAACAAATAAATCAATAGATTCGTTATCCTGTTTTGATTTAGAAAAAAATTTATACCGTTGTACTTTCACATTTCTTGTAATATTAAAATATTGACTTAATTTTTCTAAAACAATAGTCATATTTTCCTCGTCTTTTGAATTATCAAAAGAAATTTTTTCAAATGCCTGTAATCCAACTGGTCCAATAAAATTTTTTAACCAAGCTACCTGTTCATCTTCGGATTTATTGTCACCTTTAGTTATTTTCATGTAAGTTTGAAATTCTTTTTTCCAAAGATTCCAATTTGCATTCAAGTTTCCTGAATTGGATAATTCTTTAGGTGGTTTTGCGTCTCCTTCCATTTTTATTTAATAGAGTTCAATCTCTAAAAAAAAACGAGAAATTGAAAAATTATCTTTATCCAGTGTTTCATTATTTTTTTAAATTTATTATTCAAAAGCCGTTTTACTAATGACTATACTAGAATTAATATTAATTAGTTTAATTTTTTAAATCAACTTTTATAAAAATAATATCTTGAATTATTATTCTTATATGATAAATAACTTTCAATTTCTTGAAATATGATCATCTTTTGTAATAAAATATTATTTTATTACGTCACTGATTATTATTTTGTTTCTTTTGTTTTGCGAGTGAAGTAGAGAATACGGTGATTCCCAACGTATACACTTGCATTCATTGATTACTTTCAAATATATCTAAAATATTACTTTTTTCTTTTATAGAAATAATAAACTAATATTAATTAAAATATTCTTTAAATACACTTACTTTATAATTTTTTACGATGAATTTTGTCAAGTCTGGTACATTAAAATGTATGTGTATAGGTATTATATATACGAAGCTAAAACAAAGGAAACTGAGATGTGTTTACTCTTATCGCATACGCACTCACATATATATACGACTATGTATGGGAAAAGAGTTTTACGACCAAAAAATCGATTTTTACTTTGTTTGAAAATTCTATAATTGAAAAAATTAGGCTGATTGTTTTAAATGTGTTTTACTTGAAAAGTTGATTTTGGTCGTAAGCACATTACCGTTTTCTCAGACGCGTCACATATGTTTTTAAGAAAATTGTAGAAAGACAATTTTCTTCACTTTTAAAGAACACGTATATCTATATTTTACACACAAAAAAATATATATATAAGAACAATTGTATGTATAAAAGAAATTAGAAAAAAAAATTCTGCTCTTAAATATCGAATCTTTGTCAAACTGTCGCGATAAAATGTATATAGGTATACATAAAACATTTGCCAATTGATATCGCAATATATGTATTTGTGACACACATTGTGTATATATATATATATGTATGTAATTAGTAGAGATTGAAAAAATGAACACTTTGTAGATATTAACGTGACATCAGATATCAGAATAGTAAAAATTTTGTTTTATTAAGATAAACCATAATAATAATGTAGCATTTTTAAAATTTTTTATTTCCTTTGTTCATGTTAATCAAATTATATCAACATTTAAAAATTGCGCGCGCGCCAATTTCGTTTTTAAGTGGGATTATTAAAAAAAAAAGTTGTTCAATATAATAATTGTTACGAAAAAGTTTATGTCAAAATAATACTTATCTGCATTAAGGGGTTAAACCACTCTAGAGCGTCAAAAAAAGGCCTAACTTTAGAAATTTTTTTCAAGAAAAGTTTAAATGTACTGAAAAATATGTTTACATATCTTTATTAGGTACACTTTAAAGAGAAAAAAAATATACTTCATTCATTATTTTTTTTTAAAATATCAAATTTACAGGTACGTAATAGGAACCCTTTCTGAGAGGAATCACGTCGCGGCCGGAAAGGTTTTAGCTCCAATTTTCATCCTAGAACAAAAAACAAATTTCTTTCTATTGTTACATCTTAAAAGCTAGAGAAAGACGTAGGGGATTTTTTTCAATTGATTTTTGCAAAAATGGCGAACATTTTAAGGAGAAACCGAGTTTTTTACTTAAAAAATTGACACTAAATTGTTTATAACAAAAAAAATATGCAACATAAAAAAAAATCCGTACGTCTTTCTCTAGATAATGTTATTGAGAAGCTACAGTTTAATTTTTAAGTAAATCGGTTGAGATTTGTAAAAGTCATGTTTCCGGCCAGCACAAAAAATGTAGTTTTGAGAAAAACGAGTTTAAAGTTTTACTTACGACTTTTTGGATATACCTTCAATCTGCAATGCCTGCGCCGTATAATTGACCTTCCAAATTAAAAAGTGTTTCGACTTATAATTGATATTGTTTCTTATTCTATACACCCTTAGGCACCTTTTAAAGCAAAAAAAATTTTTTTGATTTTTTGAAAATTCTAGAGTGGTTTAACCCCTTAAAAAAAATTTTTTTTTTTTTTATCAGAGACAAGATATTGACTGGTTCATTTGATAAAACAGCAAGTTTATGGTGTTCACAAACAGGCCAATGTTTAATTACTTTTCAAGGACATAATGCTGAGGTTGTTGTTGCAAAATTTTCACCTACTCAAAATAAAATTGCAACAGGCTCAATAGATTGTACAGCAAAAATTTTTCACATGATTTCTGGTAAAAATTTCTATATATAGAGAGGCAATAAAATATATTAACTTCAAAAAATAGTATACTTTTTATTATATTTCCAAACGTAAGGTTTAAAGAATTTTTACACATTTTTATAATTTACAGGTGACGAAGTGGGAACTTTATCAGGGCACACGGGAGAAATAATTTCTTTACATTATAATGATGACGGGAATTTAATTATCACTGGTTCATTAGATGGTACCATAAGTGCTTGGGATACACGAACACTCGAGTAAAATTATTATATATTTAAAAAAAAATTGGATTACAAATTTTTATGAAATAAAATAAATAAAAATTAATAAAATTAAAATAATAATATTATTTAATTAAATTATTATAGAAGATCCAGTGTTCTAATTGGTCATCAAGAGGGAATATCAAATTGTTCTTTTAATTTTGACTGCAAATTAATTGGTTCCTCTTCTTTGGATAAAACTGCCAAAATATGGGATTGTCGAATGAATTCTTGTCTAAAAACATTTTTGGGTCATGACGATGAAGTTCTCGATTTAGCGTTTGATAATAAAGGACAAAAATTAGCAACAGCCAGTAGTGACACGACAGCTCGAATTTGGGATGTTAGTAGTGATTTTCAACAATTAAATCTTCTCGAGGGACACAAAGAGGAAATTTCCAAAGGTATTTTGCGAAATATTTTTTAAAAATAATTTAAAATTATAAACTTATACCATGTTTATTTCTAGTTTGTTTCAGTCCAAGTGGTCATCAAGTATTGACATCATCTTTGGACAAGAGCGCACGTCTTTGGTCACTGGAATCTGGTAAATGTATTCAGTCACTTGATGAACATTCTGATGATGTATTTAGTTCAGCTTTTTCTTATTCTGGTGATACTATTGTCACTGCCAGTAAAGATAGTACTTGTGTTATTTGGAGGTGACTTGATTGGTTTCAAGTATGTTCCTAGCTTTTAATTCTTGCCCTTTTCTTTGTTTATATTTTTTATTTCTATATTTTATAAATTCATTTCATGTTATTTTTATTTGTTATAATTATCTGTATTTTTATATATATAAATAATAATCTAGTGTCTGTTAATATATATAATTTATTATATAAAAATTTGTTAAATTTTATGAATAATTTCTTGAAATAGTAAATTATTTAAAGAAAATAGTTAAATTTAAATATATATATATACAAAATGATTATCTTAAAAGATTTCTGAAAAATTGAATCTTTTTTAAAATAAGAAACTATCCAAATAATACACATATTATAGAATACATTAAGTTCGGTGATAATTAAATGCGATAAATAAAATCTCTTTAAATTTTATAAATAAATATAAATAAAATTGTATAGAAATATATAATTCCATATATAATATACCTATTGATATTGAATCTATTGAATTCTGTATAAAAAATTGAATTCAAAAGTTCAGTAAAAGTGATAAAAATTGTTAAGTAGAAAAATTTATATCTATATAGTATAAAAATACAGTGCCATGTGATAGATTCAATTATTAGTAGCGCAAATATAAAGTTTTAAAATATAAAAAAATGCACCTGAATCTCAGATTTTTAAAAGTTATTTAAGAAATCGTGTCAAAAATAAAAGTGAGAAAAATTAAAAAAATATTTCGTAAACTTGTTAATTCATTTCTTCAAAGTGACATTTCCTTATACAGTTTATGATTGGGCTGAACATCTTAATTTTCCTATTATTATTTTTTTTTTCGTCAGTTGAATCTCTTGAAATCCAAATCTAAAACAAATAAATTATTAATTAATATAGGTGATATTAATAATTATGAACAATAATTAAAGTTGATAGAATTAATTTTCATTATTTAAATACTTTCAAAAAAGAGGGTGATAATAAATCATCCTTTAATTGGCGAATTCGTCAGTATTCCAGAAAATTGTCATGAAATTTTGAAAAGAAAAAGGCAGAAAACGTACATGAGTAAGAGAGACAGAAAATTCAAATTTAAATCTTCTGACTCTCTGATTGGCTCTTACTGGCTGCCTGCGCAGGCAGCCAAAGGTATGAAGGCGCCTTAAAAAGATATTTTTCATTAAAATGTTAATACTAATATGATAAGGTTAAATGAAAATAGAAAGAAATAAGAATATAAAATAATAATAAGAAAGTTAAATAATTTGACTGATAGTCAAAACAAACACGAAAAATTACATGCAACAAAAACAAAACAAATAATAATACCAAAATAAAAGCACAATAATCCTAAGCAATAATAACTAAACACCAATTTTAAGTTACTTCACTGAAAAAACAATACAATGTAGTTATTTATTTAGAAATTTTGATCATTATGATCGAATTTTTATATAAGGGGAGAAGTGTAACAGTGACACGCCACTGTTGCTCAGGACCGAAATACTCTATTCAGTCGCCCTGGTAGAGTAATGTTAATACTGGGTGTTTATGAACAAATTATAGTTCAATGATCTCAATGTGATCCCGAAGTTCTTTGTCAGCATAAGTAGTGGAACATTCCATCGAATGATCGTATATTACATCATATAATTATCAAGAGCAAAAAGTGGTTAAAATCTTTCAAAAGCATGTTATAATCTAACAATTAATAACACAACTGCAGTACATACTTTAAGGTCACCTTGTGGAACTGGTGGACGTGACTTCTTCAGTCACAATAATGGCAGGTAAGTGTTATACACGGCTTTTGTTTACTCTTGCTTTAATATGTCTTAATTGCTGAATGAACACTTTGTTAATTTTCTCTTTTGACAATAATTGAATTAAAATGCAATATTTTAAAGGACTGCATATCTTACAATTTTTATCACTTGCTTTTTAAAAAAAATCCCGAGAAAGTGTAACATACTTTCCATTTACCGCACAGTCATTCTTATAAGTTTTTCTTTTTAATTAAAAAACAATTTTTAATGTGTCACAAAACATTTACATTTGACTTAAATTATTAATAATCTATTCTATATTTAACATTATATTAAAAATTGTTTTTATATTTATTAAAATCAAAATTAATTTATTTCTTCATTCAAAACATAAATTAACCGTATGTTAATAACTCAAAAAAAAGAGAAATTAAAAATTGTTTAGTTCTTATTATAAGTTTTAATTTAAAAAATAATAAATTAATGAATACGTTAAATTTTTTATATTATTTTCCACATTTGACCTTCAAGTCTCGATTAAAAGGAAATATTTTTATTATTACGTTTACAGTTATTTATAAAAACAAAATAACTGAATAAATTTATTATATTTGCATATTGAATGGAAAATTAATTAAAAAGATTGTTATATGTTTATTCATATGTATTTGTTTTTATTTACAGTTAATATTTAGTTTAATAAATAGTTTTCTGTGTTTTTTTTTTTTTTTGAAATTTTCAAATAAAATTAACAATTAAAATTTCATTTTATAAACTATTATTTTATATTAACATCAGGTATTTTATATATATTTTTTATTTTTAGAACCAAGCCTTTATAAGGAGTTTTTGAAGAGTGTTAATTTTGGAAAAGAATCACGTCAGTTCTATGACTTAACACGTTTTGGAGAAAAATATGGTAAATTGGCCTTATTTTTGAATTCTTTTTATTTAAAATTCAAATCACATTGACCGTTGACTTTCACAAAAAGAGCCTAATTATAAATACTTATTACAGAACGTCTGCCGTTTTCTATTAGAGTACTCTTGGAGAGTGCAGTTCGAAATTGCGATGATTTTCAGGTGAAAAAACAGGATGTAGAGAAAATTTTAAATTGGGAGGAGAATCAAGCCCTTGAAGAAGGCGTTGAAGTTGCTTTTAAACCATCTAGAGTCATTCTTCAAGTAATATATTTTATAAACAATTTCATTTTTTTTCAATTATTGTTTAATTTAGTCTATATGAAAACTATGAATATCTTAATCAATTTTTTTTTAAATCAGGACTTAACGGGAGTTCCAGCAGTTGTTGATTTTGCTGCTATGAGAGATGCTGTAAAAAATTTAGGAGGTGATCCAGATAAAATTAATCCCATTTGCCCCTCGGATTTGGTTATTGATCATTCAGTACAAGTTGACTTTAGCAGAAGGTATTTCAATTATTTAAAAAATATATACATTTGGGAGACAGTAAAATTTTTTAATTTTTCAAAGAAAACTTAAATTAAAATGAAATTATGTAAATAATATAAAATTTAAATGAATTTTTATATAAAAGTTAAGTTTTTAGTTTTCTTATTAAATAGAAATTAAGAATGATTAATTATGACGCTAAAAGATATTTTTTTGTTTACAGTGGAGATGCGTTGAAGAAAAATGAAGAATTAGAATTCAATAGAAATAGCGAGAGATTTATATTTTTGAAATGGGGTGCAAGAGCTCTTCACAATATGTTAATTGTCCCACCAGGAAGTGGAATCGTACATCAAGTGAATTTGGAATATTTGGCTCGAGTTGTTTTCGACAAAGATGGTTTACTCTATCCTGACAGTGTTGTTGGCACGGATTCTCACACAACAATGATTAATGGACTTGGAGTTTTGGGTTGGGGTGTTGGTGGAATTGAAGCTGAAGCTGTCATGCTTGGTCAAGCAACATCTATGTTACTACCAAAAGTTGTTGGATATAAATTAATAGGATATCTAAATCCCTATGTTACATCGACTGATCTTGTTCTTACTATAACAAAGGTAATTCACACAGAATTTAATAATAATAATAAAATTAAATAATTATTTTGTTAATAATTAAATTAATAATTTTTTCATTAAATTAACAAAAATTTTAACTATTAAAGTAGTTTTGTTATTTTTAGAAATAGTATTTTGAATAGTGTAATTGACTTACTGACAAATCTGAAAATTTCCAAAATTTAAACATTAGAATAACGAAATAAATTTAAAATAATTTAATATTAGAATATAATGTAAAAAATTAATATCAGAATAATTTAATCAATTTAGCTAATTTTTAAGGTTTCTTTACTAAAGGGAAATAATAATTTTGCAGAATTTACGTCAATTGGGAGTTGTTGGAAAGTTTGTCGAGTTCTTTGGCCCTGGCGTCGCGCAATTAAGCATCGCTGATAGAGCAACGATTTCCAATATGTGTCCCGAATACGGAGCAACAGTTGGTTTCTTCCCTGTTGATAAACAAACTTTAGACTACCTAGAACAAACTGGTAAGAAAAATATTTCGTACAAAAAAAAGACAAGAAAAAATAATTTTATTTTAATTTTCAATTTATTTATTAAATATTTTTTTTTCTCTTTAATTTCTATTTTTTAATTTTACGTTTCAATTCCTGTGGATATAAAATAATGTGTTACTTTTGCAGGTCGTTCTGATGAACATATAGAAAGAATTACAAAATATTTGGAATCGGTATATATGCTTAGAAATTATGACAATTCAACTCAAGATCCTGTTTTTTCGGAAATTGTGACTCTGGATCTTGGAACTGTTGTCTCCAGTGTCAGTGGTCCCAAAAGACCTCACGATCGTGTCTCGGTTACAAACATGAAAAATGATTTTAACACTTGTCTTACGAGCAAGGTGAGTCACGTTAAATTTTTAACAAATTTAAAAAAAATACATATTTTTGAACTGAAAAAAAGTAAAAATTAGTAAAATAGATTAATATTAAAAAATGTAGTTTGAAGTATTTTCAGTACACATATGGGACGAACAATACCCAGTGACGAAAAAAAAATAATAACGTCAGCAAGGTATCGTTCATCGCATTTTGCACTTTTTTTGCTTCACATTAGAAATCGACGATAAAAGTGAGAAATTTCGATGATTATGGATAACAGGATTATTGGTAACTACTGCTGTGATATGAAAATAATAAAACACATCACTGCAATAGTTCCTTTTAACCCCGAAACCATTTTTGTAGAAATATTCTCAAGTCTTGTGGAGATGAAAATTTTCTGATGATTAGTCCAAATTCATTCTACTTTGTTAACCTAGCTTTATGGCCTGATTTCTCCATACAGTTAGATCACCAAAGAACAATAAATAGGACAAAATTATTAATTTTTTTGATTGAAGAATCGTCACTCTGCATCTGGTGGCAAGCTGGTTTTTCTTTCAAGTCAGGGACGAGTATTTCGATCTAGTCACAATTTAAATAGCATCGTGCCACTAGATCGATACTACGCCTATGACTGCAAGAATTGTCGATGTCGTTGTTACACTTTGATGATTCTTGATTATTTTGTTGAAAAGGAGTGGATGTTTGGATGAATCCTACCCGGTGAGAACTTTTGATTAATCGCACCGGACGAGATTACATCCGACATTAACCCCTCCTTTGATGAAGAAAAACCTTAAAATTAAATTATTTTTTTTTACAAATGAATATATAAAAATATACAAATCACAAAATTCAGAAGAAATAAATTTTACTTTTTCCTCAATTTTAAAAGAAAAACACGAAAAACTAAAGTATCACTTTTTAAAAACAAATAAATCTGAAAATTTTTAATTTATTTTTAAATCACGAAAACTAAAACACTGTTATGAAAATTTTTCAAAACTTTATTGAATTCACGAAAAAATTGAAAATCAGCAAAACTTTTAGAGACGTAGACAAGACTTGAAGTTTACAGGTAACTCGGAAGTAAAGTAATGGCAATTGGGACCATGGGAGGGCCCTTTTATAGTTGAGGGCCATGTTTCCCCTTCCCAACTTCTAGGAATTCACCCTCGAATGTTCATTCACTCATTGATTGGCTAAGAAAATCAAAGCCCTGCCTCTAAATTTTCGCAAATTTACGAATTTTTGAGAAAAAAAAGAAAGTTAATAATTTTTAATATTTAAAAATTGAAAATGAAGAAAGTATTAATTTTATAATTTAAGATTTTCTTCATGTATTAATTATAATTGTTTTGAATATAATAAATTTTCAACGATGACATAATTATGACTTAAAATAAACGTTATAAACTTGAGATTTTTGAATATAATTTTTATATATTTGGAATAATCATGAAATTGCAAAAATATATTGCACAATAGGAAACAATTCACGTTTATAATTTCACCAAGTTATGCATTTCAATCGATTTTTAATTCCGAGTCAACGTGAAATACTTGGAAGAATCTTATTACTTGAATACTATTTAAGTTACATTTGCTTGAAAAAAGAAAAATTGTAATTCACTGAGTAGACTATTTTTGTGAAATTCAATTCCTTCACGTTTTATGCTAGCAAATTTTTTTTTCAATTTCATAAGACATTAGAAAAAAATGAATTATATAAGAATATACATTATATTTTTTTCGAAAAATCTTTTAAATTTGAGAAAATTAGGAAATAAAATATGACAATTAAAATCTACTTAAGCAGACAGGGATTGTAATATTCTTTAATCTTTTTTTCTTTTCTTCGTAATCTTTTCTTTTTGAAGTCTAAAATCTTTGCTCATTAAATGATCATTTAAAGTAAATTAAAATTATTTTGTGTGAATTCCAAGAAGGCTAAAAACTGCCAAAAATGACATTATCCTAATGAGATATAATTTCTCTTTCTCAAAATCAATTTGAAAATTTCTTACAAAATTTTTCTAACTAAATTTTAAAACCATTACTTATAGCAGTTTCTTTGAAATGAAACTTTTTCAATATAAATTTACGTTAAAAATTGCCATTATTGTTAAAAGTTATTGACTGTAAGGTCAAAATGTCTAAAGTGTTTTTCTAATTTCTTTGTATATAAACACACTTTCTACAATTGCTATAAGAACCGTCGTGAATTTTAAATAAAGTTAATTCAATTATATCAAGTTGAATTAATTTTTGCAACTATTTTTTCTAATCTAGAAAAAAAATAAAATGGAAATTCGTATAGAACAAATAATCACATTAATATGTATTCTTGTTTAAAATTTGACTAATTTGTATTAATTATTCTACAGTTAATAATTAAATTTAAAGCATTAATTAATTTATTTATTTATTCATTAATAATGTAATTAAGTTGGTTTGAAAAATTATAAATTTTTAATAATTTATACCAGTTGATAAAATAATTAAATTGAATTCGAATATAAAATTTGAATTATTTATGTTGAACGAATTAAGAAAATTGTAATTCATACCAAGTTAATAATATATATTAATAACTCTTTGCACTAAAAAGATGAACCTTTCTCAAAGAACTACACACGAGAACTGTCTTAGCATTTGAAAAGTGGTGGAGGTGTGCTTAACAAAAATTGCTGATGTTGCATTATTTTTATTTTGCACATCTTACACATTATACATATTTCGTTGTTACTGACTTGCACTCAATTTTCGTATAAAATTTCGTTTAATTATTTCGTAATAAAATTTCTCAGTTTTGCACTGTCTTTTTAAATTATTGTAAACGTTTAAATTGTTTTTTAATTTTTTATTGTTACCATTTTCAAAAAATGAATAATAATTTTTTACTTTTTAAAATTAACTTTATTTAAAATTTAATTAATATTGAAAATATTTTTCAATTATATAAAAGTAATTTACAAATGGTTTTTATATAATATTAAATTTAAATTGGATTAAAATTAAAAATATAAAGGGAGATTTTAAATTATTCTTAACTTGAATTATGAAAATGTCCCTGAGACTTTGGAAATTATTTTGGGGCGAATGGAATTTAAGAAATGAAAGTTGGACACAATTTTAGTGTTAGGCAAATTGATATTTATAGAGAAATTAGTAGCTATATATAACTGCAATAAGATTTTACAGTAGTTTAAGGCATTAGTCAGGTAAAATTTGTTAAAATCTTGATTTTGACCTTGCTTATTTCTTAAGCAACGTTTTATGAGTCACCTTTTTGGCGAATTATCTTTAAGATTCTAAAGTAGTTGAACAAACTCCCTTTACAATTTTCAGCTTAGAATTTACTGTCTAATTTCAATTTTCTGTACCGCAATATAACTCAACTTTTCGTATAACAACACAATTTCCTCTATAACAGTATTGTAAACAAATTTTTAAATTACCTTTAGCATTTACGCAAAATTTTTGATTATACAAATTTAGATTTAAATTTTAGTTTCAAATTATAAATATAGTTCTAATTTTAATATATTTTAACTTATATTTTAATTAATATATTTTTAGTAAATTTTATATATCAAAATTTCGTAATTTGACATTTAAACGTGTTTTAATTATTCGATAATTTTTATTTAGTTAGTTATTTGATTTATGGAGTAAGAAAGAAGTATTATATTAATTATTGAGAAAAAGATTTTAAATATTACCTATATATATTTCAATCAAAATCAGTTGAGCAATAAAAATTGGAATAACATTTGCAATTAATTGTTTTTTTCTTGTCCAGAGTTTAATAAACTTGAATGGTTATAATATGCTTCTTCGGCAAAAATTTTGCGATTGCCATATAGGATTTGCAAAAGTTGATGTTGCAATAAATTTTTTGTATTTCAAATTCTTAACGATTTCTCAATAAGCATCAATATGTATACACCTAGCTATCGAAATTCATAAGCAAAGGAACTGATTAATCATCCTCAATTTTACATACTTCATCATATTTCTGTTATACGAAATGCACCTGCAGTAATATTATTAAACATTCCTTTTTGTTTAAAAATAATTTCACATTAGCTAATGATCAAATTCATAAAATAAAGTGATACCAAAGATTGTTAAGATTACAAAAAAAAAAATGTCTTTACTTTAAAAATTCTTTCGATTTTTATATCATATTAGAAATTTTTTAAATATAGTTTTGATATTTCATCATTTTAAAAAAACGTACATTTGCAATTATTTTTTAAGAAATGGATAGAATATTATTATTATTATTTACTAAATCTACAATTATTATTATTATTTTTTTTTGTAAAATTCTAGTAGTATTGAAGAACGTTAATTATTTTTTGTATTTATTTTCAGGTAGGATTTAAGGGTTTTGGTATACCTCGAGAGAAAATGCAAGCCGAAGGGACTTTTGAATTTGAGGGCAAAGAATACAAATTGAAACATGGGTCTGTGGTCATTGCAGCTATTACTAGCTGTACAAACACAAGTAACCCGAGCGTTATGCTTGGTGCAGGTAATTCTAAGTCCTAACACCGCCTATCTAATGTGTCATCTTTTCGCATTTCTATTCTCTTCTATAGGATTTATTACCTGGCTAAACACATTTCAGTATAACTCACATATAATCCTTATATAAATTGTCATTTTAAAGATTTCTTAAAAATAACCAATGTCCATTTTTTTCAAAAATATTTCACGTTTATTAAAATAACAAATAAAAATAATAGCTATTAAAAAAAAGGTTCATAAAAAATTAATTAAACATTTTTTTTCATTATAAAATCATATAATTCTGATTAATTAAATTTTATTAAATTAAATTGTTATTTTTTGGAAATAATTTTTAATTATGATTTTTATTGCAAAATTTTGAAATAAAATAAAAAGCATGTTTTATATCGTTAAACTTGCTTTATTTGTTATTTGTTAATATTGTAGGTTTATTAATTTCATTAAAATTTATTTTAGGACTCCTTGCAAAGAAGGCAGTCGAGGCAGGACTCAGCGTTGCTCCTTATATTAAAACTTCTCTCTCACCTGGATCTGGAGTAGTTACTTATTATTTGAAAGAGAGTGGAGTATGTCCTGCCCTTACAAAATTAGGTTTTGAAATTGTTGGATATGGATGTATGACATGTATTGGAAATAGTGGACCTCTCATTGATCCAATAGTTGAAGCAATAGAAAAGGTATTTTTTATTTTTACACCTTTTGTTAATTTTAATTTTACAAGTTTATTGAAAATTGTTTTCAAACTTGAAAAATTAAATATTTCTATTTCCGAGTGTACACACACACAAACACAAGAACAAATATTGTAAAGTATTTTTGAGAGATTTGTGACTTTCTTGCTGGGGGTCTTGGTATAATCCTGTGTCATTTATGCTTTAACAATGTTCATTGTATAGAATGAACTCGTTTGTTGTGGAGTCCTTTCTGGCAATCGTAACTTTGAGGGAAGAATTCATCCTAATACAAGGGCGAACTACCTGGCATCTCCTTTACTAGTAATTGCTTATGCCATCGCTGGAACTGTTGATATTGACTTTGAAAAAGATCCCTTGGGTAAGGAACAACTTTCCCTTCTGCGTGTGCAAACTTGTTTCTTTCAATTGGCAAATTTGCAGAGAGAAATTGTAAAAATACGAATTTCTTTTTCTTTTTTTATTTGAATTAAATTCATTATTTTTTGTATAATATTTTAGTTTCAATTTTGTAAAAATAAAATTAAAAAGGAATTTACATAATATTTTATTTTTTCTTTATAATACAGGTCGTAGATCCGATGGAACTAATATATATTTACGAGATATTTGGCCAACAAGAGCAGAGATTCATGCTGTTGAACAGAGATATGTTATTCCTGCAATGTTTAAGGAAGTTTATAGTCGACTCGAGAAAGGTAGCAACACCTGGCGAAGCTTGAAAGCACCTGAAAGCCAACTCTATCCATGGGATTCAAATTCTACTTACATTAAAAATCCGCCTTACTTTGAGAATCTTACCAAGGTAATATACATGATTAAAGTAACACAAAAATTTACCGAAAGTTTTTGAGCAAAAAATTTTATGCAAATATTTTATTTTGTCAACATTTTCAGGAACTTCCAAAACATAAACCCTTGACAAAAGCTAGAGTTTTATTGAATTTCGGAGATTCGGTAACCACTGATCATATCAGTCCAGCTGGAAGTATAGCTCGCAATTCTCCAGCTGCGAGATATTTATTGAGTCGTGGGTTAGTATTAATTTAGTTTATTCATAATTTTAATTTATTTTAGACATTCAATTTTCATTACTTTCTTTTTAAATAGATTAACTCCAAGAGATTTTAATTCTTATGGAGCTCGCAGAGGGAACGATGCAGTTATGGCAAGAGGAACATTTGCAAATATTCGACTTGTAAATAAATTTATTGGAAAACCTGGACCAAGAACTATTTACATTCCAAATAATGAGGAGGTAAATCAAGATTAGATTTTTAAAAATCCCAGGAAATTATATGGAAAAATATAATTTACGCATAAATTAAATATTTTTTATTTTTATTTAAAAAATAATTTTTAAGTAACGTAATAAATAGTGAGAAACAAGAGAAACAATTATTAAATAAATTAAAATTGAAAAACAAATAATAATGGTTTTCAGATGGACATCTTTGACGCAGCAGAGAAATATATTAAAGATGATATTCCCCTTATGATACTGGCTGGAAAGGAATATGGATCAGGTTCATCTCGAGATTGGGCTGCCAAAGGACCATTCCTCCTTGGAATCCGAGCAGTAATCGCCGAATCGTATGAAAGAATTCATAGGTAAAAAGAAAGAGAATTTTTATTAATTTGAAAATTTTAAACTCAAAATTTTTATCCTTTTGCATTAATATTATTTTACACTGAATAATTTTTTTATACACAGATCTAATCTTGTTGGTATGGGTGTTATTCCACTGCTATATATGCCTGGCGATACGGCCGAAACCTTAGGTTTGACAGGATTTGAACAATTTGACATTAACATTCCAGACAATATTCAACCAGGACAAAATATCACTGTCAAAACTGATAGTGGCAAAGAATTTAAAGTAATTGTACGATTCGACACTGAAGTTGATCTTACTTATTACAAACACGGAGGAATTCTTAATTATATGATTAGAAAAATGCTCTGATAATAATGTGACGGATATTTAAATTGATTTTCTATAACAAGATTATTTCAATTACTTTTGTTATTAATGTGGTTAATGAATATTTTAAATATGCAATTAATGTAAGAAATTTTTATGAATGTAGAACAAATTTTATGTTAGTTTAATTTCCATTAGGATATGTCAAAGATTTTATTTCATTTTTTATACCTTATTCGGATTGAATTTTTATTTTATTGACTATTTTTATATATAAATTATGTATGTGAATATTTTTAATAGTGTATACGAAATTATATAAAGGTAAATTATGTATATTAAATAATTGGAAATATTTTTCTTTCCTTGTCAGTAATATTTCTTTAAATTATTAACAATAATTTAAAAATAAAATAACGTAAAATCGAATTTAAAAGACAAATTTTCAAAACGTTTTAAACATTTATTTTTGATTGCATTATTTTATTTACAAAGTATTTTGGATTGATTATTTTCTCATTTTCAAATATTTTACTTCTTCTTGTTACCAGTTTTTTAAAACAAAAAACAAATAAGCGACTGGCAATATTATTTGATATATCTTTGCAAAAATTAAATTTTGTACATTTACACAATTTGTGGGTATTTTGCTAAAATTATTTCATAAATATATATTTAAATTTAAATTATATATGCATTAATCTATATTGTTGTACTTTCATCTTCGTATAATTTCACTGGTATTCCATTTGTATTTAAGAATTTCACGATAGTTTTTCTCTTTATTGCAACGACCAGAGAAATCCATTTCAACTAAATGTTGATCAGTAGCTCCATAAAGATGAGTACTGTCAAAACATAAACTGTACAGTGGACTTGAAATGCGACGGAGATTCATAAAGTACAACTGTAAAAAAATGAAAGAAAAATTAAATATTTTAGAATATGAAAAAATATTTATTCACTTATAAAACTTTTATTTAATGATTCAAGAGAGATATCATTACCTGTACATAATTAATTTGTCGCTGATCCCATAAAACTGCTTTGCAATTAAACTGTGCTCCAGTAACCACCGAGTACTGATAATCTGAAGACATACAGTACATTGTTGCATCAGTTGGATCAGGCCAATAACTGACACATTTTCCACTTCTATTAAAAAAACAAAAAAATTTCTTTATTATTTTGAATTCTTAAATTTATTTAATAAACACATTTTTTGTTTTACACTTACCTTAAATCCCATTTTCTTAAGTATGTATCATATCCACAGGTTAGAAGAGTTTGTGGATTATCCCAAACCATATCCAATATTCCAGCACCTCTTCTCCAAACATGCATCATAACATTTGATTCCTTGCAGCTGAAATACAAATACAACAAAAAACAGGAAAAAAAAATTAAATTTCTAAAGGTAAATTTCAATAAAAATAAATCCAATCAAAGACATCGAAAGAAAATTAAAAATTAAATATGTACATTTAAAGGTGAAACAATGAACAAGAATTGAAGTTTGATAATTAGATGCTTAAAAATGAAATCAAATGAAAATGAATTTTAAAATAATTTAAAGTGCAGAAACATGAAATCTATGATTTGGATATTTGAACCGACAGATCGTAAAAGAGCATACGTGTAATGTATTTTAAATGGCGCGTATGCCCTTCTGCAATCCATCGGTTTATTTGTAAAGACAAACTCCACTTGAGTGTTCATTGACGGACCTTTCGATGTCGAAAATATGTAGTGGTGCACCTTCTCCAATTCCAGATGATCCTACAGCAAATTTTTGTCCCGTTGGATCTGCCGACAGTGACCAAATTCGATCATGAACATTTAAACATTTCAAAGGCACATTTGTCATTGTTTCTCCTGGTCTCATCCATATTTTAATCACGCCATCACCAGAACCGGAAATAACAACTTGAGGTGTTTCTTCCACAGCATTCACATCAGTAGAATGTGCTTCTTCAATATTATAGCATAAATGGTTCACAATATAATTTGTTCCATCATAATGAAGTGGTCCAGAATTGGTGAGTGACCAGAATTTTAAACTGCCATCCCTGAAATAAAATTATTTATCTATCATTCTTTAAAATCTTCCAATTCATCGAAATTATTATTAATATATACTAAACCTGTGACCACTGATGATATAATCATCACGAACAACAAATTTGCAAATATCACTTCTTCTATTTAGCTGAGCAAATTTAATATCATTGTGACTAAATGGTTGTTTACGTGCAAAACCAAAAAGTTGATGCCCTCCACTCCACCATAAAGTATCTTCAGATAATTGAATCCATGGCATTAATTTTTTGCCTTGTGAGAAAATAAGATTTGTATTGTATTTTCCATATTGCCAATTATGAGAAATTTGCCACTTTGTCCTCAAACAGAGTACAGGATTACATCTGTAAATAAATAAAATTAACAATCGCACTATATAATCAAAATTAATTATTATTTTCACATTATTTATATATTTGTGTTTAAATATCTTTTAAATTTGACAGCTGTTTGTTGACAGATGTGTTTAAGGAAAAGGTAAACAATCAGTTTAAATTTCAAAACAAAATAGAATTGTTTACTGAGATTAATGAAAATATTTAATTAAATTAAAACTAATTACTAAAAGAAAAATGGAAATTTTCATCATCATATAAATTGATATCTTTTTGCTGCGTAGGTACATAGAAAGTATAATAATATATATGAAATATATGTAAAAAAAACCTAACCTTGCACGAAATCTTTTGGACGTTTGATTTGTGGCAAGAGTCAGCTTACTTTTCTTGACCCATAATATTTTATCCCGAATAATTTCATGAAACCGGGAACACACTTCACTGAGTCTAACCAAATCGAATGCATGACAATAATCAAAAATTAAAATAAGAGCGTCGGACGGCAATGTATCCAAACGCAAATCATCTGTCATGTTTCTTCACTGACAATTTAGAATATATATACAGATATACATACAGCAGTATTGGACATTTCCTCGACGAACTTATCCGACTTTTCTCGAACTTCCCTTTAATTTTATATTTAAATTACGTGTATGTTTACAAACGCACAGGCGCACATATATATATACGACACTTGCTTTAATATGTAACAATGACGTAATGTAGTGTTCTTTCCCCCTCTCCATTCATATTTTATAAATATTTTCTTTTTAAAAAAACTAATTTCATATAGATAAAAAAAACGAAATTTTTAAAAACTTTTTAAACAACATATTTTATTGTTAATTATTGTAATTAAAAATAAATTACAGGTTTATATTTACAAATATAAGTATAAAGAAATAAAATTTATATAACATGTAAATTTAATAAAAATAAAATATTATTTTAAAAGTAAAATTTTTTTTGTTTCGTAATTTCTATACGTTTTGATTGAAGATAAAATTATCCAATTTTTAAATATATTTTGTTTGTACTCTCTCTTGTATTAAGTTATCACTAGGAGTCACATCTTCTGGAGTTTGTAGAGTAATTTTCTTCTTTGTATCTAAAAAAATGTCGTAAAATTTTATTAAATATAAAAATCTTCAATATAATTTAATAATAATAATAATAATACAATACCCTAAAATGAGGTAAAGTCGGTCATTTATTAATTTACATTAATTCTAACTACATTTTTAATAAAACTCGGATTTCTTCTGGAAAAAAGTAATAGTTAAACTTTAAAATGATTTAAAGCGCCGGCCGACTTTACCCTCAAACGCCGACTTTACCTCATTTTACGGTATATGATTAAATAAAATAAATGTATTAAATAAATGTAATTTACCTGTCTCTGGTATTGAATGTTTTAAGTATGTAATGTAGAGAATAAAATACAAAACAGATGTGCAAGCAGCTAATAAAGTAAAAATCCACAAGGTAATTACACCTCCAAAATTTTTGTATAATATTCCACTTATCAAACTGCCAATTGCAAAACCTGGAATCAAGAAAATTTTAATTAATATACAATTTAACAAGTTTAGCATGCAAATAATTATATTTCATCAATATAATCAAATCTGAATATAATATACTTATTTTATATGAAAAGTATTAATACACTTTAATTTATATTTTAAATCAAAAAATAATTTTGAAATAAAGAAATGAATTTTTCTAAAGTAACTTTACAAATTACCTATGTAGAATTAATAGCTTTTTCAAATTAATTAAAAAATTTTACTTTTTAAATTTTCAATTTTTGCAGCGAAAAAAAAAAGAAAATAAATTTAATTACCAAAACCATCATCCATTCCAGCTACAATTCCCTGAACAGTTGCTGAAGTGCCAGGAGGTGCGATTGCACTTGCATAAGCTACAATGGATGTATAACACAATGCATAAGTTGGTCCTTGCATGAAAAATTCCACTAAAATGGCCCACCATGGATTTGGAATTAGGGAAATTAATCCAAGTCTTAAAGCATAACAGGCAAAGCAAAAAGTAAAAATGTATCCATATCCAATTTTTTTTAGGATTTTACCTGAAATTTAAAACCCTGATAATATTAATAATAATAAAAATATTTTAAACAATTAATTTTGTTTTTTTTTTTTTAATTGAAAATCCATTTAATTTACCAGATAAAGTGAAAAATATAACTTCAGCTCCTAATGTTTCTGCTGCCACTATTAGACCTTCTATCAATTTAATGTGCTGTATTTGATTAGAAGCAGCAGCCAAATCTTCTAGGTACCTGAATAAGAAATTGCTTTTAAAAAAAACAAAACTTCTAAAAATATAGAATTCTTAATAATTAAATTAATTTTTAAAATAAATTATATTTTTTTAATTTCTGTCGTTTTTGCTGTTAATGTGTGTTAATAATTATTTTTATAACTAAATTATAAAAATTACATTTTTATTTTTTCCAATTAATTATATATTAATTAATTCAGACTATTTTTTAATACGATTTACTAACCAGAATAAAAAGTAAATAAGAAAACTATCAAGAATCCCAGCTATTGTTGCAAAACAAAGAAAAATAGCAATTGGTTTCATTTTTATTAATTGAAATACATCCCTCACAATGCTTCCTGTTCCTGATATTATTGGTAACTAAAAAATATATTAATAATAATACGTTCTAAATATTTTAATAAGATAATTTTTTGTAATTTTTCGCGAATATTAAAAAATAAATAAAACAATATTTTTTTTATCAATTATAAATAATTTTCCACTATTTGAGGAAAAATTACACAAATTTTCTTTACCTCTAATTTAACGCAGCATAATAAGTCAGCAATGCAAAATATAAACATGAGAACGAACGCTGGAGCGTATGATTTTAAATCATTGTCGATTGACCACATATCAATGAGATATCCAGCCAAAAATGCTGTTATTCCAAAACCAAATGTTCCCCAAACACGTTGTCGTCCATATCCCATTTCTCCTCCATTTCCTGAAAAAAAATTCATATTATATTTTTTATTTAAATTATATTAATTTTTTTAAACTTTTGACTACAAACAATTTTTATTAGAGAATCAAATTTCCTGTACCCAAAATATCGAAACAAATTGAATCGCTTATTGAATTTGCCACATTAAATCCAATATTTCCAATGGACAATAAAAGAACAAATCCCCAAAATGTTGATGAAGTATAGAGATAATCCGATGAGAAATTTTCGCAATCAATATTACACAACATATCTGAATTTTTAGATAAATTATAAACTGATGAAACAAAACACGATGAATTTCTTGAAAAATTAACTGTATTTGAAGAATGAAAAAATATTCTAGATGTGAAATTCAATTCTTCTTCGCAAGACCAATTGCAATTCGTTTCTTTTCCATCATTACAATTTTGTGTGGGATATATTTTCTGAAATAATTATTATATTTTGATTAATTATTTGCACACACGAAAAGTCTCTAAAAAAAACTGTAAATACGAAAATGTATGCGTTAGAAAAAAATGAATAGATATTTTTTTAAAGTCGATTTTTTGGATTATAAAAAATACAAATAAAATGATCTCACCATCGAATCACAGAAATCAATCTGTGCAAAGGAAATGTTTTCAAATTGAGTTTTTAAAAAATGTGGTCCAGATAAAGGAGGAAGTACGTACAGCAATATAAATGAAGCACTCGTTATTGCCAGTAAAATTATAAATATCGATTTCCGCCATTCTTGAAAATAATCAACAATAAATCCAAAAATTGGTTTTGCCAATAAAAATAAAATTGGCAGCACAGAGGTAATACTGCCCATAACGACAGGAGAAACACCGAGTTGCTTTCCATAAACACTCATATATGGAAGAATTGGACCTAAAGCTTAAAAATTATAAATATAAAATCATTAAAAATTTATCAATAATTATTATTAATAAATAAAAAATTAATTATTAGTAATTTATCAATAATTAATAGTTGGCACAATATAAAAATAAATAAATAATAATAAAATATAATATTTAATATACCTGCCATGAAACAAAAATAATGTGCCTTAATTGGCAGCTGCTTATAATTAATTTTCATTTTTTCTGAAATATTCTCTCGTCACAGCAGCACTAAAATTTCGTTACTATAAAATTATAAAAAAATTGTCTTCGATGTCTGGTACTGGATATCATCTTTTATCAATGTCAATAAGTCTAAAACAGAATTATGCGACATAAAATTATGATTGTGTATATACTTTTTAGTAATAAATGTGTATTACTTGTAAGATAACGAATTTAATATCCCAGGATGATAACGTGCTAAACTTTGAGTTAAGATAAATTAAACAATATCAAATTTGCTTAATTAAATAATAAATTTTTTAATTATTCGTTAAAGAAAAAAAAATAAATTTTTTAAAAACCAGATAAGATTTTTTATTTTTTTTATATATTTTAATAAATTAATAAAATTGACTTTATATTAACTATTAATATAAAATTTTACATAAGTTTACAAGTTATTAAAATTTTTATTTATAATATCTAAATTCATTTTTTAATCGTTTTTATTGTTTATTTGTCAATTACTTAGTGATTTTGAAATATTGTACCTACTTATCAATTTTCTTAAGTGTTTTGCACCATAACACTATATTAAATTTATTTTCACTGTCTTTTTATTAGTTTTTTAGAGAAAATAAATTTCAATAATCATCAAAAATATTATTTTTTAATATGGAAAATGAAAATATTCATCTTTTCACTACCAGAATTTTTACTGGTAAAAATCTATCTTTATTTTCAGATTTCATATTTGACCCTCTGTAATAAAGAAAAGTGGAGAAGCGACTGATTAATCAACTGTCGTTTTTTTAGAAAGTGATGCTCACAAATTCGTTCTTCACAGATATAGTTGTTCAGGGCCGTGACTAAAGAAATTTTATATATCACAAAAAAAGAAATATTAAAACTATTTTAAAAAATTATTTTAAAAATTATTTAATAAAAGAAATAATAAATATATTACATTTATTTAATTTATTTAATTTATCTATCTTTATAAAAGATTAATTGATATTTTTAAAAAATTATAACCAACTATTAATTGCTTAAATATTCAAAATATTGATAGTTATATATTATAAAATTAATATTTTATTTTATAATAAAATTGAGTGAAAATTTTCTTCATTATAGATAATTGACAATTATATGTGCATAAAATTCTTACTTTCATTGTTGACAATCTACTGACGAAACTTTCAATTAATATTCATTGTTCTGTTTACTCTAAATTTGTTTCAATTTTTTTTCTTTCACTGTATCCCATGTTTAATTAAAAAATCAACTTGGCAAATTTTTGACGAGCCTGAAAAAAACGAAAAATTAAAATTTACTTATCTACATAAAAAATATAATCTTAAAAAGTAATTAAAAAATTTCTATAAAAAAATATTACTCCTTAACATTGAAATTTTTAATTGACGGTTGATACGCAAATTATTCGCTCCCACTCGTAAATAAGTGTCTTTGTGTCTAATCATCTCATTTCCTATCAGTTAATTACAAACACTGTTTCATGGTCCAGAATTTTTATTCAAATCTAAAATAATATAATATAAATTTATTTAAATCATAGTTTTTATTTAAGAAACGAGCAAAAAAATGAATTTATCATTTGCAAAATTAAAATTTAGAGTTTCTATATTTTCAATTATGGGAATAATATTATTTTCGTGTTTGCAAGCACAAATTTCTGCTGATGAGAAGCGCAAATGTAAGTTTTTTAAAAATAAAGAATACATAAAATTACAATTAACAGAAATGTATTTTTCTCTTGTTTAGTGAAATTTTGTTTAGTGCATGAGGAAAGTAGTAAAAAGCTTATTTCCTTTACGTGTCCAAATCTAGTCAAATCTAAAAGCAATGTGGAATGTGTAATTTTGACTGATAAGTAAGTATTTAATAATCTATTTTAGTTAAGTTCAATTTAATTGATTCACGATTTCAAACTCCAATTTAGAACCAAAAAATATTTATTAATTTTGAAGAGAAAAAAAAAATTGAAAGTAAAAAATGGACAAATATTGTTTCAAAGGTTTAAATAAAATTTTAAATACAATTAATTTTAATTAGCAAAATTGGAAATAATTAAAATGGATATTTTTAAAACGAATGTTTAAATTTTATCTAATTTTTGTTTTTTATCAAAAGAATATCATGTCTGAAGCTTCTAATAAATAATCAAGCAGATTTCATGACTGCAGAACCGGAAGATCTCAGAATTATTGGAATGACCGATGATTATAATGACAAAATTTTTGTAACACACGAATTACGAATATGGGAAAATGGTAAAAAAATATATCATTTTTCTTGCGATACGCTTAAATTTAATTATTAAATTCAAGTAAATAAAATTTAAAAATTTTCTTAATTCAATTTTTTGTTTAATCAGAACGTTCTAGTTATCAAATGGTTACTGTAATTCGTGAATCTGTACATGATGTATGGCACATTGCAAAAAGACGTTTTTGTGCTTCTGGATTGGAATCAAATTTTTTTGCTCTTGATTATCTAAAAGTAAACCCATAAAAATATATAATAAAAAATAAAAATATTAATCTAAATAATAATTATGTATATATATATTTTTTTAACAGTATTTTGAATATCAACTTGTCATTCCACGTTGTAATTCGTCGAAAAGTTTATTAGAAAACAGATTGACAGCTCTATCTCAATTTTTCGAGTCAGTCTGCATCAGTGGTCAATGGACAGTTGATCAAGAATATGACAGTCAATTAAGTAAATTCTTATATGTTTTTTTCTTAAATTTATAATAAAAAATGTTATTTAAAAAATTTTACAAAACAAAATTTAATTTAATTAATTTATTCTTTTCTTACAGAGAGAAAATATCCTAATCTATACTCTCAATGTGGAAATTATTTAGGATACTTTGGAAAAGAAGGTGTTTTAATGTGTTTAACAGATGGAGGGGGAGAAATTGCCTGGTCCAGATTAGATTATGTTCATCGACACTTTAATGTATGTAATATGATAATTAAATAATTTCAAAATTGAATTACTTACATTTTTTGTTGAGAAGTTTTACAATTTTTTTTTCAGGAATTGTCTGATAATGCGAACAAATATTATTTTCTCTGCCTAGACGGTTCGTTGAAAAATTTAACAGATTCTCGTCCTTGCGTATGGTTCGAAGTACCTTGGAGAACTTTAATCGCTAGGAAGTAAATAAATCCTTTGATAAAAAATTTACTGACTTTCTCAACCTGCAAAATAGATTAAAATACTTATTATTGCAAAATTGATAAAATTTATTGATCTATATTTTTAATTAATTGAAAAATAATTTGTAAACATTGTTTTCTCAATTTTTAGTTAATTATTAAAATTATATATTAACAAAAGACATGAAAAATTTATTTCCAGGGATATTGCTGAAGAAGTAAAAAAATTTATCAATCGTCAGACAAACGGAGTAGATGATTCATTGTCCCTTCTTCAAGAAGATATTCGAAGAGAGCCGGTGGTCGTCGAGTCTTTTAAAACACCAAAAGATTATTTGAAGAAATTATGTAAGAAAATCATTAATATTTTTATTATTTCTAATTTTAATTTAGAGTATATTCGATATTATTGAGCCAAATATTTTGTTGGCGTATAATAATATTAATATTATATTATTTATGATAATATTGTTTATTTAAATATGATTTTTAGTTCCTGATTTTTATGCCATTAAAGATAACGTACAATGTAAAAACAACAAAATTTTAAAATGGTGTGTGATTACCAATTTGGAGGTGGAAAAATGTGAATGGATTTCGAAAATTGCTAACAATTATGGAATTGAACCTATGATTAAATGCGTTCAAAATATTAATCAAGAAAATTGTATAAAGTCAGTTATTAATAAAAAAGCTGACATTTTTTCTGTAAAACCACACGATGAACTAGAAGCTAGAGAGTATGTGTGAAAATTATAAACATAATTAAAGATTTACTATAAATTACTATATAAATGTTAAAAAGCAAAATCTGGAAAATATTAATTACAATATTATTTTACAGAAAGGGTCTAAAACAGATCGTTCATATGATTTCCAATGAAAACATTCATGAAAATAAAATTGTCTCACTAGTTAAGAAATTCTCAAATTTTTCTTCTTTGCATGATTTGAAAAATCATAAAGCTTGTTTTACAAATTTCAGAGATATTGGTGAGAGAATTTCGATTTTAATAATTTTGAATATAATTTCTAAATAAATAAAAAATATGTAAATATATTTTTGATTTACAGGATGGAATACTTTTATTTTCATGATGAAAAATTTGACTGGCGACAATAATTGGTATTGTAAAGACAAGGAAATGGTTTCAGAATTTTTTCGTGAAATCAGCATTTCTGATTTAAATGGAAATAATAATAATAGTTTTCCAAAAAATTTCGTTTCTTATATTTCATGTAATAACAAAAGTTTTTCGATTATTTAAAAAAAAAAATCGAGTTTCTAAAAAAAGGAAACAAACAAAGATAATATTTGAAAATAATTTCAGACAAAAATACAGACAAAGCAGCGTTAAATTGTTTAAATTTTGAGAATGGCGATGTGGCTTTTGTTAATTTAAGTTCAGTTCTGTATTATTTTCCAGGTAATTAAAAATTATAATATTAAAATTATTAATTAATTTAAGAAATATGAATTTATTTATTAATTGATTTCCTTTCGTTTTAGGTTCTCTAGAAAATATTTACAGACCACTTTGCGATAATAAGACTAAATCTGACTCTGAAAAAGTAGAAAAATGCTACTTGAGTTGGACATCTGAGGGATCAGTAAGTTATACTTTTCACTTGAAATTTAAAAATAATTAAATATAATTAATATTTGATTTTGCTTCCTCGTGGAGGAAGCTTTGTAGTCCTTTCATTTATAAAACTTTTCAAAGTGGCGGAAACAAATTTTTTTCTTTATAGAAACATGTTATATGAGATCCTGATCAATTGTCCGGATGTATGTATGTGTGTGTGTGTGTGTGTGGATCCCTTTTTTGTTTAGAAGATAACTTTAACAGGTTTTAATGGATTTAGATAAAATTTGGTAGGCTCATTTATCATATTAATATCTCAAATCTGACCAAAGGATTTTGAAAAATATCCCAAAAAAAAAATTTTATCGTCTTTTTTCCAAAAATTTTTTTTTAATCGAAAAAATTTTTAAATAGAAAAATTTAAGGTTATATATAATAAAATCGCTTTCCTTACGTCAAGACGAATCGATCGATATATATAAAGTATACATTTAAGGTAAATTTAAAGAATTAATGAAAGTAAAAAAATCAAAATTTCACATTTAGGCTATAAAATTTTGTGATTTTTTAAATTGAAGTTTATATATGAAATAATTGTATTCCTTACGTCAAGACAAATCGATCAATATATATAAAGTATACATTTGAAGTAAATTTAAAGAATTAATGAAAGTTAAAAACTCAAAAATTGACATTTTGGCAATAAAATTTTGCTTTCTCCACGAGGAAGCAAATTTTTTTGCTGATCGTAAAGAGGAAGCAAAATGTTCATGTAATGAACATCTGAATTTACAACTTGTTTAACTTAATATTTACCAATAAATAGATTTAAATAGGTATTTATAATGTTTAACATAAAAAATTAGATTAATTTACAATTTAGATGATGGTCCATGGGAAAATTTCTAAAAAGAAGGAAAATGTAATTTATCGAATGCTTATTGATCTTGATAGATTATTAAAAGGAAATTTGGCAAATTTATCTCCTCTATTGTCTTTATATGGTCCATTTGATCAACAGAAGAATGTAATTTTCCCTGTAAGTAATTTATTTATATTGATTTTAATTTTTTTTAAATTTTTGTCAAATCAACTTTTACACCTACATTTTACTTTTCACACACACAACCAAAAGATTTTTCCAAGTTTGAAATTCTTTCTGAAAATTTTTCACCCTTTACACATCCATAATAAATTTGATTTTTCTGACAAATTGCCCAGGGAAAATGCATTGATTTGAAAAATACTGCAGGTTCACCTGCGGCATTCAGAGCAATTGCTCCTATATTTGATTCATTCGTTTCCATTTCAAAACTGTCGAGTTGTTCCATTAAACTCGATTCGGTGTTTGCGTTCTGATATTTATCATTACAGGGTAAAAAATAAAGATCAATAAATAAAAAATTTGATTAAAGTATAAATAAAAATTAATTATATTATTAGAATTACCATTTTGAGTTTTTCGACTATTTTTCGAGCAGGTGCGTAAGCGTAAATTGATTTATCTTCACCAGAAAAAGAAGCACAACCAAATTGATCAGCAAAAATTCCACAACCAATAACTGTTCCAATTGAACTTATGGAACCAACTATTTTTCCCCGCTTGCCAGCTGTGGAAGTTCCACAAACAAAATTTCTTTCCCTATCATAGGCAATAGCTCCAACTGCGTTCACCTGAAAAAAAAAATCTTTCTTTATTTTCATTTTAATAACTAATTTTCCATTTTACAATATATTTACATTAAGATTCATTGGTTCTTCTTCTTCTTCTTCTAATTTTTTTTCTTCCTTTTCCGTATTTGTCAATCTTCTAGCAACGCATTCAGCTAATTTTTCTTGAGAAATTTCCAAAGACAAAGTTTTTTCAACTAAATGTTTAACAATTTTGCGAATGTAAATATCAAATTCTTCATATTCATCTTCAATTTCAAAATTTACAAAATCATGGGAGTTGATGGATTGAGGTGGAGCTTCACAAAAAAGAAGCGAACCTGTAAATTTAATAAATAAATATATTTTACATTACTAAAATTGAATTTTCCTTTTGTTCATCAATAATTAAATACCTGGAGATAACAAGGGAATTCCCATAGAAGAAGCAAATCTCTGAGCTCCATTTTCTACTAGTAAAATGTGATCTGTTTTTTGTAAAACTGCTTTTGCCAAATTAATTGGATGTTCAATATTTCTTACAGCTCCAACACACCCAGCTTCAAAATTGCTATTCATAATAGCAGCATCCATGACAACCTCTCCATTGATATCAAGTGAACCACCTTTTGCGCAATTAAAATATTTTTTACCCTCCATATGACTTATTGACAGAACAACAGCATCAATTGCATTCGTGCCTTTGATTAATTTCTCATATGCATCCCTCGCTGCATTTTTCACTTCCTGTAACATGAATTCTCTCTCAAATTTCGAAATTCTTCCCGCTCCACCGTGAACAATAATCACAGGTTCTACAGTTTCGCAATTTGTCTCTTCGACATTATTTTTTTTTATTTTCGCTTTTTCAAGGGCCGTTTTAATCCATGAACAATAATCGCACATTTTGCATTACAATAATTTGTAACCAAAAAAATTTTCACATTTTGACAGTGACAACCATAAAAAAAAGATGAATGACAATATAAGCATTTGTGAATTTAAAATACTTTTTTTTTTTATTTAATTTTAGGGACGTACGCAGTTCATAGAAAAAGAAATTGGAAGACTTCAAAGAAGTTTGAGTTATCACGAAATATTGGAGGATTTAGTAGCACAGAAGCAAAAATGCAACAGTGCAAATTCGATGAAACAAAAAATTTATTTAATCAGTTTTGCACTTTTTATTTATTATAAGTTGACTTTAATATGAAAATAAATATTTTTTTATTAAAGAAGAAAATATAATATAATTTACAGTCATGCATTTATTTTAATTAACATTTGCAGAGGTTAAAATTATATAAATTAAAAAAACTTTTTTTTTAATTCCTATAATTTTTTAAATATTTTCAATTGCATTTAAAAAGTATTTATTTTCCATAATTAAAAAAAGACCGCGAATTTATTTAGATTCTTAAAGAGAATGAAATAACCAGTTCCCATGCGGTTGGGAACCCGAATTCACTAATACAGGTGAAATTCCCTTCCCCCTTGGAACGGTTGCCTTTCAACTTTCAGTATAATCCTTGCATGCATTTGATACGTTTCTCGCGGTTTGTTATATTCAGGATAAGATATTACAAAATTTATGGGAAACTATATTTTGGTTACATGTGAGAAAATTTATGTTAAAATTTAACTAGAAATTATGATTTTTAAATTTTCATTATTTTTAACATTACAATTAATATTCTTTGTTAATTTTTATACACCTGTTTTTACAAAGAAGCAAAATAAACGTAAGTTCTTATATATATATATATAGGTATCTATATAAGTATACACATTGTAGATTAATCATTCATAAGAAACACGTCCTTCACTTCTCATTTACTTCCTCTCGCGAATAAAGATCAAATTGTCAAGTAATAAGGAAAACTTGTTCATATACTTTTGTAGTGCGTAGTATTTGTGACTATTTTATTCATTTTATAATCGATATTAATGAAATATTTTTATAATTTAATATTTATTTAAAAAAAAAAAATGAAATAAATCGTCAATGTTTTGAACAATTAATTTTTAACTTTTCAAGATCAGTTTTTGTTACATTTTTTATACTTTCTTCTGGAATAATAATTTACATTAATAAAAATTATAGATAAATTAAAATTATTAATAATTCAAATATTAGTATATATTCAAACTTAATTTTGAATAATGTTAATTGAAAAATTTGTTAAAAAAATATCAGAATGGTAATAACATTAATAGAGATAATTTCTCATTATTTTATTATACTAAGAGAACTAAAATTATTTTTAATATTTAAAGTTAAAAAATATACTAATATATATTTAATAAACAGAAATATTTCTTTTTGTGCAGTTAGGTTTTGCATTGTGAACAGTTTTCATACTCACAATACAATTGAAAATGTTTGTCAAAATCTAGTCCAATCAAAAAATAGCAAAGTAGAGTGTATTATTGAAACTGACAGGCAAGTATTTTTTTTATTTAGTTGTAAATTAAAATAATTATCATGTTCGTTAATTTATATACAGTTAATAGGGGGAAATAATTTACTAATAATGTTAACATTAATGTTTTAATGCAGTGTTAATTTCATATTGTTGAATAATTTGAAAAACAATTTTTTCTATTTTAAGAAAATATTGAAAATTAAATTTAAAAACAATTTAATTATTTAAGTGAATTATTGTTTTATTGTCATAGAATACAATGTCTAAGATTGTTAATAAACGATCAAGCAGATTTTATGTCAGCGGAACCTGAGGATTTAATAGTTCTTGCATTGAATAAAGAGAACAATAATAAAATTCTAGTCACACATGAATTGAGAGTATGGGAAAATGGTAAATTTGTCAATAAAATCATTATTATTAATACGGATTTTAATTAAAGAACAAAAATTTAATTTTCCTATTTTTAGAGTATTCTAGTTTTAAAACAGTCGTAGTGGTGCGAAAAGACATTGAAAATTTATGGCACACTGAGAATAGACATCTTTGTTTACCAGGCTTTGAAAAAAATTCCGTTCTTTTAGATTACATAAAAGTAAGTAAAATTATAATTTTTTCCTTTTTTACAAAGGTAGAGTAATTAAATTTTTTTTAAAAATTCGAATAAAGTTTCTTGAATTAAATTAAAGCTGTCCTACGTATAAATTATTAAGACAAATTCAAATTTTTAAAATTAAAATTATTAACTTGAAATTTCGTAATTAGTTTTTGGAGACAAAATTCGTTTCTTCTGACTGTAGTCTAGAGAAGAGTTTACTAGAAAATAAATTATCAGCTTTGTCACAATATTTTGAATCGGCTTGCATCAGTGGTCCATGGACAAATGATGAGCAAATCGACATGCAAATGAGTAAATATTCTTGTATTAAATCGTTCTAATTTTTTTTTTTTTTTTTTTTATGAAAAAAAGACAATTAAATAATCAGATCAAATTATTTGTTTATTTCACAAATTGAGTAATATTTTTTTGACTTTTTTTTTAGAAAAAAAATATGGAAATTTGTGTTCACGATGTAAAAATAGTCTAAAATGTTCGAAGGATGATAAATTTTATGGAAAAGAAGGAGTTTTACTATGCTTAACTGAAGGTGGGGGAGATATTGCATGGGCAAGATTAAATTTTGTTCGTTCTCACTTCAAGGTACTTACCTTTAATTCTATTATATGTGTAAGAGCCATTTTTGAAAAAACAATTTTTAATCATTCTCCTTCTCAGCGATTTGGAGGTGAAGAAGATTATAATTTTCTCTGTCCCGATGGTTCAACTAGAAAATTAACAGATGATCCTTGCATTTGGTTCGAAGAACCCTGGAGAACAACTATTGCCAGAAAGTAGATTGAATTTTTAATAATCAGCGTGTCTGAAATGGAACAAGTCTAATTAAATATTTTGTTAATTATTATAGAGTATTAGGTATTTTTTAAAATAATTAAATATTAATTTTTAAATAATAACTGGCAGTGATGACATTTACTATTAAACGAAGTTAACAATTTCTTAAATTTCAAAAAAAAATTGGACAATTAAAAAATATTTTTTTGACACGTAAAAAGAAATTTTTAATAATTTAAAAATTTTAGTTTTTTATTTCTAAATGTATATTTTTGTCATTTTTTTTAGAATAATCGCTGAAAAAGTTTCGAAATTTATATCCGATCAAAATAATCAAGTTGGAGATTTTTTAACACTTTTGCAATATGATCTTCATAGAACACCAGTCAGTACTGAAACTCTAAAAACACCAGAGGATTATTTTAAATTATCATGTAAATTATAAGTTTTTTATATGTAATTCATTCAATTTTATTATTCTTTTTTTTGTGATTAACTTTCTTTTTTGTATTTTAACAGTTCCTGATTATTATTCTCTAAAGGATTATTTACAATGTAAACCAGATCGACGTATAAAATGGTGTGTAACTACAAATTTAGAAGTAGAAAAATGCAATTGGCTCTCATATGCTGCAAATAGTTATGGAATAGAACCATTAATTGAATGTGTACAAGAATTAAATAAAAAAAATTGTCTAGAATCGGTGAAAAATAAAAGGAGCGATATTTTTGTCGTAAATTCATCAAAAGAATTTGAAGCTAAAATGTAAGTGATAACAAGAAAATAATTTTTTAAAAAATAATTATTGTATAATTAATTAATGATATAATAATCGTTATTGATAAATAATTTTGAAAAAAACATTGTAACTTCACAGGAAGGGTTTAAAGCCAATTATTCACATGGTAACAAAAAAGAAAAATCAAACAGTAGCACTGGTAAAAAAATTTTCGAATATAAAATCGTTTAAAGATCTAAAAAATCAAAAAGCTTGTTTCTCGGGTTACAGAGATATTGGTAAGAAGAATAAAATATATAGGGAATTCAAATTTAGGCGGGAATTCAAACTGAATATAAAATTTTGTGTATTACAGGATGGAATACATTTATTTATTTAATGAAAAATTTAACTGGAGATAATAATTGGTACTGTAAAGACAAGGAAATGGTTTCTCAATTTTTTAAGGAAAGTTGCGTGTTTCATTTAAACAAACAAGATTTTTCCACTTTTCCAAAAAATCTCTATTCACTCTGCTCGCATCGTAAGAAAATGATTTCAATAAAAAAATTTTTATGCATTAAAAAATTATAATTTATTTTTTATTATTTACATTAAAATATTATTAGTATCCATAATTGAGAACAATATTTTATACTAAAAATAAAATTTTTATTTTATGTCTAGTAAATTTTAGCAATACAAACAATACAGTATTAAATTGTTTGGATTCTGACATTGCCAACGTGTCTTTTTTAAATTTTAACTCAGTAAATCCATTTTCATCAAGTAAGTGTTAAGTTAATGATTTTTAAAATAAAAATTTGAGAATTATATAAAAATTATCGAGTTACTAAAAAATTATTGAATTTCTAGAATATTCAGAGGTGTATTATAGAACTCTTTGTAGAAATGAATTTATGGATAACTCTAATATGGAACATGAATGCCTTTTATCACAGTCAACACTCGGATCGGTAAAATTGTGAAAATATACTATGTTTACTTTATGAAATTTTAAATGTTGGAAATGAATCGAAAATTTTAATAATTCTTCTTAGATAATGGTAAATCAAAATGTAACATCATCAAGGGAAGAAGATATCTCTCTGTTATTTATGAATATTAATGGATTATTTGGGGAAACTTATCAGGGAACGACTCCTTTAATGAATCTTCATGGTCCCTTTGAAGGACAGATGAATATTATTTTTTCAGTAAGATAAATCAATTTTTATTGACAATTTTGTTTGTGAATTAATCCCAAAAAGAATTTTATTCATTTATTAATGAATTTAATTAAATTTGTCTAATTATACAATATATTTTTTTTCAAGGAATTCACTGAATTTATACGAGATGCTAATAAAAATTATCGCACATTGAATTATAATGAAATTATGGAAAATTGGGGAAAAGAACAATTATGCAATAAAGCTGATTTTTTACGAAATTTCATTTACATTTCAATTCTTCTACCGATTATTATTTGTTTATTAAGCTAAAATCAACGAAATTTTGTATGTAAACAAGTAAATTGAATAAAATATTGTTTTCAAAATTAGGTAGTTATGAATCTTATTTATATACCAAGAATTGATGTAGTAATTAATTGTTTAGTTTTGAAGTTTTCTGATTCGTAACTAGACAATTTTGTCTAAATACGATTATCAATGACCTCTGAAAATTTATCGACAGTTTATTAATTACATTGCTGGACAGAGCACCTTTTAGACCGTTTTCTAATTGAAATATCTCAAAACAAAAGATTGCAAAAAAAAAACGCGATTTATGAACAAGTTTTTAAATTTAAATTAATAAATATGTTTTTTAAAGAGTGGATCATTCTAATAACAAGTTATGTTTTTATCATTAATTTTCAATCAACCGTTTTAGCTGAAAAGCACAAACGTAAGTTTTTATTTTATACAAATTAATTGAAACATTATTTTCTTTAATACCATATTATTAATTTCAATAATTTGAAAAAAAATAAATTTTTTTAAATTTATGTAAAATTGAAAAAAAATATTTTTTAATAATTTTTAATATTTTGTGAAAGTTAAATAAATTTTTTCAGTTCGATATTGTATGGTGGACGATACCATATCCCATGAAATGAAAAATTCGGAAACATGTCCCATTTTAGTAGATTCAGCTAATCCTCAAGTCACATGTATCGTTGCTATTGATAGGTATGAGTTTTTAAAGATGAAAAATATATTTAAATTTTAGATCTTTAATTCCTTTGTTAATGCTAAATCAGAAATTTTTTAAATTCAAATTCATAATGATTTGCAAATTATAATATTTGTTAATTTAAATTTTTTTTTGTATTTTAATTATTATATTTTCTATTACTTAAGAGTGACTTGCTTACGACATTTACTTGCCGATGAAGTAGACTTTATTGTTGCGGAACCGGAGGATCTTATGATTTTTGGATTTTCTCAAGAGTACAATAATAAAATTCTAGTAACACACATTTTACCATCAATGCCAACAGGTAAAAGCTCATTGAGTACTGCATAGTTCGAAATGAAAAAATCTATTAAAACCCTATATTGTATTTGAAAAACTTTTGAAATCAAATATTTTGAAATAATTTACAGATTCAGAAAATTCCCAAATGGTCGTAATTGCTCGCAATAATATACAGGATATTTTACACACGGAGAAGAAACGTTTCTGTTCACCTGGATTTGAACCGGGTGTTTTAGTTCGAGATTACGTTAAAGTTAGTTTACTTAAAAAAAAGAATTAGTAAAATTTAACATCTTCAATATTTGAATGAAAAAAAATTCACAAATTTCTTTTCTTTACATTTTTGTATCATCTTTACAAAAATTATAGTCGGAAAATTTTACTAATTCGAACATTGGTTTTAAAAAAAGCAAAACTTTATTTATATTTCTCAAATTTTCCGTTTTTGTTCTCTAAAAGTTCAATTATATAATTTTATTTTAATTCTTTCTAGTACTTTGAAAGCATAATAACTCCACGAAAATGTGATCCAGATAAATCTCTATTAGAAAATAGAATGTCTACTTTATCGGAATATTTTTCATCTGCATGCATCAGTGGTCCATGGACGGTTGATTATCAACGCGATCAAAAATTAAGTAAGATTTTTATTTCAAAGGAAAATTTTATTTCGTATATATATATTATTTGATTATATTATATTTTTTTCATAGAAAAAACATATTCAAATCTTTGCGCTGAATGTGGTGATTCAACAACATGTTCACATGAAGATTCATTCTTTGGAAAATGGGGAGCTTTAAAATGTCTATTGTCAATGAAAGGCGATGTTACTTGGGCTACTCTTCACGCTGTTAAACAACATGATTTAAAAGTACTTTTTTATAGTTAATAATTAATTAATTAATCTCTAATTATAACTAAAAAAATCCTAATAAATAAAGTTTTGAAAAATTTGTTTAACATTATTTTTATGAATAATATTTTTCATTATGCATAGAAATCATGTTTTTGGAATTAACAAATTTAAAAAATGGATTTATCAGGTTTTATTACTTTTGGTTATTACATCAAGAGTCAGTAAAGATGATGCGTATGTGTGTGTGTGTGAATTAATTAATTTTCTTCTTGATTAATGAAACAGGAATACAAGGATGAATATTCTTTCCTCTGTCGCAATGGAAAGACAAAAAAATTGACAGATAAACCTTGTGTTTGGCTTAAAGAACCACATCGAATGATTGCAGTCACGATGTAAGTAAAAATTTCCTTTTTGAAACAATTTACAAAATGTAATCCTAGAAAAAATAAATATCTTTCAGGAAATTCCAAAATGAATTCTTCACGAATAAAACTAAGTTCGAAATTATTCGTATTATTAAAAATCGATATGTTTTCATTTGCAGGAATTCTGCTGAAAGAGTTGGAAGATTCATGAAAAATCCAGCAAATATGAATGATTTATGGAGACTTTTTGTAGGATTGCCAAAAGCTATCGAGTTGCCAGCAACACCTCTCGATTACTTACAGAGATCATGTAAATAAAGTATAAATTTTTTAAATTTAATTCTGAAACAAATTTTTTAAATTAATATTCTCTTTACAGTTCCGGAATATTATTCATTAAAGGATTACGCAAAATGTACTCCCGATAGGACAATCAAATGGTGTGTAACAACATCTTTAGAAGCTGAGAAATGTAAATGGCTCTCGTTTGCTGCTCAAAGTCATGGATTGGAGCCTTTGATCAAATGTGTACAAGAAACGAGTCGCGAGAATTGCATGGAATCAGTGAAAAATGGAACGAGTGATATTTTTGCAGTTGAATCTCGCGAGGAAGATGAAGCAAAAAAGTATGAAATAGATATATTATTAAATAAAATAAAATATTAAAAAGAAAGTAAATGTTAAGAAAATTATGTTTTTCAGACGAGGACTTAAGGCAATTGCATATATGATGATGAACAACGAACACGAAGATATAACAGTCGCTTTAGTACGAAAGTTCTCAAATTTTACTTCTCTTCTCGATCTACAAAATCACAAAGCCTGTTTCCCAGGTTACAGAGAATTTGGTAAGAGTATGAAATTTTATTTTTGAAAAATTTTTTTCTATATGATTAAAAAAAATTATTTTCAAAATCCTTTGGACACTAATTATTGATGATTGAAATTATTATTTATAGAATGGAATGCTTTTCTTTACACAATGAAAAAATTAACCGGCAACCCTGAATGGTATACTAAAGACAAGGAGATGGTTTCCAAATATTTCAATGAAAGTTGTGTAGCTAATTTGCATAATGGAAATGAATCGGAAAAAAATTTTCCAAATAATTTATATTCATTATGTTCAATAAGTACACAAAGTAAGTTTGAATTAAGTACATTCTTTTTTCTATAACTTTTGAAAAATGTAATTTCAAAATTAAATATTGTTCATTATTTCAGCAAAAGTTCCCAAAGTACAACATATTTCAAGACAAACGCGTAATCCATCTATGATTGTGGAAAAATTTGAAATGCCCAAGAAGGAAGGTAATAATTTGTCAAAATAAATAAATATATTATGAATAAATCAATCTAAATTATTGCGAAGGTTACTAAATAAATAATTATTAATTATAGTATCTTTTGAACTAAATAAAATTTCTTTTACAGAAATTCGAAATTCAGATCATGCAATGTTTAACTGTTTGACGCACAATAATGCCGATGTAGCTTTTGTTAATTTGAGTTCACTTATGCATATGTACCCAGGTATATTGAAAAGATTTTAATTTATTGTTCTTAATTTTACTTTTTATAATTTTTCATATATTTAAAAATATTGCTTTTTGGAAATTATAATTCACAGATCTAATTGGAACTACTTTTCGTGTGATTTGTCTGAATGAATCGAAAACAGTGGATCAGTGTTATTCAGCTAAAAAATCTCTAGGATCGGTAAGTCTCAAATTTTGAAAAAAAATTTAACCTATATTTGAGACAATTTTTTTTTCAACAGTTAGTTATACATAAAAACGTTACAAAAGCGAGAAAAGATGACATTTACTATATGCTATTGGATATTGATCGAATATTTGGTATCACTTACCAAATTATCAGCAAATTAATTACTCTATATGGTCCTATCAACGGTACGAATGGCGTCATTTTCCCTGTAAGTAATAATACAAACTATCAATAACTAGTATAAAATTTAAATCCAACTATAGATATTAATCTGTGAGATGAAATTGATTTTTCTTTTAATCTTACCAATTATTTATGAAAGAATTAATTCCACACATTAATTATAAAATTGAATTTGTCTCTAAATTTCAGGAAGGTACTCAATTTTTAGATCCCATAGCCTGTCATTCACCATGCAAATTGAACTATAATGAAATTTCAAATGATATTTCAACCTATTTTCATAAAACAGATGCTTCTTCAAAATCCCCTGTCACAGCGATTTTAGTATTCTTTTGTGTTTTATGTTTTATTTTATTTCTTTTATTTTTAAGAAAATTTAAAAATTATTAATTTCGTTTAAAATTTTTATAAATTTAATTCTGTGACGCCAAATAATTGAATTTTTTAACAAAGAATATTGTATATATAACAAAAATATTATTTAAATAATTAATGAAATAACTTTTCAATGTATAGATAACGAAATAATTTTATTATTAACAATGAATGTATTTTTTTATTGATAAAAACATAATTTATTGTGTGTGAGTGACTTAGATGAATAAATTAATTGCAAGTGCTCTCTCAATATAGTAAATATTATTTTGACTAGAAATCAATGAAAATTGCAACAGTGATTAAAAAAACTACTATAGAATAATATTAACAATATAACAGTCTTTGGAAAACTTAGCGTTTTACGACTTAAATATTTGTAATTTTTTTTACTGATATTATTGTTAGTTTGGAACACGTGAATCATTAGAAAATTCGTTTTTATAAAATTGTGACGTATCGTAAAAATGTATTCATTTCCTCGTAAAATTCTTCTTTACGTGAATAGTAGAATTCTTTGTTTAACTTGTGAACTTCAACATTTCCCGTTTCAGTTCCAATTGCCTGTAATTAATATTTTTTAAATTCTTATCAACTTTTCTCATTTTTTTATAATTATTTTTTAGTAAATTACAATTAAAAATTTCTAAGAAACTCAAAATAAAAGCATTCAGTAAATCAGAATAAAATTTAAAAATGAATTTAAATAAAATTTTCTTGTTAGTAAATTAAAATAACAAATAGTAAATAAAAAAATATTAAATTTTGTTACCAAATACTGATTAGCCAAATCGTGGATAGAATTGCAGGGAGACAATTGAATGCATTTCACATGACCCCAACTTTTAGTCGATATAGAATGAGCAGGAAAAATATCACTGTTGTTTAAATCCCAAACATATAATCTAATGAAGAGTAAGTAAGAAGGATTTTAAGAAGACCAGTAATAATATTTACAAATAAGTACTGATAATTTACATACTTTGAATTAACGTCAAGAACAAACAACGTAAATGGCTTTGATTTCGACCATTGTATTGCTTTAACGGCCGAGGTATAGTTTTCATTTTTCAATTGTAAAAGAGATTTTTCCACATTCAATGAATGAAGGCGTACTGCACCATTATCACAACCTACCTATAAAATTAATTTTCATTTTTAAAAAATGTAATTATTAATTTTTAACTTTCTTCTTTTAATAATTATTTTCATATTATTCTTTTCAATAAATTAAAAAATTTAGATTTAATGTATGCTGTCAAATTGATTTATTAAAGACAGTAATGTATTTAATTGAATGTAAAAATTGACTCACCAAGAAAAAGGATTGCTTGAAAGGACATCTCTCTATACAAGTTGTATTACCAGACCAATCTACAGTTAAAATTAAAATTTAATATTTATTTCTCTTTTTTTGTTATTTCACTGAATGAACTTACCCATTTCGTCTTCTTTGTAACCAAATGGATTGGTTTTACCTCCCGCGCTATTCGCATGGAAAATAGTATTTGAATTCGTAGAAATATAAAGATCGTTATTATTAATACTATCTACAGTTAAGTCGAAAAATCTTCTTAAGTGATTCTCCCTGAAAGAGAAATTTACGAAGTTAAAAAAAAATGATGCTTTTTTATTATTAATCATAATATAAAAATAGATAAATCAATTTAAACGCACATCTCACTTTTCTTAAAAGATAAAGGCACTTCTTGGCTTTTTGTGAGTTTGATATCGCCCCAGTGCGATACTCCAAAATCTCCAGTATTTTTTGTCATCACATGTAAAACGCTCCATATTATTAAACTACCATTTTCGTCTAAACTACAAATCTGTAATAAAATTATTTTTAATTTTGGTAGTAATTATTTATTTACGCTTTATGTTTATTCACTTAATTGGATCGAGGATATAAATGTTACTTACTTGAATTGGTAAAAACTTATTATTAACAACTTCTTTTTCTACTTTTGATAAAATACGTAAGGCCACGACTTCAGACTTATGTCCGTCAATTTCATAATTTCCTGTTGATGTGTAAGTTGGTGATCGTATTACCCAATCCATTTCATTATCCTTGTCCGTCACTTTTTGATGCCACATTTCATCTTCTTTCAAATCCCAAATGTTAATCGAACTGGAAGAATCATATTTTATTTTTTTTATTTAAATTTTGTTTCAAGATAAATTAAATAACATTTTTCTCACCCATCTTGCAAGCCTGCAAAAACGATATTATAACTAGTTGGATGAAAACAACATGTAGTTATTGGACTTTGTGAATAAATTATTTTCGTAGGCCTTGACGGCTCGGAAATATTCCAAACGCATCCAATACAACAATCGGTTATGTAATCTTGCTTGTTTGATGTTTCAATATTCTAAAATAAAACAAATATATAAAAGAGAAAGTTGACAAAAATTATAATCCAATAAGCTTTGAAATTATTTCTTTTATACCTCGTCTCCTGGAGCGTGAATCGTGAGAAGAAGTTTATTTAATACTTCTGAATAAATAATGGAAGTCACAGGTCTGCCTGACAAAAAAGTCAGAGAATTTACCGAAAGTTTTATGCAACCGTCACTAAAAGGCATATCATGATTGTCTTTTTGAAGAATGTTGCCACCAAATCGTCTTTCTTCTAATAGACAAAGCATAACTTTTCCGGCTCTTTCTAAAAATTCATTTAACTGCAAAATATCGTATGATGGAACAACAGTTAAATCCGGATCGTCCTCATCGCTTCCAACGCCAATTTGTTCCTGAAAATATAAAAAAAGAACGGTGTCTTAAATTTTCAAATAAAAGATGAATTTTTGCGCCAAACTATTAATTCAGAAAATAAAATATGAAGAAAAAAATTTAATATTTTATATTTGTATACGTTTTTCTATAAAAAAATTTAATTTTTTTTCATTATTTATAAAAAAGCAAAAACCTTTCTAAACAATTTTATATCTTCACTGGTAGTTAAATTTTGTCTACACGTTATTGGAAATTGAGTCCATTTGTTACAAGATTCTATAAATTCCGTTTGTGTTTCTTCTTCTGGATTATCGTCATTAGTTTGAGTCCACATCTAGAATTAATTTATAATTTAATGTATAAAATTTAACATTAAATAAAAATTTTTTATACCTGTTGTGTATTTAATTTTCCATAATTTCTAATGAATTCGTCATAAGCAATTGGCGCACTTTCATATAAGGTCCATTCCACAATATCCAATTTTATCATAGTCATTAATTCCTCTCCTCTGCTTAAGACTTTCTTTGTTTTCTTAAAAAAAAAAGTTAAAACTATTGATCATCTGACAAAATTATATAAGTAAAAGAAATAGATTTTACTCTAAAAATTTACTTTTTTCTCCTTGTACGGTTTAGTTATTTTGGAAGATTCAGAGATTTGAAAAATAGGAGGTGATTTTGCAAAATCTCCAGACCGAGCGTCTTCAAATCCTTCATCCATCGACAGAGGTAAAGATTTGTTTTCCGAATGCTTTTCCTCTCTATGCCAATAATATTCAATTATTTATTATTCGGAAAAAAAATTATTTTAAAACTTCACTTTACTTATTAATTACTAATAATAATTTTCTTTTGCAAACCTGAGTGCCTGATTGACAGGCTGAATTTCTTCAGATAAAGGAGTTTTTGGTCGACTGATTGACGTTGAATCAATTGCCATTGATTCAATTCTCGCTGCTCTCTTTCTAGCTTCAGCTAGTTCATAATGACCCGAGTCTAACATCCGCTCTTCTTCAGTTTTGCGAACTTCATAACTGCTCACAACTCTTTTCTATTAAAATTTTATTTACAATCATTCAAAAATTGTCATGAAAAAAAATAATTAAACGAAGAAAAGAAATAAAGAATAAAAAAGAACAAGAAATTAATTACCCTCTCTAGTGTTTTCATTTCAATTGGTTCTAAAAGAGGACTGTCTCTAGATTCGTCAGCCTCTTCGCTAATTAAAGAATTATTACTATCTGTGCATTCCTCAAAATCTGATTCATAGCTCTGCAAAAAAAAATTTCAATTAAAATAAATAAGTGAAAATAAATTTTTAATACCTACTTCAAAATCATCTTCATAGTCAAAATCTTCATCTGAATTCAATTTTGTTGCACCATCGATGTTTTGATTTTGAATTGCAATTGTTGAATGCAAAACTTTCACTTCACTTGGACTTAAAGTTCTCGATTTTCTTCGTTCTCGAGAAGATGTTCTCTTACTTTTACTTTCCTTGAGAATATCTTTTTTATCATGAGATTTTCTGGATGGTAAAACTTTTGAATCTGACGATTGTTTCGCTGTTAAAGATTTAAGTTTACTGGTATTACTTTCTGGCACGTAAAGTGTGCTTGTACCTCGTTTTTCCGAGATAATGGATTTTATTTTTTCCTTAGATCTACTACTTTCTGTTTGTCTTGCATGTTTCGATATTTGTGTCTCAATTTGAGGTTTTACTTTAGTTGTTCTACTACTATTTACAGATTTTCGAGACGATGTTGAATTAGATTTTGTCGTCTCATTTTTAACAATTGATTTTGATTGAGAAATTGTGTTATTATTCCTAAATGAAGTCTTTTTCATTGATGAATTGGTAATCACATTGCGATCTGTTATTGATTTTGAATCTTCACTTGCATTTTGAGTAATTCGATGAATTTCTTTTTCTTTGTCGGATTTTGAAGTTTGATCGGAAGTTTCTCTAGATTTGAGAGTTTTTGATTTTTTTTGTAAATTATGTGTGGACGCATTTTTTGAATCGTAAGTCTTTTTTATCGCTCCCTGTAACAAAATTATTTAAATAAAATTATAAAAATTGCAAAATATTATAAAATGTAAAACACACATGAACATTGTTATAGCTACTAAATTATAATTTTTCAATTGAACAATTAATTTTTATGTTGTGAACTATAGTTAAAAAGTGAAATTGATTTTAAAAACAAACAATGAAAACAAAAACAATTTTAATTTTTGTTAAACGAAAGAAGAAAACAAATGCGCGTTATTTATAAAAATGAAATGCAGCAAAAATAACCTTTTCTTGTATAAAAATAGAAATTCTCGGAAATATAGTTTTATAATATTAACCTTGCAGTAAATTCTTTTTAAGATTATGGACTATTTAATAATTCATAAGGAAACGTCGATAAATTGTGTCAAACTTAAAGTGAATTTCTCAAAACTGCATACAAGTATTTTTAAGTGTAATCAAAAATAACCCCGCAAAAGAGTGTCATGCAAATAACCAATTACTAAAGTATTTTTGATTAATGAAAGATATTTTCTGTACTTCATATACCTATTAAAATTAAGAAATGAACTTACTTTATTAGACATTATGTAGCTAATTGATTTGTTTTGACATTTCCATTCGTAGTGAGGTAGCCATGACACAACTGTTACTGTAGCGATTCAAGCGCCATTCTCGGAATGCGCACTAACTAAAATCGATCACGTGATTTTCATTCAAATCAAATATTACATTATGCGCGGGACTATTTTCTTTATCGAATCTCAAAGAAAATTCGAATAAAATGCAAAAAAACAACATTATGTGTGAAAAAAATGTGTTTAAAATTATTTATTTACAATAAATAAATTGTAATTTCATGACAATTTGTTTTCAATAGTAAAAAAAAAAACAAGTGACAAAAGTGTAAAATAAATAATAACTATTTTCAAGTAATAAAATTATTTTTAGTGTCAAAATTATTATGTTGAAATTCTATTTTAAAACTAATTCATAGCAATGTAAAAATAAAAGAAAACAAAAATAAAGTGAAATAAAATGTAAATAAAAATAAAAAAAAATTTATTGATATGGATTTGAGAGGACACAAGAAAAATAGTGAATATAAAAAAAGGAAAAATTGTTTAACAGAAGCGAGACATTGTGAAACGAAAAAATTCCCACAAAAAATAGAAGATCAAAAGCAAAAAGTTTCTGATTTAGTTTATCAATATTTGTCACAAGTTTCTAATGTTCATAATAGAAGAAAACATCGAAAAAATGCTAGAAATAATTTTCATCGTGCTCATTTAAGAAGACAGCCTGGAAATATTTATCCCAAACGTCCGAAAAAAAAGTATTCGAGACCAAAATCAATTTTAGATTACAATTTAACAAATAATACTCTTTCGTATTTGCCTTTCAATTATTATAATCAACAGGAAATATTAAATTCTCAATTTTACAGACCGACAATTTTAAAAAATATCGTTCAAGATTATGCAAAAGCCGTTAGTGAAGGTATAAATATTTTAAACTTCTCATTAGGTAATTAATTAGTAATTTTCAATGCCTATTATTGTTATTATCATTATTATTATTTTAATGATTATTATACTTGTAAATATTATTTTTTTCTAATTCGGCATTATTATAGATTTTAAATAAAATTTTAGTAAAATGAACAAATAAGATTATTTTTATTCACGTTTTGTGAAAATAAAAATAAAACGAATTGACATTCTTGCAAATTTTGCCAGGGCGAAATATATCAAGAAAATATGTATGCAAAGCACTATCTTTTGGAGTGAATTCGGGATTTTTGGTACCAACTGATGACAAAGGACAAATGCTTCGTGTCTCTTCAAATCTCTGTCTCTTTCCAGGCGGTGGAAATATAGAAAAAACTAAAACTGAAAAAAATATCAAATCTAAATCTACTAATAATATGAAAAAAATTAAAACAAAACGACTGTTAAAATCGAAAAATGGAAAAAGTTTATCAAAATACGTTAAAGGCAAAAGTTTACAAAAAACAAATAAAAAGAAAAGAAAAGCAAGAAATTTTTAATAATATGTACTAAGAACAATTTTCAATTTTTTAATTTGTTTTAATTTGTTTAAAATTCGAGTTAATTGTATTACTTTTTATTTTACAAAATTTATTTGTTATCCAAATTATAATATTCTAGAAAGAAATAAAATTGTCCGTTTTTTTTAACTTATTGAGAGTATATTTTTAGGCAATTAATTTTTATTTTTACGTTTGTATAATTTCTTTTTAATTTCTATATTCGTTTTTCTTTTTATATTTTCCTTTGGGTATAATTTTACGATTTTGTTCTTTTTTTGCATTTTTTGTATAATGTTTTATATATTTCTCTATGTTTGATGAATTTTTTATTTCTTCCTTTTTTTTGTCTTGTAATTTTAATGAATATTTTGTAGATTATTGAAATTTTATTATATTTTTCAATTACGAGGACATTTCTGTCGACAATGTTTGATCCATTTTTTCAAATCTTTATTATTGGAACTATGATGTTTAATTTTTTTCGATTTCAATTCTTGATAAACACTGTCACTGGAATTTTCTTCTTCAGAATTTGTTGAATTTTCATCCATTTCTGGGGAGGAATTATAAAATTTGTTGTTTAGATTAGAAACGCTGTTTAAAATTTTATTTTGAGCTATCAAACGTCCTGTATTTAATTCTTGGCATGTTACAAAAGTGTTAGGCGAATTTGCTGATTGAAAATCTTCGTCAATCTTTTAATAATTATAATATTTATGTAATTAAATTTTTTTTTAAATTTAAATTTTAATATAAATAATAAAATATGATTATAAGTGAAAAAGAAAAAAATACAACACCTCATTGTTGTTATGAGTACGTCCACATCCACATTCTGATTTTTCTGCTGAACGATTCCTTTTTTGTGAACTTTTCAATTTTTTAAGTCGATGTTTACTTTGATTTTTTGAGGATGCTTGAGCCTCTTTTCTTAAGGAAGATCTACTTCTATCTATAGAAAAATGTTTTTTTTGACTTTTTGATGATATATTATTTTCTGTCAAATTTTCTTCTTTTGGTTCAGAATGATCTGAAATTATTTTTATACATTCTTTATTTTTTCGTTTTTTCTTAGATTTTTTTTCCTTTTTTCGCTTTTTCGAACATCTTGATTCAGATCTTGATTTATATTTTCTCTTGCACGATGATTGAGAAGTTAAAAAATTATGAACCCTATTTAGACATGTAGCAAATGGACCCATCAGAATGTAATCGTTCTTGTTGATTTTCATTGTAAATCTACGCTTTAATTATTATTGATTATAATTTTTAATAATTATTATTTTTAAGACAAATTCTTTTTATATTTTTTTTTATTAAAAAAAAAATAAATTAGTAACTATTATTTTTGTTCATAAAGAATTAAATATCAAGTGTTGTTCAACATTCTTGACTAACCCTTGACGCCAAATTCGTGACAAGACCGTTTGCACCTGAGCGTCAAGGTCTCCATCAAAATTATAATTTGCTTTTATATATTCCGCTATATCCTTGATATTTGATGAGGGCAAGGATTTATCGTTATTATTTCGTTGAAGAGAACGCATTGCTTCCATTACTCTAATTGAAAATCGTGTCGAATTTTCAATTCCATTATTATTTAGTTCCTATATAAATAATAATTAATTATTTTGAAATAATACAAATAAAATTATAAATAAATAAACTAGGTTTTAAAAAAAAATTATTATATAACTATGAGAAAGAAAATACCTGTTTTCCTAGATTTTGACATTTTGCATCATAATAATTAGGGTTATTTTGTACATTTTTTTCCATATTTTTTTCATTTTGATCGTCATAACTGTGTTTTTCAAGATTTTTGTCATTACTGTTCCTTCGACAACAAGACATATTATAAATATTTAATAAACGAAAGGGGGAAAAAATAATTATAAAAAAAGCGATCGTTTTAATCAACTTGAAGTCAGAAACCAACTCATCGAGTTTCTCGAGACATATATATATTTAAAAAATGAAAAAGGATTTTTTAAATTATTTGTCAAAAAATAAAATATTATATATAATAATAAAATGCTTGGTCTGTCCAACAGTCCTAACTTGAAGTTGGTGTTTACTGATTTCACGCGTATTTTTTGAATTGTAATGTTATGACGTGTCAAATTTGTGTCACATTTTAAAAATTCTTTTTCTCATTTTTGCCAAAGTTGTATAAGTGTATTACCAAATTTCGGAATTGGTATCTTTAAAAAAAAAAATTTTCTTTAAAAAAAAAATTACATACCAAACTTCGCGCGCTGGCGCAGGTTACTTTTGATAGCAGTAGAATAAAATTGGATATTTATTTTAAATTTATAAAGGATTTTTTCATTTTCCAGGAGAACATTCTTTCTGAAATAATAGAATAAAAATGATTATTCTAAGTCGACTGCAATTAAGGTTCAATTGGTAGGTTTTTTTGAATTAATTACGTGTTGTTTGAAGGTAAAAAACTAATAGAGACATGCTGATTAATTTTATTTGAAATTGTAAGGAATTTTTTCATTTTCCAGGAAAACAATCTATTCAAAAAAACGGAATAAAATTGATTATTCTTAGTCTACTGCAATTTAGGTTCAATTGATAGGTTTTTTTGAAGGTAATATGTGTTGTTTGAAGGTAAAAAAATAATAGTGATATGCTGATTAATTTTATTTGAATGTGTAAGGAATTTTTTCATTTTCCAGGAAAACATTCTATTCAAAAAAACGGAATAAAATTGATTGTTCTTATTCTCTTGGAATTAAGGTTCAATTGGTAGGTTTTTTTGAAGGAATTACGTGTTGTTTGAAGGTAAAACAATAATAGAGACATGCTAATTAATTTTATTTGAAATTGTAAGGAATTTTTTCATTTTCCAGGAAAACATTCTATTCAAAAAAAAGGAATAAAATTGATTATTCTTAGTCTACTGCATTTTAGGTTCAATTGGTAGGTTTTTTTGAAGGTATTACGTGTTGTTTTAAGGTAAAAAAATAATAGAGACATGCTGATTAATTTTATTTGAATTTGTAAAGAATTTTTTCATTTTCCAGGAAAACATTCTATTCAAAAAAATGGAATAAAATTGATTGTTCTTAGTCTACTGCAATTTAGGTTGAATTAGTAGTTTTTTTTGTAGGTAATATGTGTTGTTTGAAGGTAAAAAAATAATAGTGATATGCTGATTAATTTTATTTGAATGTGTAAGGAATTTTTTCATTTTCCAGGAAAACATTCTATTCAAAAAAACGGAATAAAATTGATTGTTCTTATTCTCTTGGAATTAAGGTTCAATTGGTAGGTTTTTTTGAAGGAATTACGTGTTGTTTGAAGGTAAAACAATAATAGAGACATGCTGATTAATTTTATTTGAATTTGTTAGGAATTTTTTCATTTCCCAGGAAAACATTCTATTCAAAAAAACGAAATAAAATTGATTATTCTTCGTCTACTGCAATTTAGGTTCAATTAGTAGATTTTTGTGAAGGTATTACGTGTTGTTTTAAGGTAAAAAAATAATAGAGACATACTGATTAATTTTATTTGAAATTGTAAGGAATTTTTTCATTTTCCAGGAAAACATTCTATTCAAAAAAACGGAATAAAATTGATTATTCTTAGTCTACTGCATTTTAGGTTCAATTGGTAGGTTTTTTTGAAGGTATTACGTGTTGTTTTAAGGTAAAAAAATAATAGAGACATGCTGATTAATTTTATTTGAATTTGTAAAGAATTTTTTCATTTTCCAGGAAAACATTCTATTCAAAAAAATGGAATAAAATTGATTGTTCTTAGTCTACTGCAATTTAGGTTGAATTAGTAGTTTTTTTTGTAGGTAATATGTGTTGTTTAAATTTAAATAAATAGTAGATTTAAGTCTGTCCTTCTGTCCTAACTTGAAGTTGGTCTATACTGATTTTACGTGTTTTTTGAATTGTAATGTTATGACGTGTCAAATTTTGTAAATTACTTTTCTCATTTTTGACAAAGTAATATTTATTTTCTATAGTTTTAATAAAAAATGAATAATATTTAAAAAAAAGGAAGAACATTTTATCATTAATTTTTTAAATCTAAAGAAAATATTTCTCAAATGCAATACGTATCGTATTATATATTATGTATATATAATTCGCAAGATGTGTTAAACAACTTTGAACGGAGAATACAGTATTGATTTGTAATTTAAATAACACTAGGAGTAAACTATGGTCAAGAGGTCGGGGTGCATGGAATGGAGAAATAGACACATGGGGAATATGGAAAATAAAGGGAAGCTACCATGTTAAATATTAATGTAGAATGTACTATTGACCACTGCCCATTTACAAGAGATCACAATTGGCAGTTTTCATAATGTTTTAAAAATATTATAGAACATTTTATTGTACTCATTTTCGTAACAGAAAATTTATATTATACTTATTTTTATTTTATGTATAACATTGTTCGACAAAATTAAAATTTTTTTGCACACAAGAAAAAATCAAGCATTTTCGGAATGTAGGGCCAAAAAAATACCTGTATTTGTCTGTTTTTCTAGATCAAGTCATTTACGGTTTTTAGGGGTAAAAACAACCCTTAAATGGAAAATGATGAAACTTGTTTTAAAATTTTTTACTTTTTTATAACACTTGATATCTAGGTGTTTTCGGGGTCGATAATTACGAATTTGATGCCACATTTTCAAATGTCGAAATAGCGAATCCAATATAGATACCAAGTGTCTTATATTAAATTTAAATAAGATAAATTTTCAATTGAAACTACAAGTATAGATAGTATAGATAAAGTTGTTTTAATTAAATTTTTAGTAGATAAAATTATTTTATCAAAATTATTTTAAATAAATAAATTTATTTGAATTAAATATAAAAAATCACTATTAAGAATATTTTGCAAGGAAAGTATACACAGAAAATTGTAAGGTATTAAAATAAGTTGCAACGCTTATTATTTTAATCCAATTTTTCTTATTTTATTACCAAAATGGATTAAAATAAGCAAAATTAGATTAAAATAATAAGCGTTGCAGCTTATTTTAATGCCTTTTAATTTTCTGTGTATATACACGGAGAAAAAGAAAAAGTAATTTTTACTACTTTCAGAGTAAAACTGGACCAACTCGAAGTTTCTGCGCATCTCTGGCAATTTTTACTCCAAAAATAGTAAAATTTATTATTTCTGTAGTAAATTTTACTGTTTCCGTAGTAAGTTTTACTATTTCTAGAGTAAATTTTACTATTTTTGGAGTAAAAATTGCCAGAGATGCGCAGAAACTTCGAGTTGGTCCAGTTTTACTCTGAAAGTAGTAAAAGTTACTTTATAAAAGAAATCTTTTTTCTCCGTGTATGTAAGGGATTTGTTTATAATCTAATTAGAAATAAAACATGAATCTCTGTGCAACATTTACCTACTTTTTTTTTTGGTTCTTATTAAAGTTTTGAATGCAGTTTCTTGCGAAAAGGTGAAAAAAGTCTACATATGGCGATTATTGAGTGGGATGTATTATGGGGTGGAGATGTATATATATATATATATATATATATATATATATATATATATAGCGTCCTCGTGACGACTTGATGAGATAACTTTACCTATAAGTTGTCAAACAGAAGGCGTCACGAAATCGTGACTACGCGTACTATTTATAAGGGTGGAACAGATTCACATGAATCCTAAATGTAGGCACGCGACCTGCACACTTCGATGTCATTTTCCCAAGGTGTATATGAACAAACTTTTGTCCTGTAATGTATATATTATTGCGTTTAAATAGCAACAAAAGTCACTAACTTTACCACGCACTTGCAATTATACATGTTTGCTTTAATAAACACCACACACTTTATAAATTTATTTTCTTTTTCATTTCAAACCAAAATATATGGGTCAGAATTTCTCAAAAGGATCAACTAAAATTTTCAAAAAGTAATTGTTAAATCGTTTTTCTTTACTACTACTGTAATCAAAATAAATTTCTAAAAATATTAGACCAAAAAAAAAAAATTATTAAAGTTATATAAACAATTGAAATTTATAAGCTGTCTTAAATTAAAAAAAAAAAAATTATCTCCAAATCCAATTGACAAATTTAAAAAGAAGAAGGTTTTTCTCGTCTTGGAATGAAAGTATGAAAAATAATTTTTGATTTCACAAAATTGTTATTTTTAAAATAGATAAGAAAATCCTATTTTTTGTTCTAAAATTTGTCCACTGGATATACAGAAATTTTTTTTGCTAAAAATTTCATTTGTTTGTAATATTAACGAATAATCTTTTTTTTTTTTGTTCTATAATGTTTACGAAAACTTATTTTGGTCACAGTAGAATTCAAAAAAATTATTTAACATGGAAAATTATATTTGTTAATTTTACGTAATCCTTTTTAGAAATTTTGATCTAATGTATATATTTTTTTTGCCTCTTTTTATTTGCATTTCAAATAAAATATAAAACATATCCTATCTATATTTGAATCATGTAAAAATATTTTTAATTTAAAAATATTTTATTAATTATGCATCATCACTAAATTTATTTTGATTTAATTTAAGACATTTTTTGTAATTAAAAAAATCATTTTTCTATATTTATAGAGGCTAAGATTTTTTAGTCGCTTTCATAATTTTTTTTTGAAATACTTAAACACATAATATAATAAAATGTAGTTTATTGAAATAATTTGGAAACAATTTACAGTGTGTGTGTGTGTGTGTGTGTGTTGTATTTGAAAATGATGAATTTCAATATAATATATGACTACAGCTAATGATTATAGGTCGCAGAAAATTCAAGAATGGTATGAGGTCGAGGGGCATTTATAGGGTTCATGAGTTCACGTGACGTGATGTCACGTTACCTTACTGCGACAGGTGTTGGTTCACATAAATGTAAATGTGTATGTTCGAACCCTTGATCCTACAACTTACAATTGTCAGTTAATCAGTCGCATTATTTCAAATACCTTTTGATATGCTGAAGATAAAAAAGCAGATCACTGTATAAATATGAATGTTCATATATGGAGGGTGACATAAAATTTTATATTCTTCCCCTAACGAGATCGCATATATTTCTTTAATGAATTTCAAATTTATCATCTATAGCTTTATAAGAATATTTTTAATAATTAATAGCATAATTATTAATGTGCATGACTTAAAAATTGTTTTTAGTGTTTCGTCTAATTTATATAATAAAATAATATAAATTAGACGAAACATTAAAAAAAAATTCTCCGGTTCAAAGCAAGGTTATTTGGCAACCTTGCACCAACCTTGCTACAATATTACCGTGTAATCTTACTAAGCAATCTTGCGATAATCTTATTGTGCAAGCTTTGCAGTAACTTTACATTGCAATCTTTTGGTTACCGTGCAAGCTCTCGGTCAGGTTGGACATTTGAAGCTTACGTGATATATCTGGATTGTTATTCTCTAGTGGAAAAAGCAGAACAATTTTTCCAAAAAAATCTTTATATTTTATTCGAAAAGTTGAAACAAAATGATAAGAGAATTTTATGAAAAAATTAATAACAAATGTAATATCGATTCAAAATAATTTTGTTTAATTTAAAAACGATGAATTAAAAAGTAACTAAACTTTTCTTCCTTTATATTGTAAGTTACTACATTTTTATGAAAAAAAGCTGCGACCACAAAATATTTTCCATGTTAACCAAATTATAAAGGTAATAAAAAGAGCTTGGAGAGTTCGATGTATCGCCATTAATCTGTAATCGACAATTTATGATAAAATGAAAATCGCTAAAAATAACATTTAATTGTATAAAAGTTGTCTCACTTGTAATATCGAATAAGATTTTTTCTTTTCCTTTCAGGACTAATATCATCTTTAATTATATATTTTAAAACACCATTCCACACTTCTACAAGTACGTCCGACCAATTTAAATTTTTCATGTCAAATGGAAATAATATTTTATCATCTTGTGAAAGTTTTTCCCATAATTCTTCAATGTTTCTATTCTCAAATAACCATTTTGTTTCCATAAAAAATTCCAAGCTTTTAGAAAGTTTAATTCCTTTTTTGTAAATTTCATGGAGCCTAATAAATAAAAATCAATTAAACAACTTGTTGTTATTTATTCATTTAGAAACAATTTTTCATAATGTGAATTTTTTTATTAAAAAAAAAAAAAAATCTATAATATATTTTGGATTTTAACAATAAAATATTTCAAGAGTTCAGAAAATAACGTTTTTTTAAAAAATCTTGTCATTCACGTCAAGTTTGCGTTAAAATTTATGAATAGTATTTAAATATACTTACATAGGTTTTTTTCCTAAAATCTTTAAAATAATATCACCAATTAAAGCTGGCAATAAGTGAACAAAGAAATTTAAAATATTAAATGTTCTTCTTGATTTGACTTTAGTTGCATCAGGAAAATAAACGGCTGTGCTTGGAAGATGTTTAGGACCACGAGTGCGAGCAATTATTTCACATGTTTCTTTAGTAAGGGGATTTTCTTCTCCATTTACATAATTATACACTGATAGTGTAGTAGTAGTATTTCTTTAAAAAATTCTTTAAAATTAAATTTTCAGTTTTTACTTAAAATAGGTACTCAAGTAAATACATAATAAATGAAAATAATTAACCTGTTTCTTTTATTGGCAGCATCCCAAGTAGAAGCTATAAGGGCATTGCCGACAAAATCTGCTGGTACAAAGTAAACATGATCTTTTAAATCAGGAACCAATATGACGCGAACAATTCCCATTGCTAACCACATAAGACCTTTATTAAGTCCTTGAGCAACATCAACCCAGCCTGGGAATGGTTCTTTATAAGTTGCCAATGCTATAAAAAAAAATTGAAAAATTTCTTTTATAAACAATACCCAAGAAGCACGAAATAATATCTCAATATTGAGGTATTAAAAAAACCCATATGAAATTCCCAGAATTAATAAAATTACTTAATATAAAATATATTATAGAAGTTATATTTTACTATATAAATTACCTATTGGAAATCTATAGATACAAAACGGAAGGTCATTTGCTGTTTCATTTATTATTCCTTCAGCCATTGATTTTGTGAAAACGTAAGTGTTTGGATAGTCTCCTAATAATCTGAAATGAATTCCAATTACATTTGAAACACATTTTATAAATACTTATAGTAATTCCAAATATTGTACATATATATGTATAATATTAATATTATCAACCTTAAATATTCTTGTTATTTATCAAGTTCTCGAAAATATCAAATTCTTGAGTGAATTTGAGTATTTGGAAGTTATTAAGAATTTGTAACTTTGTTCTTAAAGCTTTATGTTTCGTTTCTTCAATCAATTCAAAAAACAGAAACAATTATATAACAATTGAGCCACCGCGTACAATAACCGCAGATGCGCTCGGGCAGTCTGGCCCAGCCGCAATATCTACTACGAATTGAGTGGTGGGAACGAGATTTGGCCAATAAGAACACTAGAATTGGCCTACACCGCGCAACTCGAAGTAGATATTGCGCTTGGGCCAGACAGCCCGAGCGCATTTGCGGTTACTGTACGCGGTGGCTCAATTATATAACAATTAAGTTAATAAAAGACTAGATTAAAGTTAGTTTACATTTTAGTAAATTCTTCTTCATCATTTTTAGACAAATTTCGTCGCTTTATTATTTCAATTGCATTCTTAACTTCCTGATAGGTCATAGGCATTGGATATACTTTCTCTTCTATTCGTTCAAGAGTACTTTGAATAAATGCTGTAGATATATGTACAGCTACCTACAAAAAAAATTTTATTTAAAATTTTAATAATTTATAATAGGGGCCGTTCATAAATTACGTCATACTATTTTTGACTATTTTAGACCCCCCCCTCCCCTATGTCACACTTTTTGCATACATTAGCGCCATTTTTTCTCACAGAAAAATAAAAGGTATTAAAATAAGCTGCAACGCTTATTATTTTAATCCATTTTGATTTTATAAATATTACACTTATGAATTATATTTATTTAATATGGTTTTTATTGACACATTTGCTGAATTTTATTTGATATTTTTAGAAATATATTTAATGAAGAATGACAAAAAAATTAATAAATAAAATAATACTATAACAATAATAATAATAATAAAAATAATAGGTATAATAAAATTAAACTTACTGTTAAATTTTTTAATTCTCGGCAAAGTTTGATTATTTCTATAACACTGTTAACATTAATAGACACAGCCACATTGAGAGGTTCATCAAATTTTGTAGTAGCAGCTGAGTGAATTACAATCGATACCTTCCAAATCACATAAAAATATATTTAAAATTATTTAAATTAAAAATATTTTAAAATACAGTATAATAAATTAGAATTTTTCGTATAAAAGTGCCTTTACTCTACCTCATTTATGAGCTTCTTACGATCTGCATTTGATAAACCTAAATCAGGTTTTGTCACATCTCCACTTAAAGGAATCACTTTTTTTATTGCATTAGGATCCTTTTCTTTCAAAACGTCAAACAACTGTTTAAAAATAAAAAATAATTTTTTTTCTAAAAGATACATCTTCCGCACAAACAAAAAAACAATAAAAAGAATAAAAGTTTGGAGTTGCTACCTTTGGCCTCACAGTTTTCCTAAAAGTATCAAATTGAGACCAAAAATTGCATCAAATCTTTGCAACGTTTTGATCCACATAAGTTATATCAAAAAGAGATCATTTTTAGAAATGATACACGAAACGGTCTCATTTTTTGATGCAAAAAATTTAATCAATTTATATCAATCATGGCCGAATTGAATCGACTCAAAATTAAACGAATTTTTTCAGATATTTTGGTAATAGTACAATTGCGGAGACCATTTCACTATTTAATTTGAAAATGAAAATAACAGAAAATCAAAGACAATGTGCAATTCGATAATTAAAAAGTGACAGCTTATAAAAAAAGCATTACCTAAAATGCATGAGAAAAAATTTGTCGATAAAATCAATATAGCCTAGCTTTTTAGAAGGTAGATGGCAGTTTTGCTTTTTATAAAAACGATTCAGAAAAAATTTAAAGAAAGAAAATAGATGAGTGCTGCCATCTACCTTCTAAAAAGCTCGGCTATATTGTATCATTTCTAAAAATGATACACAAAACGATCTCTTTTTGATATAACTTATGTGCATAAAAACGTTGCAATAGAAAAAGATACAACCAAGTTTACTGTGAGCTTAAAATTGAGTAATTTAAAATTTATAAAATTACTCAATATCAAGACCAAAAGCCCTAACATCAAAGTTTAATTAAAAAAGTTCTACATAAAATTAAATTAAATAAAAAGAATATTTATTGTGGCTGCAGATATGTTATAAATTTTTAATTTATTAATTAACAACATAATACTTACTTCTGCTTTAAAATATTCGTCAAACCTTTCATGAATATCTTTTCCTTTTCTCGGTCTCATCAGGAGATATATTTTTCCAATTTTTGGTAAAGATCGTAAAAGCTTTTCCAACAAAATTTTACCAATGAATCCTGTTCCTCCTATGTAGTTAATTTTGAAAATTTGTTATTATACTTATAAAAATCATTTTTCTTTTGTTTTAAAAAAAAAATTCAATCAAAGAATAAATAATTGTAATATTGTTATAGAAAACATTTTTTTTTTAATCTCGATAATGAAATAACAATAATACCTGTGATAAATAAATTGTGTCCATCAAAAAATTTTTGAATTTCCGTCATTTTTGTAAAATTTGTTTCTAGGCAAAAAATTTAAGTATGTGATCTACTTGCGAAAGAATCAAAGTTCGACTGATCGACGATGATGATTTGTTAAATTCTAACAAAAATCATTGTTATTGAATGGGCGTGTGAATTTTTCATTTAAAATGATTCATATTCAAAAGTTTTATAAATAAATTTTCAATAATTTATGAGCTTAGTATAATTAATTTCGAAGCTTTAATTAAATTACAGTTTCCTCAATAATATTTATTAGTTTTAATTTGAATATGTACATTCGTTTAAATATATTCATTACTAATTATTAATTTCTATTTAGTGTACTTTAAAAATGTAATTTTGATTCAGTTTCAAAAAAAGATTGAATAACTGTATAGTGATGTATGACAATTTGTTATGGTAATTTTTTTCATCGATGAATCGGCAAAAAATATACTTTTTTTTTTATGAAAAAAAAAAATATGAGAAAACATAGCTATCAAAAAAGGGACATAAGCCAAAAAAAATTGTTTAGTTTTGTTTACACTTTGTTTAAACAATTAATTAATTATTAATTAATAATTAATTCTATATTATGTAAAAAAGTTGCAACCACAAAATATTTTCCATATAAGCCAAATTATGAAAGTAACAAAAAGAGCTTGAAGAGTTCGATGTATCGCCATTAATCTGAAATAGAAAATTTATTACAACAATGAAATTTGTTATAGGAATATATTATTTAAAAATTGTCTCACGTATAATATCGACGAAGACTTCTCTTCTCAGTTTCTGGAGTAATATTCTCTTTAAGTATATATTTCAAAACACCCTTCCACATTTCAATGAGTACTTCTGACCAATCTAAATTCGTCATGTCAAATTGAAATAAAGTTTTATCAACTTCTGACAGTTTTTCCCATAATTCTTCAATATTTTTATTATCAAACGACCATTTTGTTTCCAAAAAAAATTCTCCATTTTTTAAGAGTTTCATTCCTTTTTTGTAAAATTTGTGAAATCTATACATATTGTAAGAATCATAAATTGTATAATGTTATTTATACCTATATGTGGATACACAATGCTTTGAAAAGTTCAGAGAACAATTTTGCGTAAATTATTTTTTTTGTCAAATTTAAAGTTTATGAAAATGTTGTATTGTATTTTAAATTATAATATACTATTTGTTATACGAACTCGTTATATTTATTATGTAGGTAAAATATATAGTTAACAGCGAATAGTACTCTCTAAATTTGAATCAATGGAATTTCACTGGTAAACCACCCAAGTAGAAATATCCGTAGCTCGCCGTAATTAAACACCGGCATGGTACTGATCCAATACTGGCTGTCGGTATTGACTTTCAGTACTGGCAGTGTACTGACTAATACACCGAATCAGTACTATGTCGGAGGTAAAAAAATATTAAAACCAGTACTGGCAGTACACTGTCATTCACACCGAATCAGTACTATGTCGGTGATAAAAAACATTAAATGAAAAAGTCTTTAAATTATTCCAATAGGTAGAAAACGATGATTTTTTATTTAAAAAAATGTATATTAATTTCTTTCGAATACTTTCCCTCAAAATTTTGGATGTAATTGTAATGTATTATTATATACCTATATAAAATATATTTATGTTTTTTTAGTTATTTTAGTACTCATTGAAATATGTGCATTAAGTTATTTATCATGCATACAATAACAATAAGTTGAGAATTTTTTTCTAATAGTTTTAAAAATAAAGCAAATGTAATTTTTTCACTGTAATTTTTAAATATTATTAATAATTAAATATTAAATTTAAAAAATTTTTCACCATTCATATTTTACAGTCGTCTTTTATTAACTTATTTTTAATTATGTAATTCATCAATCATTTTTGTCTGTTTTAATATTATTTACGGTAAAAATAATTTATTAAAAATATTTAACTGAAATTGATATCCAGTTTTATTTCATTAAATCTTTGTAAAAATTGAAAAAATTTTGTGAGTTTAAAAAATTTAAGAATAAATTCATTTTATTTTCGTGATCAATAGATAATACAAACTTTGAAATCAAAACTTTTGTATTAGGTGAACTACTTCAAGTCAGCACTTCAAGCCAGCGCGGCTGTGCGGTATGCGTATCTGACTTGCGTTCTAAGGGTTTAGGGTTCGATCCCCCATGCGTGCGAGATTTTTCGTTCTTAGTTTTAAGTGTTATAAGTACAATATTTGTTCATGTGTAATATCAATTATTAAATAATTATTAAATTAAGTATAAGTGCAAAGTAAAAAAAAATTAAATATTATGAATTTAAAAAAATAAAAAAATTTACAACACAAATTATTTTTTGTAAAATAATTTAATTAATATAAATGATAATTATTATTTTAATTATTTATTGTCAATAATATTTTATATATTCTAAATAACATTAACTATTATTGGCTTCACATTACCTGTTCGTGGTAAAAATGGGAGTAATAAGCTAATAAGGATGAAATTTGCATTGGAAAGCGTGTTTTAGCATTTTGTAAAAAAGTGAGATTTTAAGTCCGGATGAGTACTTTGCCAGTATTATGCCAGTATTATTCTAGTACTACGTTAGTACTGGTGAGCGGGACAAAATCAGTACTGGACAGCGTTACCAGCCAGGGTTGGTCCACTACTGGCCCAGTACGGCAGTCAGTACCGTTATACTGACTGGCAGTGTTGGGTCAGTACTATGCCAGTGGCACATTTCTACTTGGGCAGTTATAAGTATACCAGTGGTTTCATTCAGTGAAAATAACTGATTTTCAGTGAAATTTTCACTGAATAAAACCAGTGGTATACTTATAACTGGTTCACCAGTGAAATTCCACTGATTCAAATTTAGAGAGTATATTTAGATATACTTACATAGGCTTTTTTCCTAATATCTTTAAAATAATATCACCAATTAAAGCTGGTAATAAGTGAACGAAGAAATTTAAAATATTAAATGTTCTTTTTGACTTAACTTTAATTGCATCAGGAAAATAAACGGTCTTACTTGGAAGATATTGAATACCATAAGAACGAACAAGTTTTTCAAATATTTCTTTAGTCAGGGGATTTTTATTTCCATTTACATAATTATATACAGGTAAAGTGATATCCGATCTTCTGTAAAAAAAAGCATTAACATTACTTTAAATAATTCGGGCGTTATTAAGATCTTAATTTATTTTCTCCCTATCCTCTCTCTTAATTTGAATCAGTGAAATTTCACTGGTGAAATAGCTAGAAGTCGGTTACTGAATCATTTTGTGAAATTTTCACTGAAAATCAGTCATATATCACTGATTTACAGTGAAAATTTCACTAAATGAATCAGTCAATCTGTATTATCGGTAATGGGTAAAACAGATTGACTGATTCATTTAGTAAAATTTTCACTGGCAATCAGTGATATATGACTGATTTTCAGTGAAAATTTCACTAAATGATTCAGTAACCGACTTCTAGCTATTTCACCAGTGAAATTTCACTGATTCAAATTAAGAGAGCTCACATACACGGATTTGTCAATTTCGAGCTAGTTTCATTTATTAATTGTCAGCTGTTTTACTACTCTGAATTTAAGATTATTGATATAAGTAACAAAGTAAATTACTTATTTGTTTTGTTACCAGCGTCCCAAGCGGAGGCAATAAGAGCATTGCATACAAAATCAGCTGGTACAAAGTAAAGATGATCTTTTAAATCAGGAACCAATATGACGCGTATGAGACCCATTGCTGTCCAAATTAGGCCTTGATTGATTCCTTGAGCAACATCAACCCAACTTGCGAATGGTTCTTTATAGGTCGCCAATGCTATTACACATTAATAAAATATATTATATTTCTATAAAAAAAAAAGTTGGAAAATCTTTCTTATATTGATTAAAGTATAGATTGTAAAATAAAAAATATATTATAAAATTAAATTTTTTGATTTCAATCTTTCATCACATTTTTAATCATATACATTGAAAAAACAGTAATTGATGTTACTAGATGCATCTGGTTAAAAAATTTCTAGTCATATAAAATATAATTAATAAAATTAAAGAATTCCAGTTATAAATAATTTTGGTTTATTTCTAGTAAGATCTTATAATATGTAACAAAACAATTTTTTACTAGAAAAATTTTTTTGTTAAATTAACCGAAGAAATATGACCAGAATTTTTTAACCAGAAACAGAATTCTAGTATTCCCAATCAAAAATTTACTACTGGCGCAGTACTAACTAATTAATATTTTATTATATAAAATGGAAAACGCCAAGAATTTTTATTTTTTATTATAATATATATTGCAAATTATTATTTTAAAAAATCAAAAAATAAATATAAAAATATGTTTATTATAAAACCAAAGTTTTGAGAAAAAAAAGTATACGTAATTTTTTTTGTACTGCGCCATTAGTCAACTCTGGTATAATACTGAAATTTTTGGTTGGTTTGTAAAATCAGTCAGAAATTATATGATATATTACATAAATTACCTATAGGAAATCTGTAAATACAAAATGGAAGGTCAGTTGCTTTATCTTTTATTATTCCTTCAGCGATTGCTTTTGTAAAAAGATAAGTATTTGAAAATTCTCCTAATAATCTGTAATATGAGAATTTTAATTATATTATGTTTAAATTTTTAATTTAACGTATTTTATTAATAGATATAAGTAAAATCGTTGCAAAAATTTAATAATTCAATTTTTTTACAAAATAAATTTATTTATCTGAAATAAATTCTTAAATGACAAAAATATATTTTTTTTTTGTTAAAAAAAAAGATTTAACAATTTCTGCAATTACTTAAATATAATATTTATATATAATATAGGCAGTGGAACCTCGATACCCAACCAAAAATTTCAGTATTATACCTTGATTTTATTTTTCAACATTAAAATGTATTTTATTTTGCTTTTCTGTGGGTAAAATTATTTAAACGAAAAGTTTCCTGAAACCAAACCTTAAACATTTTGCAAGATTTTCTTATTGTTTTCAGATATGCAGTAAACCAAAAAAAAAAAATTTTAAACGATCATACTAAAAATATATAAATTTGTTTATAAAAAATTTATATCTTTTTAAATAAAAATTTAAAAAAATTTTCTTGACAACACTTGTTAAAAATCAAAAAACAACTTTTACTTTCTTAAAAAAGTTTTTCAAAAATTCATTTTGATGCAAATATTATATATAAAAATAAATATTATACTTTTAAAAAAAAAATTTTAATTTAAAAATTTTTACCGGAAAATATATAAACCTACCAAAAAAATTACGTATACTTTTTTTTCTCAAAACTTTGGTTTTATAATAAACATATTTTTATATTTATTTTTGGATTTTTTGAAATAATAATTTGCAATATATATTATAATAAAGAATAAAAATTCTTGGCGTTTTCAATTTTATATAATAGAATATTAATTAGTTAGTTGACTAATTTAATTAATATTTAATTTGTGTTGGGTTACTAAAAGTTTCATACACTTTTTCCTAAGTATACCTGGAGTGAAACTTATTTCTGTTACAGTTAAAGCTTTTTTTTCGTATACAATAAATTACGAAACTGCCAGTACTCGGCCAGTACTGAACCAGCAGTGGTTACCAGTACTGGTGCCAACTCTGGTAGCGAATACTGGTAAAATGTTATCATCCTAAAGTTACGCCAACTCTGGCGCCAATACTGGGTGCCAGTACTGCCCCATTACTTGTCAGTACTGCCCCAGTACTGACCAGGAGTAAATTTTTGATTGGGTATATATGACGAATTTCTTTAACATTCTAATTACCAGAGTTCTTCAACTTACTGCAAAGTTTACTTAAAGGGGATATTTCTATATATAACGGTTTTAAAAATTTGGTATTTTTTTAAAAAGATATTTTAGAAGTAAAAATATATATTAACGTGATGTTTGTAATAGAGATATTTTAATAGGATTAACTCTTATTCAAAAATTGTTTAACTAAAAAAAACTCCCTTAACGAGGTTCCAACGCATTGTTTTGAATTAGTATATACATTTTAGTAAATTGTTTCTCATCTTTTTTGGACAAATTTAGTCTCTTTATTATTTCAATTGCATTCTTAACTTCCTCATAAGTCATAGGCATTGGATATATTTTCTCTTCTATTCGTTCAATATTACTGTACATAAACGCCGTAGATACGTGTACAGCAACCTATAAAATAATCCATTTTTCTATTTTAGCAAAATATTGTTTTTCGTATCGTTTTTTTTTTTTGTTTTTATAAAAATTCACATACTTTCAATTTCTTTAATTCTCGACAAAGTTTGATTATTTCCAGAACACTGTAAATATTATTAGACACTGCTATATTGAGTGGTTCATTCATTCTTGTAGTGGCAGCTGAGTGAATTACAATCGACACCTTCAAATTACAAAAGAATTTTTTTTTTTAAATTATTAAATATTATAAAAAATGGAAATATTCAACTAATTAAAATTACACACAAAATTAAAAGGCATTAAAATAAGAAGCGTTGCAGCTTATTTTAAGGCCTTTTAATTTTCTGTGTACTCTTTAAAGTCATTGTAGTCAAATCAGTCAATAAACAGCTATATATTTGAAATCAGTGAAATTAGTTATTTAATTATTTTAATTAATTAAGGAAAAATAACTAATTCAAATAGCTAAAATTTAACAATTAATTTCACATCGGTGAACTTTTTTACTGATTCAAATTTAGAGAGTAAAAAATGAATGAACCAATATACCTCATTTATCAGCTTTTTTCGATCAGCATCTGATAAACCTAGACAAGATTGTGTCACATCTCCACTTAAAGGAATTACTTTTTCTATTACAGAAGGATCCTTTTCCCTCAATGGATCAAACAACTGACAAAAAATAAAAAGTATACATCTTATTTTTTAAGTTTTTGCTAAAAAAATTCTTTTTGCGCTATCATCAGAAAACAATGAGAAAAATTCATTATAAGACACAACCCAGATATTACGTAAGTTTGAGACATGATTTTGCAATATTGCAGTGCAAGCTTGTCACAAGCTTCAAATGTGAATAATTCTGTTTACAATATTTATTTATAATATGTACACTTACTTCAGCTTTAAAATATTCGTGAAATCTCTCTTGAATATCTTTTCCTTTTTTTGGTCTCATCAACAGATATATTTTTCCAATTTTCGGTAAACTTCGTAAAAGTTTTTCCACCAAAATTTTGCCTATAAATCCTGTTCCCCCTGACGAGTAAAATTAAAAAATTTTTATCACTTCTAAAAATCACTTTTTTTTAATATATTTTCGAATATTTTTTTTGTCAAAAATAAAATTGTACCAAAGAATAAATAATTTTAATATTGTTATAGAGAAATTTTTTGTTTTTTTTAATAATGAAATAATACCAGTGATAAAAAAATTGTGTCCTTCAAAAAAATTTTGAATTTCCGACATGTTGATGAAACTTGTTAGTAGACAAAAAAATGTAATTGTGTGTCCTTCTTACAAAGTATCAAATTTCACTGATCGACAATGATTGTATAATGAATTTAAATACAAAGCAATGTTACTTATTTGACTTGTGAATTTATCTTTTAAAATACATTATATTAAAAAGTGTTTATAAATAAATTCTCAACTTTGGTTGACATTGGTTTTTAACCTTCAATTAAAATACAATTTAAGCAATAAATTATTATTAATTTTTTATTTAAATTCGCACATAAATATTTTGTTTTTATAGACAAATATTTTTTAATAACAATTAATATATATATATACCTGTTATAAATAAATTTATCAAAGAATTTTTGAATTTCTAACATTGTTGTAAAACTTGGTTTTTAAAAATAATTTTAGCGTGTGATCTCTTTACAATGTATCAAATTTCACTGATCGACAATGATTGTTCAATTCTAACGCATTGTTATAAATTAATGTGTGAATTTTTAAACGAAAATGTTTCATATTCAAAAGTATTATATAAACGAATTCATACTATAATTTTATATAAATTGTCTATCATTAATTTCAAACCTAAAATTAAATTAGATTTTTCAATAGTTTTTGAGTTTTCTTTTAATTTCTTATATACTTCAATATCTTTATTTACAATTATTAATTTTTATTTTATCTATACTTAAAGTTTTTATAAAAAAAATTATTAATTTATAACAAATTCAATTTTAATAGATAATTTTGAATCGAAGTCTTAAGTTGAACTTTGGTTCCATAGATTGTATATAATTTAAAGTTTTCATTTGTTGTCTGTACAGAAAAGTCAGTTTCTACTTACGGAAGGTAGCTGTATAAATATTGTCACCGTGTCCTCATTAAATGCTTTTGTTAATTTTATGAATAACATTTATTTTACATAAGTAGGTGAACGCAGTCTAATGTCTGAATTTAAATTAATAAAAATTTTAACAAATTTTAATTAGTGACTGGGACTTTTTGCTAACATTAAAATTTTTTTGGTTAAAAAAATTTTAATTACGAATTCATTGTTAAAATAAATTATCCAATATTATCCAAAATTACATAATAATATATAGGCAGTCACTAATTCAAAATAGTTAAAAATTTGTGCTAATTTAAATTTAGAGGTATATTTTTTAAAAAAATTCCATACTTTATTATTTACTAATATAAAACTAAATATTAAGTTATAATTAGTATGAGAGAATCAAAATTTGTATAAAATTTATTTATAAACAATAATTAAATTTTTTATTTTAAGATAATAAACTTCGATCACAAAATATTTTCCATAATAGCCAAATTATAAATGTGGCCAAAACAGCTTGTAGTGTTCGGTGTATCACTAGTAAGCTGTAAAAAAAAGTAATTCTAATAATGACAAATATTATATAATATATATGAAAAAAAATAAAATTAATAAATGATCTTACATATAATATCGACGAACCGCTTTTCGTCGATTTTCAGGACTTAAATCATCTTTTAATATGTATTTTAAGACTCCTTTCCAATATGCCAGGACAACATCGCTCCAATCAATTTTCTTCATATCAAATGGAAATAATTCTTTATCATCATTTGAAAGTTTCTCCCATAATGATTCAATTCTATTATTGTCAAATGTCCAAATTGTCATTGAGAAAAATTCTGTCGTTTTGAAAAATTTCACTCCTTTTTGATAGATTTTATAAAATCTATAATATAAAAAATATAAAATTTGTCCAAATAAATGATTTTATTTTTATTATTATTATTATTATTATAAATGGCATTTTTTATTTTGTAACTTACATCGGTTTTTTGCCCATTATTCTATAAACTATATCACCAGCTAAAGCAGGTAATAGATGAAGAAAAAAATTAAGAATAGCGAATACTTTTGGTGATTGAGCTATAAATATTTCAGGATAATAAAGCATCTTTGTTGGAAGTAAATGAGGATGTGTGGTGTAAGCAATTCTTTCAAATTCCAATTTAGTAAGCGGATTTTCATTTCCATTTACATAATTATAAACGGGCACTTCAGTTTTTGAAGTTCTGTAAAAAAAAAAAAAAAAATTATGCCTATATATTTTATAGAAAAAGTAAAAATATATTGGATTAAAAAAAAAAAAATTTCTACTTATGTTTCTTTTACTATTGTAATCGTTCTTGTTTGATTAAATATATTTTATTCAAAAAAATATTTTAAAAAAGTTCTTCAACTTCTAATAATTGCCCAGGTAGAAAAATTAACATTACTAACGTTACTAATGTTACTAACGTTAGTACATATAAAAAAATTAAGAAAATGTTTCTAAATTGTATTTTTGCAGAATCTTGTCGAAAATCGTCCACCAGGAAGTATTTAATGTTCTTACCAGCCCTTTTTATAATTTTCATTTCTATTATCACTTCCACTTTTTTATTTTCATTACCGTTTCCACTTTCACTTTTTCAAATTCTCATTCGCACTTCCATTCCTACTTCCACTCTTTCTAATTTTCATTTCCACTTTCACTTCCACTTTCACTTTTTTATTTTCATTACCACTTTCACTTTTTCTAATTTTTGTTCCCACTTCCCTTTTTCTAATTTTCATTCCCACTTCTACTCCCATTTTTTCCACTTCTAATTTTTATTAGCTGTTACCATTTCGACTAAAACTCTTTCTAATTTCCATTTACACAACCATTTCCACTTTTTTTAATTACCATGGATGGAAATTAGAAAAAGTGAAAGTGATAATGAAAATTTAAAAAATTAGGAATGGAAGTGGGAGTGAAAATATAAAAAAGTTGTAATGAAAATAAAAAAGTAAAAGATGAAATGGGAATGAAAATTGGAACAAGTGGAAGTGAAAGTGTGAATGAGAATTAGAAAAAGTGGAAGTGGCAATGAATATAAAAAAGTGGAAGTGGAAATAGGAATGAAAATTAGAAAAAGTGGAAGTGAAGTGGGAATGAGAATTAGAAAGAGTAGAAGTGAGAATGGAAGTACGAATGAGAATTAGAAAAAGAATAAGTGGAAATGGGAATGAAAATTATAAAAAGTTTAAGTGGAAGTGAAAGTGGTAATGGGAAAGTAGTGGCAAAGTTTCTGTGAAAATGTATTTTAGAAACTTTTAATGTTTTTATAGGTACTAACGTTAGTAACATTAGTAATGTCAGTAACATTAGTAACGTTAGTAACGTTAATTTTTTCACCTGGGTGAGTTTGTTTAAGGAGGCTGAATTACCTTTTCATTTCTTTTTCAGTATCCCAAATTGAAGCAATTAAAGCATTACACACAAAATCTGCTGGCACCATGTAAACAACTTCATTTTTATCTGGACAAAGTAATGTATGTATAACACCTAGTCCTAATCCCATCATGAGTTGATTAAATCCTTGAATAGTATCAACCCATCCAGTAACGGGTTCCTTATAAGTTGCTGATGCTGAAATTAAATTCAAAATCGCGGTAACTCCGAAAATTAAAGATAATATAATGAGTTTAAAGCCAATACTGTCGAATTTTTAAAAAACTTCTGTCATTTTGATTTTTAAAAATCGAATGCCGGATTCGTAATATCAGCAATTTCTGCAATTAATTATATTATTTTCGATATTTCGAAAAATTAAACATTTTTCCTCCTCACCAATTGGAAATCTGAAGACACAAAATGGAAGGTCTCTTGCTTCTTCATTTAAAATTCCTTCTGCAATTGATTTTGTAAAAATATACGTATTGGGAAAATTTCCCAATATTCTGTAAAAGTAAATTTTAGAAAATGTAAATTAATTTTTTTTGTTTTTTTAAAGTCAATCAAAAAATTTTAAATATTATAAAATTGTAAATAATAAAATTACAATTTAGTAAATTGTTCCTCATCTTCTCTTGATAAATTTCGTCGATTTATTATATCGACTGTATTGTGAACCTCCTCATAAGTCATAGGCAATGGATATATTTTTTCTTCAATTGTACAAGAATTATTGCGAATAAATGCTGTCGATACGTAAACAGCCATCTTTACAAAAATATTTTTAAAAATTTAAGAAACAAGTTTTATTTCATTTTTTATTGAATAAAACAGAATTAAACTCACTTTTAGTTTTTTTAATTCTCGACAAAGTTTAATTATTTCTACAACACTGTTAACATTAATATCCACTGCTACTTTCAATGGTTCATCAAATTTTGTTGTTGCAGCCGCGTGAATAACAATAGATACCTTAAAATTTAAAAAAAAAATTTAAATTCAATATTAGAATGTAAAAAATTTAAATATTGCAAAGTGTAAATAAAAATTTCCTGCTAAAAAAGCAATAAAATATTATTAAATAAATCTTACCTCATTTATAAGCATTTTACGATCTTCTTGTGATAATCCTAAATTCGATTTTCTAACGTCACCATTTAGTGGTATAATTTTTTTCACAAAAAATGGATCTTTTTCTCGCAAAGGATTAAATATCTGTTATAAATAATATAGGTTGAATATTTTATTTAATCATCTAATTAAATGTTTAATGTGTTTTTAATTTTTTTTTTTCATTATTTTTTCTATTATATATATATAAAGGAAAATATTATTATCAAATATTTGACAAAATTACTTCTAATTTGAAAAATTCATCCAATCGTTGTTGTATTTCTTTTCCCTTTTTTGGTCTTATTAGAAGATAAATATTTTTTAATTTCGGTAAGCCGCGTAGAAGTTTCTCCAATAAAATTTTTCCCATAAAACCAGTTCCTCCTGTAATTTAACAAATAATAACAAAATTTAGAAATTTAAGAAAATAAAATAAATTCTTTTAAAATAAACATTAAAATAAAATATTGTTACCTGTAATAAATATACTTTGATCATTATAAAATTGTTGAATTTGAGACATGATTAAAAAAGTTTAATTATTAACAAAGGTATGCAATCACTGCGTGATATTTGAAAAGTAACTGAAATATTCAAAGTTTTCGGCTTACAAATAAGGAAATTAGTATTGAATTTTTCATTTTTTATTGTTACATATTCAAATATATGACGTGTAAATCCATAATCGCATTTATCTAATTTGAATTGTTCTTCATTTCAACTATATAGTATATTAGACAAAAACGAATTTGTACTAATGAAATTTTATTTGGAATAAAAAATCAACGAAAGTTGTATACAATTTTTTTTAAATTTCTATAAATATTTCTATAAATAAATAATATGTATAATAGGTAAAAATGTGTATTTGCAAAATCAGTAAGAAATATTAGAACGAAATCGATTTATGAAAAAAATTATATTTTGTTTATTCTCTTATTAGAATAAAGGGAAGAAGACATGAAAGGGTGGAATCCCTTTTTTTTTGCAGTGTAACCGTGAGATTTCGACCATATGACACAACAGTCGGTCATAGACCCTATTTAGCGCAGGTGGATATTACTAAATAGGGTTATTTAATCATCATTCAACCTTATATTGATGCTAATCTTTTATCGATACTCAAACATATTAATTTACTTTTTTATTTACAATTATTAAATGTTTAAATGGAGGAAAAAAAAATAAACAATTACCGCGGAACTGACAATATTTATTTATCAATAATATAATCATTTATCATTTTGATATATATTATATATATATATGGAAGTAATCGAAGAAAAATGTTTGTCAAATAAAATAATGAGACGCAAGTTTGATTGCATATATAGAAAATATTTTATATTAAATATAATTTTTATTATTATTACTATTTATAAGGAATATAAAAAATTATAATCTTCCAGCAACTTTATGATAATTATAGTATGTATGATGAGTCATTACAGAATGAAAATAGTTGCAGCATTTATGTGACCAAGTTCAGTATAATAATAACACGCGATCAACTATAACTTCCTTCATAATAATTATGATCGCATTAAACATTCGTAGGTCACATCAAAGTGTCGAGCGTGTTTGTTGCTAATATTCTGGGTTAATCGTATAATCGTGACCATCAAAATACGCACAGGAAAAATAAGTGGATAAATTATTATTTATGATGAGACTATATATATATATACAAAACACAGTGTATATAATGAAGAATCATTTCAATTAACTTGTGTAAATTTCTGTACATTATATCAAAAGAAATATAATATAAGAAATTTGAGAAAATTATTATAAATATGAGTGAAAAATTAATACTTACTTTTCATTTCTTCTTCTTACTGTCTCTTTTTATTACATTATAGATATATATATATATTTTGTGTTTTTCATTTTTTGAAAAAACTTTTTTTACCACCCGTGCAGAAATTGAGACTTTTCATCCCGATTACCGACCTGGCCCCGATCCTATTTCCTGTTCTGGCTCCGGGTTAGTAAATTTCTATGGGCCCGACCTGGGCCGGGCCTGGTTCCCATATTTAAAATTTAAAAAAAAATAGTAAAAATACACTTATAGCATTTTATGATATTTTTTACTCTTTAAATCTAAATTAGTAAAAATGTTTACTAATTTGAATTAGTAACTCACTTTTTGCTTATGAATTAGTAAAATTTTACTAATTATTAGTAACTTTTACTAACAATTAGTAAAATTTAACTAATTCTAAAGCAAAAAGTAAGCCTCTCTTGAATTTTACTAATTGTCAGTAAAAGTTACTAATAATTAGTAAAATTTTACTAATAATTAGTAACTTTTACTAATTCATAAGCAAAAAGTGAGTTACTAATTTACATTAGTAAACATTTTTACTAATTCAGATTTAAAGAGTAAACGAAACAATTATTCAAATAATTTTTTTCAACCTTTTATTTCATTTTCATTTTATAAGATGTTTTTTTAAATGCAGATTCATAAAATAATATTGATTAATTTTATTGTTTTATTTATCAATTAGAGATAAATAATTATAATTTATTGAAAATTACAATTACTATAAAATCGGGCAAATAACCACCCACACAGCACAGTATATTGCTGTAAGCTTACCTCAAGCTTACATGTAATTTTTGTAAGCTAACCCTGTAAGCTTCAGGTAAGGTCGAGGTAATATAAAAATGTCCGCCATACAGTAAGCTTACACAGTAAGGCCATAGTAAACTTACATGGCAAAGTCACTGTAAGGTTACAGTAAGCTTACACGGCAAGTTTTCAAAGGTATCAATAAATAATTTTTTTAAAATATTTATGCGCAGTAGCTTTCTATGGCACTTACGAATGCGCAGTAAATTTTTTTAAGCAAACCCTACCGGGTTTTTTTTATATAAATGACAAAATAAATATAATTGTGCAAAACAATTTATTGTTTACTGTAAGTTGATAAATTAATACTTTGTTATATGTTACACGGAGAGAAATAGATGGTACGGGGTACTATCTAGATAGTACCAGGTACCATATTTGATCTTACATATACGGACAGCAATCTAGATTCTATCAGTAACAATCCAGATTGTACGGAGTAACGTCTTGATTGTAGTGGGTAACATAACCATACTTTTTGTAACATCTTTGATAGTACCGAGTAGCATAATGATAGTACCGGATAACATCTACTTTTTACCATCTTAAGATCATAAATTCTTACCATCTATTTCTCTCCGTGTAGCAATTAATATAAGCTTACCGTGTAAGCTTACTGTAACCTTACAGTGATCTTACCGTGTAAGCTTACAGTGCCCCTACCATGTAAGCTTACCATGGCATTACTGTGTAAGCTTACTGTATGGCGGACATTTTTATATTACCTCGACCTTACCTAAAGCTTACAGGGTTAGCTTACAAAAATTACATGTAAGCTTGAGGTAACACCCAAAAAAAAGTAATCTTATACTTAGAGGAAAATTCCTCTTCTAATATCCTCTAAATATTTCCTCTTAAAACAAGATTATTCAATTGAAATGTAGAATATTTTTATTCTTCATTTTAATGGAAGAATGACAAAAGGATTCCTTTTGTATTTTCCTCTTTAATTAAGATTTTCCGTTTTAAATTTAGAAGATTTAAAAAAAGGAAACGGAAAAAAATAATGTAATCGTTTGATCCCTTTCCCTGGGTATGATAGTTGTGAAGTTGTTTTTTAACCTTTCAGTTTTAATATTTCTGGTAAAATGTCAACAAAAAGGACAAAAAAATGGATTTGCTTTATTAAAAATACAGAAAATATAGTTAAATTCAAATTAAATGAATATTTTTAACGCTATTTTTAGATTTAAAAAAATTTGGATATTTCTTGTGAAATTTTACTACTCAGGTAAATAGAAATACTATAACCCCATTTTTGAATCTTTCGAATTTTTTAAATCTTTTTATTTACTTTTTTAAAAAAGTTTTAAAACGTTAAATAATTTCATATATGAAATTTTTTTCTGTCCTATAAAAAATGTTAACTTTTAAACATATCATGTTTTAAAATTATTTATGCGCTGAAAATCTCGTTGATCATTACAACTGATTAATGAAAACTTATTTTTTGTATTTTAATTATCAATATAAAATGTTGATAATTAACCAAAAACATGACATTGTTAATGTTATATTAAAAAACAATTTTTATTATTGTATTGAAATGAACTATTATAATTTTACTTAATTTTAATTTAAAAATGTATTTTCTGGAAAGATTTTATTATTTGATTGAAATTATAAATATTTTATTGATGGCTTTGACATTAAAAACAATTTTACGAGGTTTAGATGTCGACATTTAATTTAAGAGGAAAATCCTCTTAAATGAAGAATAATAATTTTGATACCAAAATTAAGAGGAAAATATGCATTTATTTTAGAGGAATCCTCTAGATTGAAAATTACTTTTTTTAGGGTGAAGCTTACAGCAATATATTGTGCTGTGTGGGCATGGCCCTGGTCGGGTCCCGACCAGAATTCCAGATCGGGCAAATTGGCATGGCCCCGGTCGGGTCCCGACCAGGATTCTAGATCGGGAAAATTTGCCTTGCCCGGTCGGGTTCCCTGTTTCATTTTGATCGGGCCCAGATTAGGTTGCCAGATCTGGCCCCTGTCGTACCTGATCTGGACCCGACCAGGGCTCGGTCAAATTTTCTGCACGGGCATCTTATGAAAAATTTTTATACAATGAAAAGAATGTCCTATTTTAAGACAGAAAGAAAGTCTTATTGTTTTGTGATGCAACATTTTTATTTAAGGTAGAGTCTTTAATAAATTTACTCTCTAAATTTGAATTAATAAAATTTTTTACTAATTTTTAGCCATTTTTCACTAAAACTTTAGTAAAACAAAAATATTACTAAATCAAACTATAATATTTTACTTAAAATTAATTTTACTAAAAATTTCTACTAATTTCAATTAGTGAACAAATTCTAACTATGTAATTAAAATTTAGAGAGTGCGCAATGGATTTTTGTCATATTCTATTAAAACGAAGTGTAAAAGGAAATGTGTTTTTGTAGAGAAATATATTCTAATTTTGAGAGAATAAACAGGAATTTATTTTGTGTGAACTTATTTGATTTTTTTAAATAAATAAAATAAATACATTTTAAAAATATTTAAACAAATGTAATATTGTAGTTTATTTCTATTTGATAAAAAAGTTAATTCTTCTAAATTTCCTCTTCTTTTTGATTTTATTGTTTTCTAACTTGTTGCTCGGTATAATTAATTTAGAGTCAAATTAATTCTATCCCAGATAGCACAAAAGCTTGCTGCAATTTTACGGCAAGCTTGGCGCGCAATATTGCCAACCTGACCGACCCAAGCTTATTTGGTAAGCTTACCGAAAGATTATAGTGTAAGGTTGCACCAAGATTGCACTATAAGATTATATCAAAATTGCTCAGTAAGCTTGCAGTGAGTTTGGTGCAAAGTTGCCAAATAACCTTGCTTTAAACCTAAAAAAAATTTTTTTTAAATGTTTCGTCTATTTTACTTTCTAAATCTGAATTCGTAAAAATGTTTACTAATTTAAATTAGTGACTCACTTTTTGCTTTAGAATTAGTTAAATTTTACTAATTGTTAGTAAAAGTTACCAATACAGTGAAACCCACGTATATCTGATTTCAAGGGACCGGAAAAAAAATCCCATGTAAGCGGGGATCCGAATTATGCGGGTCCGATATACGTGGGTTTCACTGTAATTAGTAAAATTTAACTAATTCAGAAGCAAAAAGTGAGTCACTAATTCAAATTAGTAAACATTTCTACTAATTCAGATTTAGAGAGTATATATATAATAAAATTCTATAAATTAGACGAAACATTAAAAAAAATTTTTTAGGTTCAAAGTAAGGTTATTTGGCAACCTTGCACCAACCTTGCTACAAGCTTACCGTGCAAGCTTACTGAGCTAATCTTATTTTGCAATCTTGTACTAACCTTACGCTGCAATCTTTCGGTAAGCTTAGGTGGGACATTTGAAGCTTGCTGCAAGGTTGTTGCAAGTTTACGTGCTATCTGGGAACTCTATTATTTAAAATACTTTGCACTGTGGGCCACGAAGCATATGCAAAAGCGGCCAAAATTAGAAACTTCATTGGATTTAGTCGAAACTTGTTATCGAAATGTTTTTCGAGTCACTAATTATGAATTTGAGGTCAGATTTACAAAATTCAAAATGGCAGATTCAAAATGGCGATCCTCCTTGACTATTTTTTATCGGATTCGATTAAAACTTGATATTGAAATGTTTTTCGTGTCGCTTATTGCGAATTTAATGTCAGATTTAAAAAATTTAAAACAGCAGAACCAAGGAGGAGGCTCAATTTTTTAAAATGTACTTGGAAATACTACCCGAGTAGAAATCCCCAAGGTATGCCTAAAATGATAATTGGCCCTAAGCTGGTCCTGACTTGACAGAAAATGTTAATATTTCCTAACTTGGTCCTAACTTGGTCCTGCTTTTACAAGCCATTTTAGTAATATCGGAGTATTTTGGCATTATTAATTATAATTAATAATAATAAAATAATAATAAAATAATAAAAAAATATATAAATACAATAATAAAAATAATAAAAAAATAAAAATATACCATAGTTTTTTAAAAATTTTAATTAATTATTAATTAAATTTATATTAAACAAAATGAGAAGGGTTACATTTAATTTGAATTTTTTTACCCCTACTTGTTTAGTGATTTATTATTATTATTATTTATTATTATTGATTACATTTTTTTATTTTTATTATATACACCCAGAAAAAAGGGATTGTTTATTTGAAAAAGTCAGTTGCTTTGATTTGTTTTGTATCATTCGAAACAAATTTCCTTTTAAACAAAAAGTTTTTCTAAAATTTACATAAAGTTTCTTTGATTGAAATAAGTTGAAAAATTTAAAAGAATAAAAATTTCAATCAAAGAAGTTTCAATACTAATATAAAATCAAAAAAAATTTCTTTGATTAAAAAAATTAAAATTTTTCTGAAACAAAGATAATTTTTTTCAAAGAAACTTTCTATAATTAAAAAAAAAAGATTTTATATCGAAGAGAACTATAGTGGAAGAAACTGATTTATTTAAATCATAGGGTGCAAGCTATAAACCTTTGTAAAAGTCCAGTTATATTTAAATGTTTATTTTTTTAAAAAATCTACGAATATTTGATTGTTAATACATTATTTATGTACATACATGGTAATATATATTATATATGCGTAAAGAAACAAAGATTTTATAAGTAAGTTTTTGTATATATGTATGTACTAAAAATAAAGCAAATATATGTATTAATTTCAATATAAAATACAAAATTATGTTATCAAAATTTATTAACAAATAATTAATCCTATTAAAATTATGTGAATTTTAAAAAAGCTGGTCCTATCTAGGACCTAAAAAGGACCCTTATATTGGTCCTAAATAGGCACCCAAATTAGGACCAGGCTAAAATCGCATCACCAACCATTTTAGGACCAAGTTAGACTGCCAAGATAGGACCTAGATAATAAAACGGCAAACTAGATAGGACTAAGTTAGGACCATTTTTCAATTTCCACACGGGTATGAAGATTTTGCAAAAATGTTTAAAGTGGACCTGATAAACCCATTTGTTTAAATAAAAGATTTTTTTTATTCCTCTGTTTTTCTAATTTTTCAAGTATACCTACAAATTTATTTCAGATTACTTTTCCAAACTAAATGATTCTGAAGAACAAAAAACTCTATGTTTTAAAAATTTAGCAAAATAGAGGGATAAAAAAAAGAATTTTATTTAAACAAATGGGTTTATCAGGCCCACTCTAAAAATTTTAATACAAAATCTTCAAAAAGTTTTAAAAAAATCATATCCAAATTAAAAAAAAATTAATTTCTTTATAAAAAATTGCTATTTGTTTTATTAAAAAATTGAAAAAAAAATCTTTTGTGAACATTTATATTCAAAAGTTGAAGAAAAACTGAAACTTTTCGTTTCTTGAGAAAAATTTGCTAAATTTAATACTTTCATTGCCATTGAAAAAAGGGGTACATTGAAAAAACCAAAAATTCATAATTCCAAAATTGTGGTACTTTTTTAAAAAAAAACTTTTTTTTCTAAAGAATAGAAAAAATATATTTTTAACCGAGAGATCGAGTTAAATTTCACGTGAAATCGCCCATATAAACTAAAAATAAAATATTTTAAACTCATCTATAAGTTTTTATATACTGCAATTCTAATAAAAAAAACAGCTTGTAATCGATTTTTCCAAGAATTTTTTGCGCTTCAAATATAATCTTGAAATACAATCATAGCAAGTGTTATACTTTTTGTTTTGCGGTGACAGGGACATAGACACAAGTTTGTATGCGGGGATGCGATGAAAGCTAAAAACTTTTTGAAGTCAATTATGTCGACGATTATGAATATATAGAGTGTGATACAAGTGTGTATACTATAAGCAATGAGTATATTATAAGAATAATTTTTTGATATATATATATATATATATATATATATATGTAAGGGTCGATGGCGACGATTGGTCAGTTTATATTCACTTTTCCCATTGACCATTTGAGTTTTAGGGTTGGTCGTCACTAACATTCCAGGGGCGGTTCATGAAGAATTGTTGAATTACGCGCATGTCTTTGAGGGCGGAGGAAACCACCTGCTCAACGAATAGAAAATCCACGATACTATGATAATATATATAATATTAACACACGTGATCTCACATCCGTTTCATCCTATGTCACTATTTATATTGGCCCCAGCGCATATTACGGGAAATGTGAGAAAACAATATTTTAAAAAAAATTTTTTTTAATAGAAAAATAGTTACCCCCGGGAAAAAGTTTCATATGTAATTTCGCAATGATTGTGTATACATCTTGAAAGAATAAACAAATATAAAGAAGAATATCGTGTGTGATATTGAAGGCAATAACTATTATGTGCTTTTAATTATTTTTTTTTAATTATCCTTTTTTTTACGGGAAAATAAAATTTTTGTTTTACATGAAAATAATTTTATCTGATAGTTATTGTTTTGTTAGTTTAAGAAGAAATTCAGAAGGGAACAAGTGCTGAAGAAAATGTGTGATTTTGAAAAAGAAGTGAATTCATTTTAAAATTGTCAGTGAAGATGTTGTTCATAAATAATTAATTTTAAACAATTATGTGTTGATTATTAAAAAGAAATTACGTGCGTGTTTAATAATTTCAAGTTGAAGGGGTATTTTTTTTATAAATAAGAGAAATGAGTTCACAACCTCATTCACGAAATTTCCGTTCGGAAGATGCAATTTCTGGAACATTTTCTGCATTGCATTTTCTTCGGAATTACAGTCTTCTTGCACCGCCTCCAGGTATAATTTTTTATATCCAAAAAATTTTTTTTTTTTATTACAAAAAAAGAAAGGAAAATAAATTCTTCTTTTCACTTATTATAATATTTCTGAAGATAAGTTTAAATGTTTCTTCAAATAATTTTGATAAAAAAAAACTTTTTTTCTGATCCAGAAAACAATGTTTTAGATCAGAGGTATTTTTAAATATATAAAAAAATTTTTTCTTTGGTTTTTTTGTTTGGTAATTTTTTATTATTATATTATTCTAATTTTGTTGATATTTATTATTTATATATTTATTTTATATGAATAAAAATTTTATTAAATATTTATTATTTTAATATACATGTTGAAATATGTTAAATAAAATAAAAAAGAAAATAATTGGTAAAAATCGTATTGAATTAAACAAACAAATGTTATTGGTCAGACACACAGAAAGACAGACCGTGAAAATTTATATATATTATTATTAATATTGACTTAATTTAAGAATGAAATAGTCATAAATACCTAGATATATTATTTTGTTTGTATTCAAAACCAATTAATTTTATCATTTAAAATTAATTGAAAATAATCATAAGACTGAAATTTTAAAGAAAGGTACATCGCGATTCAGTAGAACAAACTTTATAATGGTCAGACATGTAAAAAAGGCGACCGTAATCATTTTACTTATTTAGTAATATTAAGATTAATACTTAATAAATAACAAATTTAATAGAAAATTGATTTAATTTTTTTATTTATAATTTAGAAATTGTTCACAATTCCAATTGTTTATACGAATTTGTCATATTATAATGTAACAATAATTTTTAAGCATTTTTTTATATATACAAATAACAAACTTTTGTTTACATCATTTATTAATAAGAAAAAAGGTTTTGTTTCATTTTGATAAAAAGGAAAAAAAATTATTTATAAAGAAGAGAATAAAAGTATTTTAAATAAATAAATATGAAAATTTTCTACTTTATCGGTGTTACATATAATATTAGTGAGAGCTAAGACTTTGGACGGGATCTGGTATATACTTTCGAATATATAAGAATTTGTTAGATTGCGCTAGTTATCAAATTCTTTCACGGAGTAAGCATTTCATGCTTCGCGTGAGGCTAAACAAGTGGGTCGAGATTAACAATAATTTTTTGAAACAGAAAATTTACTTTCAATTCCTCCAATAGCCGTGATCGTCTAGTGGTTAGGACCCTACGTTGTGGCCGTAGTAACCCAGGTTCGAATCCTGGTCACGGCAATGTGCATTTGTCACATTGTCACGGTGGAGGTTTTTTTTTCTCAAATAATGTAAATTAAAATTTTTTTTTATCTCTCTCTATATTATTATTTTTTAATAAATTAACTATTATTTATTTTTAACAGAAGCTGTAGCTTTAGCACTGAAAAATAAAATAATAAAAATTATAATAAGTTTTTATAAACATTTAAACAGTCTTTAATTAAAAATTAATCTTAGAATTAAATATATAAATATGGCAACTATTTTTTTAAAACATGATTACAAATTATGCTGGAAAAAATATTCTAAAATTAAGAATAAATAGTTGACACCTCTATTGTAAAATATTTCAATGTAATTTCTACACTGAAAGAAACGATTAGTTGCGATTACCATTTCGTTAGTAAGAGTATTTTTGCTAATTTATATTAGTTACTATTACGATTTAGTTAGTCAGCTTAACTATTTAGTTAGTAAGGTGACTAATTAAATAGTTATTACAACAAACTAATTAGTTAAACCAACTTATAAAATAGTCATACCAACCAATAAAAATAGTAACCATTTATAACTAATAAATTAGCAATAGATGTGATCTAATGTTTGCTATCGGATCTATCAAAATTAGTAACCACAGCTAAATTTTTTTGCAACGACAACGAAAAAGTTTGATAAGATAAATAATATAAGTCATAATTTTTAAAAATTTACTGTCACAGAAAACTTTTTTGACCCAACAGCAAATTTGTTCGCTGTCTCTATATGTAATGCTCCGCGACAAAAGGTACCTATATTAAGCTATATATATATTAAATTTTTTGGTTATATTTAGTGATAGTTTTACCTCAATAAAAAGTTCTATTTTAATTAGACAAAATCAAAAATAGATTTAATTGAATGTTTTAGATGTAATAAAGACTTAAACATCAATAGTTTGTATAAAGTGTTGACCCTCTTTATGTATTTTTACTTCAAAAATCAAAAATATAACCTAAAAATTTTGGGAGTTTAGGTACCTTTTGTCGCTGAGCGTCACATATTAGCTAACGTAATTTGATGTAACAGCAAATAGTTCGCTGCCACAACAAACTTGTTCTATGCGCGTCTAATATAATAATAATAATTATTATTATTATAAAAATAATAATAAAATAATAAATTTATGACAAGAGAAAACAATAACTGATTTTTTTTAAATAAGAGAACTGTAAAAAAAACCTCCACCGTGACAATGTGATAAATGCACATTGCCGTGACCAGGATTCGAACCTGGGTTACTACGGCCACAACGTAGGGTCCTAACCACTAGACGATCACGGCTATTGGAGGAATTGAAAGTAAATTTTCGTTTCAGAAAGTTCGTGTTCAATCTCGACTTATTTACTTATGCGTAACGATAATATTATTTAGACTGGAGGCGTATTCTTTTGCGTTTCATTATAACTTTCTTCGACCGTCGCGTTGGAAAAATGTTGTTCAATTTAGAGCTTTGGTGTATACTTTTTATACAAGGAAAAAAAAAATTGCTTACAGACGTTAACTGATGTTTGCTATCGGATCTATCAAAATTAGTAAACACAGCTAAATTTTTTGCTATGACAAGAAAAAATTTTGCTGTGATAAACAATATCAATGTTAATTTTTAAAAATTTACTGTCACATCAAACTTTTTTCACCCTACAGCAAATTTGTTTGCTGTCCCTATTTTAACCAACATAATTTGTTGTGACAGCAAACTTTTTCTATGCGTGTATATATAAATACATATTGCTAAAATATACAAATTATTCAAGTAAATGATAAAAAATATTCACAAATCATAAAAAAAAATTACAAAAATAAAGTAACTTTTACTATACTTTGGTAGTAAATCCTATCTGCCCGGAATTTCTGCTCATTTCTGTCAACTTTTCTTTTGTAAATAGTAAAAACTACTATTTCCGGAGTAAACTTTACTATTATATTGTTAATTTTTTCTATTTCCGAAGCAAAAGTTGCCAGAAATGCGTAGAAGTTGCGGACAGTTTAAGTTTTTGTTCGTAAATAATAAAAATTACTTTATATTTTTTTCTGTGTTCCCGTGACTGTCAGCCGACAAACTTGTCACGATGACAAAGCCTGTTAATTCCGATAAGATGCAGAATTTTCAATTCAGAAATCCGAGGTGTAAAATCAACAAATCTAGTAATAACAATACCAAAATTGTCAGTATCATTATTTTTCTGTGTATATTGTTAATAAGAAAAATTTCAAAAAAATTTTAATAGAAAAATTGCATTTTTGGCCTGTATAATATATAGCGTACATGAGTTTTTAGTTAATTTCAGAGAATTTTGCTTTCACCACCAAGGGTGATGAATCGTAATAAAGAATGAAATTAGTGGTTAAAAGGGAAGTAAAGAAACGAGGACGTAATGATAATGGAGAAACTCGTGTATATTGTTCGTGTGTTGAGTAAACTGCAGTGCTTGCTGAAATTAGTATGATCGTTATCCCTATGCACAAATAAGCTATTTCTAGCGCAGTTATTTACACGGTACGGTGGCTTTTTGCTTCTTAAAATCATAACTGACATTCTAGTAAGTTAAAGTTTTTTTTTACGATGCAGCAACATTCTTTAGTCACTGCTGTCAAGTTCCCACGAACAATGGGCGGTACTTTCCTGGCACCCTTTGTAACAACTTGCTTGCTTATATGGCTTGCGATTTTTTTTTTTACTTCTTTTTTTCTTTTTTTTGCAAGCCGTTAAGCTGTACTATGGTGATAACGAGAGAATATGCACGATTCTAATTACAACGTCACTTGATAACATTCAAGATTTATTAGCCCAAAATATTTTTCTTCAAATGTTTATATATTTTGGTGATTTATATATGCTCCTGACTTTTTGACTCTTTATCAAATTTGTGATAATATAAATTAATGTCACAAATCGAACATGAGATTTATTTTTTTTTAAATAATTGTGTGACTATAAAAAAAAATTGAGTTTTATTTTTTAAATTAAAAAATTTATCTATTTATAGAATTTAACTTCAGGATTATTATGAATAATTAAGTTGTAAGTTTTCTGAAGTATGGAGTTTAAAACAATTTGTGTAAAGTTATTTAATGGAATAAATAACAAATTACAAAATAAAGTAAAAAAAAAGTTTAAAAAAGTCAAGGACGAAAATAAAAATATATATATATATATACGATGAAAATATCTAGTTCAGAATTTCTATATTTCCTATTGTTTATTCCTTACTGAGATAGTATATTATTATTATTTTTTTTATATAGATAACAATTTTTTTTTTATTTTCTCCTACAATATTTTGTTTGAAAATGAAAATATTGATTAACAGCGATAAAATTATTAAAGTAGTATTGTCTTATGAATATTTTACTTTTAAATTATTTTTTTTCAGAAAAAATGAAAACTTGTAAAAAATTGAAATTTTTTTTCATATTTTTTATTTTAAAATCAACATTTTTTAATAATTTAAAAATTTTAATTTTTTTAATTAAAATGTTTAGTTTCTCTACAACCTACACAAACTTTTTGTTTCATCTTGAAAGTTATTTCTAATGTTGATTTTATTGATTACAGAATTATGCAGATATGATCCGTATCATCCAATAGATTTTGGAGTAGATGCTGATGTTATACAAAGTAACATAAATAAAGAAGCACCTTCATCACCTTTAGTACCTTCATCAATGTCTACAACATTTTCGCTTCCAACTGGTCTTTTGCAACCTTCTCTTATTACAACAATACCACCTTTTATGCAATCAGTCAATATTCCACAACCATGTGTAAATTCTACGTCAGGTAAATTTTTAATTTAATTTTTTTTTATCTTTTAAATCCATTAAAATTGGGAATAAATTGTAAGAAACAATGGCCTACATCGACACGTTTGGATAAAACTTCGTTTATTCATTGACCCTAAAGCCACAAAAAAAAAATCCTTGTTTATTATATATAAAAATTATACTTGTTAAAATGTTTATATTAATTTTTATTAATTAAGTGTATTTTTTTTAATTGTTACATCAACATTATTTAATGAAAAAGTAAATAAAAATGCAAAAAAATTTGCGGTTTCATCCCCAATGAATGTATTATCAATAGCCTCGGTAGCGCAGTAGGCAGCGCGTAAGTCTCATAATCTTAAGGTCGTGAGTTCGATCCTCACCCGGGGCATTTTTTTGGACAAAATATTGTGAAAATTGTTCGATATTTAGAAAATTTTCAAAAAATTTTTTATTTTTCTTTTCTAGTTCAATTTTTTTTACTTTATATAGTACTAAAAAACATGTGAACAACTAAAACATTGATCAATATTAAATGACTATATTTCATTAAATATATTTTACTATATAATAAGAGAATTTTTTTGTGTAGTTTTAAAATATAATTGTATCATTTTTTTTATAGATGCATTGATGAATAGACATCTAATTAGTACGGGTGTAACAAGTTTTCAACAAAGGAAACCTCGAAGTGAGAAGAAAGCAATTCCAGATGAACAAAAGGATGACAAATATTTTGAGAGGAGAAAACGCAATAATCAGGCGGCAAAAAAATCTCGAGATGCACGTAAAATTCGAGAAGATCATGTATGATAATTAAATTCACAATAATAATAAATAATTTTTATTTTAAGCAAAAAAAAAAAAAATGATTTATTTACTTTGACAAAAAAAAATAAATATTGCTGTCAGCTCAATTTTTTTTTCTAAATTAAGGGGGGAACACCAGTTGTAACTCAAGAAATAATGCTTTTTACAAGAATATTTTCCAAAAGAACAATGAATCTTTTTAAAGAATATTATTTATTAGTTAAAAGTACATGTTAAAAGCTGTAATTTAAAAGAAAAAAAAAATTTTTTTAACAAAAACTTTTAGAGATATGAGCCATTGAAGTGGCGCCTTAAGAAAAAAGGCGAATTGCGGTGACCAGCATTCTGCAAGTATACTTCGTCTGAAATACAAAAATGAAATTGATTTACATTTATTATAAGATTATCTAGTTCGTGATCGAAGGATTTAAAAAAAAAAATTTGACAAAATGGCGACCTGTCAAAGTCGAAAGTATGATTTTCGTTAAAAAAATACGGTCGATTTTCAGCTATATAAAAAAAAGTTTTGCATAAAAAAAAATCCTTCGATCACGAACTAGACTTATATGTGTAAATGAAGCACACTAAATTTTAAATAAATCGGTTTAATGGTATTCGAGTAATCGTGGTCACCGACTTGGAAAATGTCATTTTGAGAAAAACGCATTCAAAGTTTCAACTTACTTTGTTTTGTTCAGAAGAAATTTTGTTTCCAATTTACAAAGAGTCATCGATTTCTGGACCATATAATAACTCTTCCGCAGTGGTTGCCGTTTCTAAATCATAGGAAAAGGCCATCTGTCGTTAGGGTCAGGTATGGCTGAAGCCACGGGACGCGCCGCTGCAGTGTTCTGTATATCTCATTTATTTTTCACCGGATCAAGTTTAAAATTTACAGACACATTTCTAAATATGTATACTTTAAGAAAATGCAAAAAAAAAATCGATTTTTCGAAAGTTACAACTGGTGTTCCCCCCTTAAGTGAAATTAAAAATATCGATAGAATTTCAGATTCAATATACGATTTTAATACTAAAAAAAATTTCTTAACATTTTGTAGATAGCATTGAGGGCAACAATGTTGGAGCATGAAAATGCAATTCTTCGAGCACAAATTGTTTCTTTACGTGAAGAAACTCAATCTCTTCGGCATATTTTAATGAAGCAACAGACTTCTAGTTTACAATCGATGGATCGTAGCAGATCAATTTCTGAAATAGGACCTATCTCTTTATCCAATGCTCGATCTGTAACTTCTTTAGTTGTCTAAATTAATTATGTATTTATAAAATTTTTATGTAAAAATTATAATCATAACGAATATATGTTATTAAAAACTCATATTATTGCTTTATATATAACAATAAGTTTTATTTAATCTATAGTTTATGAATATTAAATGTCAGGCGTATTATTATTGTTATTATTAATATGTACCATATTAATAGAATTTCGAAATATAGGAATTATTTCATAATATATATTATTTTAATGGAGTAATTCGAATGTAATTCGGCTATTGTGATATTTATACATAAATATAAATAATGTCTGTCTTACAATATCTTTGAGTGTAGATATAAATATTAAAGTTTAATTTGTATAAAAATACATCTAATTTTAAAAATAATAAGTATTGTGAAGTGCATAAATCAGTAAATCGTTTAAAATTATTTTGTTTAGATGTTAAATTTTCTTAAATGTATATATATATATATATATATATTCTATTACACATAGTGAGATATAAAATTGAAAAAGTGATATATAAATATACCCAAGTAGAAAACATATATGTATGTGTGAATTTATAATACATTGAGAAAATAATTTGGCACAATATGTTCAAATTGAATAATGAATAAAGATTCACATTTTTATTGCAAAAAAAATATATAATTTATTTCCTTTTTATAATTTTATTTAGTATATCATTAAATTGTGTATAATTATAATATTTTCAATATACAGTCGACTCTCGATAATTTGAATTTCAAGAGGCATCGAAAATAGTTCAAATTATGAAGAGGAAGTTTGAGAAAATTCAAATTAATAACAGTTTGGATTGCTTAAATGCACTTAAACGTGCTTCATCTAGAAAATTTTCTATTGACACTATAGGTCTGAAAAAACTATTAAATTATATTTTAAATAAATTCAAAATATCAAAAGTTTAAATTTACTAACTTCAATTTATAGAACGTCCTGAGCTGACAGAAATTCAAATTATCGAAAATTTGGTATTACTGACTTCAAATTATAGAGCTTCCAAGGACAAATTAGCTTAAAAACGACTTTTAATTATCAAGTGTAAACCATTGGTTTTTTTTTCAAATTATCGAGAGTTTTTCAAGGGACCAACATCCTAAAACATTTTTTATTTAAATAATTTTTATATAATATTTATGTTATAGTAATATAGTTTTTTAATATTATATATTGATATATATTATTATTATATATCAGTTTATAAATATATTTTTACATATTAAGATTAATTTCCTGTAGAAATTAGCAAGCATTAAGTTCGTGACAATTTTAGTGTCAACTAAAGACACATATTCACATGAAACAATATTACATTGACTATATACATGTAGAGTTAGTTTCAAGTTTAAATTTCATGCAATTATTCTGTCGACATGTAGATGATACGACGGATCTTGAAAATTCTCTTCGAAACACGCAATGAATGAGAAAGTTGAATATCTTCAGGAACTATATTTATACAGCTACATATACTATATATACATGTATATATATAGTTTTAAATGTCGTAAACGTTCACATCATACAATGAAACTTGCTCGCATGTATAATTAATAATAAATGAATAGCTATAGTTATTATTGATTTTCATAAACATATTATAAAAATTATTTCAATTTTAATGATATATTTTACAACGACAAATTATATGTTAATAAATATTAATGTAAGTTGTATATTTACAATTTTTTTTCAAATATAAAGAAATAATTATTAAATTATCCTCGAAATTAACGAATTGTCAATTAATAGTGCTATTAATTAATTATTAAAAACATTTTTTTAATTTGAACAAATAAAAAGACATGTAAATTTTCCTTCGTTGGATCATTTTTAATTAAAAAAAAATAGTATTCTTTATATCAAAACTTGTTCAAACCAACAAAATATGTTAATAATAAAAAAAATTGTAATTAACAATTTTATTCATCCATTTTTAAACTAAATGTCATTGATTTATTATAATATAATTAAATTACAAAAATTATATAAAGTGTTATATAAATTATATTTATAAAAATTATGTTAATAATATAAATTTAAATTTAATTTCAAAAAAACTCTAGTTTACAGAATATACATTTATTCAAAGACTATAATGTAGGGAATGTTACAAAATGGTAATGAAATTAAAAATTGTTAATAATTAATTCGGGATAAAAAAGAATGTTTGAAATTAAATGTTTTCAATTTCATTGTAATATTTCAATGTTTGAATATAGTTCGTCGGTTTAAATAAAGAGGGCCAGCAAGTCACCTGACTTGATAATATGAATTCATTGGATGTTACAATTTTCGCGCCAGTCTATTTAAAAATTTGAAAAAGATAAAATGAAAATTTTAATTAGTTTCTGTACTTTTATTTTATAACTATATAAATAGATGAAGTTATTATAAAGCATATTGTAATTTAGTTTAAAATTTTTCAATTCCAGTAAATCTATAACTATTAAATTTTTTTAACTTGTTTATTATATAGTTTACATAATTACGAAAAAGGAATAAAATAAATTTTGTTTCATCTACATTTTTTATAGTTACTTTCTTTTATTTTGCAATAGACACTTTCGAAATTTGCATAAGTAAGAAAATTTAACTAATTTGAAATAATAAAGAACTTTCTGCTATAAATTAGTTAAATTCAAAAGTGAAATTTTTTTCTAGAAAATTCAATGGTAAAATTTAATTAATTCATATATATAGAAATAAGTCAGTTCTTAATTAAAAATTGAAAATGATTGTGATATAAATAAAACAGATCAAGGAATATCTTAAAAATAAAATTTATTTTAATAAATCATAAAACTGTAATATTAAAATTTAAATAATAAAAATTTTTAGGTTTTTTTTAAATTATTTTTTTGTTAATTTTTTAAAATTAGTTCCTACTCATATTTGAAATCGCGCGGCTACGTTCTCCAACATTATTTGAGTTTAGAGAACTAAACTTGAAAGTACATAAAAGTAGCTATCAATGTTCAGATCACAGGCGTAAGAGGACTTTCATATTACTCTTCACTCATGGTCATAGACCATGAGTGTAAACACATTGTGGATATAAATATAAATAAAGTGATAACAAATATAATTTTTGACATATATTGTGATAGTAAATATTTAATTTATATTTACTTTTTTTTCAACGAAAATTATACATTCGAATATAAATTAAAGATTAGATTATTTTATATGCATATAAATTAGATTTTTTTGTGTTTGTGTGTATATGGAAAAATAAATACAAATGACTTTGATTTCCATTTGACTAAGAATTGTGACGTAGAAATATTTTTATTATACATTAAGGTATTGTTTATTATATATTAATTTCTCTATTATCTAATGGTAATTATACAAAATGAATTATTAATTACATGCGATAAAATTACAAATAAATTTCATAAAAATATTTAGTTTCAGCGACAATATATTATATAGGCATTGAAAATGGATATGTTAATGGTACCAATTTTGGCTCTCTCTGAAAATTCAAAAATATTAATTTCAACATTATTAAATCCTATAAAAGTACTGCCTACTAATAAAGGATTACCAAGGTAATATTAATTAAATTTTTAAATGTTTATGTCTTAAAATTATTTTTATTTTCTGTATTCATAAATAATTATAATTCATTTTTCTTTTATAAATTTTTCAAAAATTCATATAAAAATACTGATTAAGTATTTTATACTCATATAAGTAATTTAATATTTAGTTTTTATTTATAAATAATGTAATTATTAAATAATCCCTTGATAGTGTTTATTTATTTTTGAATTTAATACTGCAATTAAAACTGAAATATGTTTTCTTTAAAATTACCTTAATTTTAAGTTTATGTGTATATTCTTTTGGGTTTATGAGACAAAAACTTTTTTTTATTATTCTCTTAGAGATTGGAGAGGTTTGGTTCATGTATTTGAATTGCCCGGCGAGATAATACCTTTACTTTATAATCATAAAAATCCGTTCGAAGGTATTTTAGAGAAAATTGACAATAAAGCAACCTTAAAGGATCTCCAAAATGCCTTTAAAACAATCGAGAGATGGGACGTGTTCGATGACACAGAACCACTTATTGGTAAATTTTACTAAAAAAAAAGAAGGGAAAAAAATATAGATATTATTTTAATATTTCTTAAAATGAAATAAAAAAATTACTTCATAATTTTAGAAAAAGATGTCCAAGATTATGCTGAAAATCTTAAACGATCTCAAAAGACTGCCGAAGCTATTTGGGACAATAACGATTCAGAAATACTCACAATTGGTAAATTTTTTTTTTTATAAACTTGGTATAAAATTAAAAAAAAATTCTTTTCTTTTATATATTGACTTTTATTATAACTACATCTATTGTTATGTTTCTTATAAATTTCAGGAGATCAATATAGATCGAGGCAAGGTTTAGAGAAACAACATTACGATGCATTTATTTTATATGCAGATGAGGATTACGATTTTGCTTTGCGAACGATAGAAGAACTTGAAAAAGAAGATTTGAAGGTAATATTATATTATATAATTTCATAATTAATCACATAATGCAATGGATTATTTAAAAATCAAATTTTTTTCGCATTCAATTCAATTCATTTCAATTCATCTTTTTTATTTCATTTTCATTCAATTTAATGTTGATCTGTAATATTAATAAATGATTTTTGATTTAGGTTTGCACAAAAGATAGAGATCTTATTGCTGGAATATCAATTGAAAACGAAGTTATCATGACATTGATTTCAAAACGTTGCAATCGACTGATTGTGATAATATCTCCAAATTTTTTTAAGAGCCCAGCAAACACATTCTTCTTAGAATTTGCATATGCTGTGGGAATAAGTATGTAATATTTAAAAATTGTTAATATTTATTTATTATTTTTTAAACATTAATTGGAATTTAAATTTTAAATTGCAGAACAAAGGGTGAAAAAGCTTATAGCTTGTATCTACATTGATTGTGAACTTCCAGAGTCATTAAATTATATAACGAATTTGCGCTACAGTCGTAGAGAGTTAATCAACTATTGGGAAAAACTTTGTGATTCCGTAAGAAGTTCGCCACAAATAAAGGAAAGGTAATAATTAAGAGGTCTCTAATATACTAAAATGACAATTTATTAAATTTAGTCTTTAGTTTTGGTATATGGTTTGATAGGAAAATTACAAAAATTAAACAAAATTCTATGTTATATACAAAAATTGTCTATTTTATTATTAATGATTCCAAAATAACAAGAATTTAAAATATTTTGAATGAAATTTAATTTCAAATAACTACTTAAAAAAAAAGTTACAAAAATTTGATGAATGTCTGCCTATGAAAATTAACATTTTTTTTTAAAATACTTTTCAGTCAATCTACAAAAAAAGAAATCAAGAAGAAAAAAAATGAAAATTGTGTGGCTTTACATGACAATATTACTAAGGAAGAGGAGACAAAAATTCATTTGCCAAAGTCAAATTCATCAAAGTCTTTAAGTAAATATCTATTCGGAACAGGAAAAACAGATAAGAAAGCAAATAATCAAATAATATCAAAAAATATTAGTGATGAACAAAATAATGATTCTGGTCTTAGTTTACCTTCTGTCCCATCAGATTCTATAAGTCTTAGTTCAAATTCTTCAAATATACCCTTATCTCCAGATGCAAAAAAGCTTCTGCCAATAAAAAAAGATAAGAAAAAAAAAGATTCACCTCTAAAAGAATTTTTTAGAAGAAAAAAATAATTTGAATAAATAAATTAAAATTTTAACGTGCCTCAATGCAGAAATTTCTCTGCTCAATGTGTGATAATTTACCGACAGTAGTTAAAAAATAAATTTTATTGCTTGCCACTAGAACAAATCCCTATGTTATCGATTAATTTTGAAAAATAATTTTTCTTCAATTTTTTATCGATAAAAACAATTTTTTAAAATTATTATTAGACACAAGATCAATAGAAATAAAAATTATTATCATTTTTCAAAAAAATTTTAATGTTTTTTAAAAATTTTTTTTTACGAAAACTAATAAATGCTTCCTGATTGAAAATATATTAATGCCAAACATAAATTACAAATATTATATAATAATATCATAATTATGAATTAAGAATTACACAATTAAGTTAACAAAATAATGTACATAAAATGTGTAAATATTTTTAATGTAACATTTTCTTATATGAAAATAATAAATATTTTGCAATTTATTTTTTATAATTAAATACAATACACTTTATTTATTAGATTTATTATTATATTAAATTTTTAAGTTTTTTTTTGAGATTTTAATTTTTTAAAGTAGAACGCAGTTCATATTAAATTTATTTATAATGATTAAAATAAATTTTTTTTTTTATTTTGAAATTGTACACTTTAGTCTTATTAATGTAAGCTATAAAAGGATTGCGGAGGAATTATTATACGGATCTCTAGCAACATTTTACATTGCACAGTATTTTCCAAGAAAAATGGTGACATAATCCGTTTAGCGTAACATTACTTTGGATTATAATACAGTAAGTCATCATTTCAACTACGTTTGGAATTTTTGTTTTTTTGCCGTGAAAAAGATATTTTTATTTTAAAATTAAACAGTAAAATAAAACCTCATTAAAAATTTTCAACATTTTTTTCAACAATTTTTCATCATTATTTTGTTTTCTATTTTTGTCTATATTTATATGTATGTATAACTTATGGTTAAAAGTAATTTTTTTAAAAATTAATAATAATTTACAAATAAAAAAAAAATTCTTAATTATATTTATAATAAGTAAATATAGAAGTTTTTGAATATTTTTTTTATATTTAAATTACTGCAAAATAGATAATAATTAAATTAAATATTTATTATTTATAATAATTGTATTATTACTGTTTTAAATTGAATTATTGGTTAAACTGAAAAATAGTTTTCGCTGTAATTAATAATAATTTATTATTAATTTTATTCAAATTATTATCATTCTTTTTTTCATCACTTATTTTTACTATTTTTTAATTTATTACTATTATAAATAAAATATTTTTTTCATTACTCTATATTACAAAATAAATATTTTTCTTTATTGAAATAAATAAAAAATAAAAGATCAATAACTTATTGGACAATTAATTAAAAATATCTATGTAAAAAAATAATTTATTCATTTTTAGGTTATATTCAATTGACACAATTTTGGTTAATGATAAATTTATTATGCAATATGAATAATTATTTATTTTTTACTATAACATTAATATCTTTGATGAATAATTAGTAATTTTTCCCTGAATGCTATTCTTGAAGAAGTTAGTAAAGATGTATTACAAATTAAAATAATTTAAATAAATAAATCTTAATCGATTTTTTGATTAATAATTAAATTGAAATTTGAATTTCAAGTTAGCGCGGCGAAAATAGCCGAGCGAATACGAAGGCAACAGGCGGTCCGTTTCAAACGTGTTTCTCGGCGGGAACTCGACAGTAAGCATTCTGCGCTCGAAGTGTTCATGTCGTATGTTTAATATATAGGTGTGATATAACTACGACTATATCATAATCTATTATTTACAAATTAAAATCACATCTCTGACATCAAATAATGGCAAAGTTTTCTTCGTGTGTGTTGTGTATACGAGTGTCATTAAGTGAAAATAAGAAAATCACGTCAAAAGTGAAGTTAGGCGCTCACCACTTTCAATTTTGAGGTTATCTTTCAATAATATTGTTCGCGATCAAATTGTCAACTCAGTAGTTTTCAGTTGTCACGTGCATTTATATAAAATTAAACTGATTGTTCGTCAAATATTTTCAAGCATCAATTGAAAGTTTGCCTGTGTGTGTGTATATTTATATATGTCATATTTTTGCACAAAGCATTAAAGCGCGCGGGACTAAAGTAAAGTTTACTATCGTCGGAAGAAGCCGGGACGATGAATACTGTTTGAACTTTCGGAGCAAACACTTCTGTCACTAAAGAATTGTGTTTGATGACAAATATCAAACAGCAAAAAGAAACCGTCACGTAGAGATATCAGAGACCGGTTGTACCGCTTTGCTTTACGGGTCCATTCTTTGGTCGGTGAATCCGTATTCTCCGTGTTTCCTTTTAATAGTTCTTTGCTAGCGTGGGAAGGGCAGAGAGATTACAATCTCTTGTCGATCGGTTTCGACGATTAGTGGTTAGGAGTTTTGTACCTTTTAATTCAAGAAAATGTGAAAATTCACACATTGATTTATCTTGTTTTGTCTGTTATTTTTTTTCCCCTCACTCTTTTTTTGCTTTATTCAATCGCACTTTTTTTTTGTCCCACATTTTATTTTATATCATCATGAAAATTAATATTATTTCACTGGGAATAATGGCGAGATTATATTTAATTTGTGCAATTGTGCTTTTAACAATAATCAGTGAGAGTTTGTGCAATGATATTAAAGACTACTGTAATATGCATAGATTTGAAAATTTACCAGGAGGTCTCCGATTTACCAAGGAAGTTGTTACAACGGAGTATGCAACTGTAGGATCCTTCAAGGCCATTCACTGTTGTCTACGAGGTTACAGGAGTATAGAATGGTGAGTTTTTCTTTTATTTATTTTAAATTAGTGTAAAAAATTTTTTTTTATGTGTATAAATAATTATTATTATATTGACTGGTGTGACCCTTTAAATAAGGTACTCTTTTAATATTGTTACGGACTAAATTGAAGGTTAAAAAAAATTCTCTTTCAAATTTTATGATCTATATGCGAGTTAGGACAGGTTTAAGACAGGTTTAGAACTTGAAAAAAGGATCATTTTTCTCAAATCATAATAACAATAATATTCTTTTATTATATCATGTAAGTAATATTTCTTAATAAATTCTTATGCTCAAATTTTTTTTATTTCGTAATATTTAATTACAGGGAAGTTAATTGTTTATTTGTATATTGTTCGTTTTATTAATTGTTAAAATATCCTCGACGAAAGAAGACGAAAAATCAAAGTAATGTCGTAATATATATTAAGTTTGTTTATTTTCTTCCAGGAAGTTATGAAGTGAAATAATTTGTTAATAAAGCTGTTTATATGATACTTTTACGTGACTTGCATATATGGTAAAACATATAATAATATTCTCGTGAATATTCCGAATAATTTATCCGAAAAATAATTCATAGAGGAAAGACGTCTTGAACGAGAATTCTAACTCGACGTCGCGTCGGTGAAATTTACAACGTTTATATGATCCAACGATTAAAAGTAAAAAAATATTTTTCCACGAAAAATAATAAAAATTTTTATTTTGATTTATTGATCAAAAAACGTTGCAAATGTATTTAAAAATAAAATATAATAATTATAGAAAATAAAATTTTTGTTCTAAATCGTTGATCATATAAATGTGAACTGGATCGACCTCTAACTAGTAGGAATTTCCTAAAGTTTCTCATAATCTTCATTTTATACGAGGAATTAATTATAATCTATATACTTTGTTTATTATCCATCTGAAAATAAATTTGGATTTTTTTTTCATAAAAATCAAGTAATCGGTATTGAAATTCAAAAAAGAAATTGAATTTTTTTTTGTCTTTAGGGAAATTTTAATTTTCAAATGAGTAATTTTTCTGAGGATATTAATTTCGTTAATTGCTGTCGGTAAAATGATATTATTCCCAAGATGGTAAATAGGTATTTACTTGGTGATACGCATCATTTCGCACGTTGAGAGATGGGTTTGCATCATTTCCATTCAATTCTGTTGGTATAGTAAATATGTACAGTGTACTACAAGGTTTTTAGTGTTCAAATGGCACGAGCCACATGTCTACATAGACCATGCGTAATCCCCATGAGTTCTGATGCTTTAACTATATGGACCATACGGGATTCTCGCTCTCTATTATCTGATGAGTCATGACATTGTTGATTCGAATATATATACATATATACCAGGATTCTCGCCTGATGCAATAAAATGAGTTTTCTGCAATAAGACTTTTAAAGTCTAGGCAATAATTTTATATTCAGAAATTCAATTGCTTTCTTTTTTTATGATCTTCAAAGTACATTCTCTCAATATAGAATGAGAACCCGCCAGAAGTGCAAAATTAAAATTGATTATGAGATGTACATTCTGAGAACAATTTTTTTTTATCACGTATAATTTTATTTTGAAATTTTTTTCATTAAATATTTCATTATTTCTGTTCTTTGTATTTTTTTCACTAATATACATATTATTGTGAGCTTCTTTTTCTATACATGCATATATAAGAGTTTACTTCTTCAGAATCAGTGTGATTATTTTGTTGTTTTTTATATTATGAAAATTAACTGATTGGGCGTTGTCATTATCCTATGACCTTCGATACTTTGAGAAAAATCATATAATTTTCATTTTATTTATTCATTAGAACTGACTCATAGTTCGATAAATTAATATTATAATCTCGTGAAACGTAGTTTTCCAATAAGGAAAATCAGAAAGGAAAAAAAATGTAAATTGGTCCGTTCTGATATTTCAATTGCGCACAAAAAATTAAAATTTTTCCTAAGAAATTTCTGTTTCTTAAGTGTAATTCCCGATTCCAGGCACTATATTTAAAATAGTCTCAAGTAAATAACAATAAGTATGTATATATATATATATATAATGTCTCAACAGTTCCCGATTACCTGATAAGGTCGCGTTTTTTATTTGTTTATAAATAGTTCTCAGAAGTTACAATTATTATATAAAATACTTTATATAACTATTAGTATATACCAGATTTTATGAAAAATACGAAAAATTAATTTATTAAATGTTTTCTGAATTTTTAAAATATTTTACTTAAACATTAGAAGATATAATTACATACTTGAAGGTATTTAAGTGTATACATTATATGTGAATCATAAATAATGAACCCAGATTAATTTCCTCGAAATTGAAGTTAATATGAATTAATTCTTTTATCATGATGATTCTTGGTAATGTAAAAATTTGATAACAAATGAACAAAAAAATTACTAATTTTTTTTCGAATAAGAACAAAAGAAGATTAACAATTAAATTCATTATGCCCTGTTTTTTTTTACTTATAATATTTAATTTTTAAACAATGAACACATTAATGAAACAGAATATTTGCGTCATTTCGATATATTTTCATAATGTGTTGTATATATATATATATATATATATATGTTAAATGACACGTGACCAAAATTTTTTGTCAGTGACTCTCAAATATTGAAAAACGACAAATAAAAATAATTCAGCAATATACAATATAAATTAAGATAATTAAATAAAAATAGAAATTTAGTTATAAATATAAAAGAAGTGCAAAAAGTCCGTTTGCGATTATTGAAAATTTCAAATTATTCCTTTATTTTCATTTATTTGTGCAACGAATTTTTCTTTGCAATATGCAATATATTTTTTATGGGAACGTTAAGGCGTAGAAATTTTTGTTTCGAATTTGTTATAAATCAGTTCGATTCTCGCAAGATTCCAAGGGTGTTACTAAGAGGATTTTTTTGTCCCTTTTTTCGAATTTTGAGAATAGTCAAAAAGGTTTACAAAGCCAAATAGACTAAACTTTCGAGAAATTTAAAGGGACTCTTGGAATTATATTTTAGTTGATCCTCACTCTTACTTCAGGCAAGAAACTCTATTATCCTTCTAACAAGTGGAGTCTTACGAGTCTATTGTTCGAAGAGGTTTCCAGGTGTCAAACGGTATAAGTGGCATGCTACCCTCTATTTCTATTCACGCGCCAATTCGACAGCCCTCCAAAGTCCACAAGTTAGATAGTGTATATATGAATTTTAAATGTGTTTCGATTCACCTGTTACATTTTGCTTTTAAAAAAAATTCGTCGAAAAGAACATATCTATCTTTTTTAATGAAACGTTACATAAAAATTATTCATTGATTTAAAATCTGTTATGTAAAAATAAAAAACGTCTATAATCAACGATTAGGGAACAAATTATTTTTTAAGATAGAAAAAAATAAAATTTTTTATCATTGATACAAAAATTCATAGAATGTTTCCATGCCAAAAAAATATATTTCTTTAAAAATCGTTGATAAAATGATAAAATCATTACATACAAAAAGGAATTAAAATTATTTAATTACATTACAGCAATTTTTAATTAAAATGTTAGTCATATATTTGTGAAATTATTTTTTTTTTTGTCAATTTTATGGACATTTATAAAATGTACATATTTTCTTTTCACTTTGATGATTTTCTCTTCTTGCGGCCTTTTAAAATCCGCTGGAAATCTTTCAGAAACGAATCTTTAAGAGGGTCCTTGTACCAAAAAGCCGTGAAAAATTTTTCTTCTTAGAATTTTTTCATTCACTCTATACATATTTTCTCTAGTTAGTGAAAATACGAAATAGAATATCTAAAGTTAAAAAAAAAAATTACGATTTTTTAAAAAACAGGTTTTTTTTATAATTAAATAAGTTCTTAATGAATCTGTAATTAATGTATATGACGCAGAGTTTAATTAAAAAATATATCAAATGGGTATATTTTTAATCACTTCACGTCTCGATTATTATATTCATTAATTTAATTTTAATTATCCTTTTTATGATTTTTATTCTTTTTTCTCGCAATATTTAGAAATAGAAATTTCATGTAGGTATAGGATTTTTTTTCTTACAGAGCGAGAATAGTTTTTTATCTTTAGATTTTTATGATGATTTGATCATTATAAAATTTAAATTTAGCAGTACACATCATAGTAAAATGATTAACTATAGTTTTTTTTGCCTGACACTATATACATATATAAGCGAGGGATATGTGTAATTCACATTGCGAAACAATTGTGTGCATCCGCATTTCGTTTACGTGCATCATACACACATACCTGTGCTACAACGAATTCAGAATTTTTTTTTCTTCTTCACTTCCTTCCGCTATGTAATGTGACTTTTGCGCCATGAACATTTTTCCAAGAACTAAAGGGCAAAATTGCGTTGGCACACACACACAAACACACACACATGCGCACAATATTAAATGCAAGTGAAATAGCCGATCCGCAACTGTTCACCGGACTGTTGTACACATATATTATTCTTTACTGATGCTTTAGGTTTTTTTTCCTCAGTTTCATTAGTTAGAATCGCAAGATAATATCCCACATATAACACATAATATTGCAGAAATATATATTGCTGCAATGTTTTATACGTTACTGAAGACCGCAACGTTTATGATAAATGATTAGAAAACAATTTTTTTTAAAAAAGATGAAAAATTATAAAAATTTTTATCTAAAAAAACATATTTTATAATTTGTTGATCATTAAACATTGCAAAAAAAGTATATATTTTTGAGACTAACATTCATAGAATTTTTCATTAAAAAAAATTGTCCTACTTTAAAAAAGTTATCTACTTTGCCTACTATTCACTTACTATACTATTAAAACGTTAATAATCAAGAAGATGAATATGATTTGAAGATTTATTATAATGTTTAAACATATAATGGAAAAACACTTCCATTTTTTATCTTTTGTAATTTTCTTGTTTTACCATTTTATAAATTTCTTATTTTAGCCTATAAT